CCTAACCCTAACCCTAACCCTAACCCTAACCCTAACCCTAACCCTAACCCTAACCCTAACCCTAACCCTAACCCTAACCCTAACCCTAACCCTAAAAGACATACGCGCTTCGCGCAAAACCCTAACTTTCCCCCAAACCAAAATTTCCGTACCGAAAATAGCAGATAGGAATCCAGCAATACAATGCATCGTGTGTCGATCTGTACTGCGGCCAATCGGCTCGGACTGTAATGAACTGCAACGCAGCGCAGTGCAACGCAATACAGTGCAGATGCATTGGCGGAGCTTTCTGCTCTTAGCAAGCACACCCGAGAAGATCCTTTCACACTCCCCGCATTGCTCTTTCTTGATGTCAATGACCTCCCGATCAGATCTGCTCGGCGTAGCTGAAAGTTAAGACCATGGATGTTGGATCCAAGCGGAGGCTTCATCGCCCTGCATCACCTCCCGGAGAGTCCAACCGTAAGCAGCAAATGCACAACACCTGCGTGCCATAAAGCTGTTCGGTACTCGCGAGTCACACGTAAATCAAACAGGACAGAACGACCATAATTCCCGGTGATGACAGTGACGTGCTGCTGTTGACAAGCCTTCAAAACTTGAACCTCCGTACGAGTCGCTCTGTGTTTCACTGTCGCTCGAGGTACATACAAGAGCAAACATGAAGTCTTCCATCACTCTATTTCCCATTTCTCGATTCTGTCCAACACCTAGGACATGGATGCAGAGCCGGCAGCTCGCCTCGTTGGCGAATCCCACGACATTTTCCGCAGAAACCCCGTCAACACAGATCCAATCCTGGCGGGACACGTCCAAGTATGAACGGGAAGAGAAATACTGGACGAAGATTCCCGCATGGAGGAACACCTTGGTCACCGAGTTCCTGGGTCATTCATGGCAAGCAAGTCTCGGGCTCAGGTACTCTCCTCACGGACACACAATTGACATGAACATGTGAGCAGATGTCTCATACCCTGCAGAGACCGGATGCGCTCTTCTCGTTCTTGCGTACCGTTCTTCCGGACCAAGTGCCCGAGCAGCGGCCCCTCCGAGGGAGAGTCGAATATCATGGGATTCGCACCGCCGAAGACTTCATCGCAAGCGTGCAAGCAGGTCTCAGGAAGGCGCCCATGGCATTTCGTTTGTCGCCACATGTGTTGAGTATCATCGATTGGCAAGACCCGCTGAATGACCCTGTTCGCCGGCAATTCATTCCCCTAGATTCGTCCATCAATGTGAATCACCCGGCGACTTCGCTGGACCCGCTGCAAGAGACGAACAGTTCGCCTGTGTCGGGTCTCGTCCACCGGTATCACAACAAAGCCCTCTTCCTGAGTTCGTGATCGAGCGTCACTCACAAATTGGCATCGCAAGCTGACTCGCAACTAGCAACATCTACATGCCCCGTCTATTGCCGCTTCTGCACACGCTCGTACTCCATCGGCACAGAGACAGACACTGTCAAGAAAATGCGCTTCTTACCCGTCGTGAAGAAATGGGAACCCCGGTTTCAGTACATAGAGGCGAACCCTCACCTCGTTGATATTGTCCTGTCGGGCGGTGACTCTTATCTGCTCGAGCCCGAGATTGTTCGCTACCTGGGCGAGCGTCTGCTGGCGATTCCGCACATCCGCCGACTCCGGTTCGCCACGAAAGGTCTGGCCGTCTCTCCGAGCCGCATGCTCGACCCCACGGACTCATGGATGTCCACCGTCATCGAACTTTCAAAGCGGGCGAGGAGCCTCGGAAAGCACGTGTGCATCCACACTCATTTCAACAATCGACAGGAGATCACATGGATCACGCGGGCAGGCGCGCGGCGGCTGTATGAAGAGGGTGTGACTGTGCGGAATCAGTCGGTGCTGCTCCACGGGGTGAACAATAGCATCGAGGAACTCTCGACGCTGGTACACGAGTTGACAGAGATCAACATCGAGCCGGTATGAAACCCCCCGTGATTCTTCGTTGACGGATCCAGACTAAGTTTCTTGCTTCCTCCGCCAGTACTACGTCTACCAAGGCGACATGATCCCCGGCGCCGAGGACCTGCGCACGCCACTGAGCGACTCACTCGAGCTGGAGCTGCAGCTGCGCGACCAGACCGCGGGCTTTCTGCTGCCGCGGTTCGTCACAGACGTGCCGGTGGCCGGCAAGCGGCCATCGCTTTCTGCGCAGAACTACGATCGCGTCAGGGGAACAGCGCAGTTTGTCAGCCCGAAGCTCACCGACGGGCCATACTCGTACTGGGACCCGTTGTGGAGCTTGTCGGAGGAGGGCCGGGAGCAGGTCAAGGAGTATTTCGCGGGCAGTGGGAAGAGCGGGTCTACGTGAAAGCTTCCATTTGGGTTCGTGAGTGGAGGTCAAAGGCATCATGCTCCATCGCCAGGATACATATCTAAAAACGCCGGTCTCTCGGATGAGAAAGGATATAGCTGTGGAGATAGCAAGAGAGGAGAGAGAGTAATACATGGTATCTGTAGCGGGAAATCATATGCTCGCAATATTGAATAACGATGATAATAATAATCCCACTCGACCGTTCGCCGAGAAACGCCGTGCCTGCCGAACGTCCCAATAAGCGCCCAAGCAATCAGTCAATCCCCAGGCTGCGTTGGTCCTTCCACGCAATCATTGGTGGATTCCCTTCTTTTCTAGGTAGTCAAGGTAGGATCGTTACGGGAACCAGTGATTTCTGTGGTTATTCCTTGATCCAGAGGCTGAATCTGAGTGTCTTCTAGTCTGTGCTGTTCGTGTCCAGCCGCCTTGCATAGCGAGGTATATAGTGTACAAGTATTTATTCCAGAGCCCGGGAGGGCGAAGTGTGTAAGGTCAGAGGACATGGCGTCTTTTCAGCCGTGCTGCTGCATATGCGTGGGCAGATTGTATGGAAGGTAATCCATGTGTACGAACGCACGGTCGACTGCAACAAAAGAAGAGAAAAGGAAAGTTAGCACACGATACAGCGACTCCAAGTACGGATTTGACAGATTCAAAGGTGGTTGGAAACTTACCCTCTGGCACACTCTCAATCACATACTGCAGACTCTCGCCCAAGTCGTGAGAATCTCTCAAGCTCGTCCTCTCGTCCAGCACGATATCGACTTCGACGTTGAGTTTATCACCGACGTGGTATGCTTGTAGACCCTGGATGTGTTTGATGGTTTTGGCGAAGCGCATGGTGAGGTAGAGGAGGATGTTGCGCTGATCAGCCGTCGCGGCTTGACCGGCCAGGTTGCAGATGTGCTCGTTTGCGGTCTGCGACCAGTTGAAGATGACGTAGAGCGAGAGGACGACACCACCGAGAGGATCGAGGAACCAGAGGTTGAAAGCGTAACCCACTGTTGATGGAGCATTACATGTTAAAAAAATAATCCCACGACTTTCAAAGGATTGACTCACCGAGAGGGAAAATGATGGAAAAGGTGTTGAACACGACGTCAGTCATCGCGTCCTGCGCCAAAGCCTGCACACTGGAATTGCGGATCAGGCGGCAATATAGCCAACACAGACCCTTGACTACTACGGTGCTGGACATGATCCCGATCGCCGGGCCGGTCAATTGAACAACTTCTCTGTCGTTACCTGTGAGTTTCGACAAGGCCTGTACACAGACTTGTAGGAAAGCTGTGATCATGATGACGGAGAAGACGAGGACGCCCACGGGCTCGAGACGTCGACGGCCGATCGGATAGGCGTATTGGTCAGTCCGCATGATCATCCAGGTGGTGACTCCAACGATGGCGGTGGAGAGGAAGTCCAATGCAGCGTCGACCAAACTGGCAAGTACTGAGACGGAAGAGGACATGAGAACAACGACAAGTTTGAGGATGAGAAGGATGAGATTGGCGGCGGTATTGATCCAAATGGCTTGTGTGACGATTGGACTGTTGGCATCAGCTTCATCTTCGATCTCCAAATCCGGAGGCATTTGAGAGCTGCCAGACTCAACATCGATCTCGGCAGTCGTGCCGAATTGAATATCGCTGACGCCGCTGTCGTGTAGAAGTGGTTGTCGCTCATCCGAACCAGCGTCGTCCTTCTTAAGCCGGTAGATGTCTTTAGGTGTACGTTTCACTTTGTTGTTCATAGGTGGTGGGGGATCGCCATTGGCCCAGAACTCGCCATTAGCCATGATACTGTCGAACGATCCATGTCGTTCGGTGTATAATCGTGGATGAATTTCGTCGTCGTCTTCCTCACTGATGGTATCCGGAACGTCGGGTTCTTGTTGATTGTACATAGATCCGTAGCCCTTGGACTGGGCTACTTGTGTGTTGTACTCTTGGATGAGATCATGTGGGAGACTGCTGTCGAGAAGGTCGTCAATGTAGCGATAGTTCTGAATCAACAGGTTATTTCGCTCGTAGCTATGCCGACAAGTCAGAATGGCTCCAACGCTACGATATCTTGAAGAACATCCACTTACTATTCCCGAATCGGTCTCTTCATCTTCTTCAAATCCTCCTCGGGCGTCCAATATTGCTCCCATCGATATCGCGGGTTCGTCGATCCGATCAACCGTTGACTCCGCATTTCCGGAGTGTTGAGCACGCTCGCCGCGTGACTCATGCGTCTCTCGTGGTCGTCATATACCGGCCAGACGGAATTATGCGACACTTGCTGCGACAGTGGCACATTGGACCTCCATAGCTCCAACTCGGGGTGTTCATCGCTGTCCTGGCTTCGAGGACGGTCAGGTCGTTCATTCGGGGCGACACCGATACTGTTGGTACGCCACCGATTGGGTCGTAAGCCTACGAGGCTGGTGTTGGATCTGGTGGAGACCAGACCTGGTGGAGGTGGATGCCGAGGCGAGTGTGTGGTCGGCAAGTCGTGTGCCAAGGGGAGGAACTCTCGGAGCTGAGCGATGCGGAAGTTGCTGGGCTTGCGGGGCGTGATGGTATCGTCAGTATCGCTGTCGGCCATGGTGGGCGATTGGAGCGAGATCTTGGTCGGCGATGGGGGTGGTGATAAGTCCGCCGTAGCGTAGCAGTGGTGAGAGGTAGCGGTTACGCCGCCGTCAAGACGAGCTGGATGGCGTGAAGACGGTCGAAGTGGTCGGCGTCAGAGATAAGATGGAACGTGAGCGAAAGCGAATCTGCTTCAGGTCATGCCACTTTCAGCTAATCATGCGAGATGTGAAGGTGTACATGGTGGTGAGCTGCGACGGCATCTGGCGACAATGACGAAGCGGCGGCGTGCGCAGAAGGCGACGGTGGACAGGTCGAAGATGTGGTTGTTGCTGATCTTGACAGGGACGGCCGTCTCGTGGCCTAATTGATAAATGATAGATGGAAAAGAAGAAGGACGAGAGTTTCTTCCAAAGTGCCAAATGTCTAGCTCGCGCTATCTCGCCTGTGCTGTCGGTAGCGATGATGCTCGATGCCTTGGTCCGGGGATATACTTTCTGGTGAGCCGCCGTTGAAGCGGACAGTCCGTCCAATTCCAGCCGGCGTTTGCTTTTCCCCCGGACTTTCCAATCGCCTTCGGGATCTGCCAGCATTGGATGGGACATATTTAGCTGTATCCTAATCACTGTATGTCCCATCTCTTCACTATCCCCAACCAGCCCTACACAGCCCAGGCCCTGCATTCCAAGATAAAAGTGCATTAGTCAGGCCAACACGTGCTCAATGGATTCGTCCACGAGATCTTGTCGAGTGAAGATCGGCTCTTCAGCTTGTTCTGAGAAGGCCGTTATCTTATCACAACTGCTACTGTATTCCACCCGATATATCGGATGTCAACCAATTCACGCTGCATATGCTTTACTTTCGATACTGCTCTTCTATCACCGTGACTGATCGGTCCAGGAGCCGATGAGCTTTTCGTCAGGCAGTCGGGACAAATGTGACGAGGAGTTCGACCTGACGTCACCGAGCGTCGCGCCAAACGAGCTCTAGAACGACGCGAATTGACAACGAATCACGAGAACGAGAAAGATTTTTCGCAGCTAAGCAGCTGAACAGATAGCTGAACAGCTTTTGCAGCTTCTCCGGTGATGCGGTTGGAAGAGAAGCATTTGTCTCAAGCAGTCGGTCCTTGCCGCTACACAGGAGGTAAAATACGACCCTGTGCTTACCTACCGTAGGTATCGACGGTGACGAGGGCTTCACTAGAGAATTCCAACTGTGCACAGATAAAAATCGGTGATCAACGAACAACAATAAATGCATGTATTCAAAGCACCTCAGCAACTTTTTCTACCATTTCCTTCATAGCACATCCCCAAGACTCAAAAAGCGAGGCGACAACAAAACAAATATGTAAATCTTAAACCCCTATCTACCGCGTCAAAGCCGCCTTCTCCTCTGCCACCTCCCTCACCACAATCTCGCGGACTTTCTTCCAGTCCGCCGGGGAATCCGTGACGCGCCTCTCCATCGACTCCAGACCCTGCAATTGCACCGGCAGAACCGTCTCGAAGGAGAAACCCGGTTGGTCGCGCAGCGCGAGCTCGACGGCGTTGGCGAATTTGGCAGGGTGCGCAGTCGACAAGGCGATGTGGTGGACTTCACCTTCGCTGGCGCCGATGGTCGAGATGGAGCGGAGGGCGCCCTCGACGCCGATGGCGGTGTGGGGATCGAGGATGTAGTGGCCATCATGTTCGGAGCCACGGGTGGGTAGCTCGGTCTCGTCGGCGCGGCGCGGTTCCAGAGGCTGGAGATAGGTGTTCGTGATGGTGGTCAGGGTCTGCTTGTCGCTCACACGCTCGCTGGCAAAATGGACCTTGGCGGCGGAAAGGATGGCTGGGTCGACGCCGAAACCGCCGGATGTCTTAAGGGCTTCGAGCCAACTCTTGACCTGAGCACCAGCAGCGGCGCGATCGTGCTCGGTGTTCGTTTGCAGCGCAAGGAACCATAGCAGACGCTCAAAGTTCGAGCTCACGAGAATGTCCATGGCCGGCGCGAGGGTCTCCTTGACGCCCTCCTCGTGCGCTTTGACGCCGTCCTCCTCAAATCCGCCTTCGGCTTCGCGACCGTGCACCGGCTTCTTCTCGTAGTGTCCAGTCCTCCAGAAGCGATGCAGAATGTCGTTCTCGTTGGTCGCAATGATGAGCTTGTTGGTGGGCAGGCCCATACGAGTCGCAAAGTAACCGGCGAGGATGTCACCGAAATTTCCAGTGGGAACCACGTAACGAACCTTGGGGTTCGGTGTCGAGGTTTGTCGTGCAAGAGTAAAGTATGAGTGGAAGTAGTAGGTGATCTGAGCGAGGATACGTGCCCAGTTGATGCTGTTGACCGCAGCCAGCTTGTGGGTCTGGTTGATCTCTGGGTCGTTGAATAAAGCCTTGACGATGTCCTGTGTCGTATATGTCAGCATCCCTATTGCATTGCATCAAGAGCGTCAAGTTCACGAACCTGGCAATCGTCGAACGTGCCCTCAACCGAGAGGTTGTGCACATTGGCATCCAAAACAGTGGTCATCTGTGCCTCTTGAATCGGGCTGACTTTGCCCTTGGGGAACATGATAAACACCGACACATCCTTCTTGCCTCGCAAGCCATAGATGGCCGCCGATCCAGTATCTCCGCTCGTCGCACCGACTACAGTCAAATGCTCCCGGTCATCTCCCTCTTTCCCCTTATTCCTCCTGACCAAGAAGTATTCGAACAAATTGCCGAGGAACTGCAATGCGACATCCTTGAACGCGAACGTCGGTCCGTGGAAGAGCTCGAGCAGGTGAAGGTTCTTCTTGCTGTCGAGAGTACGGATGGGCGTGACGTTGGGTGCGCGGAAGCCAGCGTAGCTGCGTTCGATGATGCCTTCGAGGTCTTTTCGCGGGATCTCTGAGGGTGAGATGTAAAGGCTGAAGATCTCCAAAGCGAGCTGCTGGAAGCTGTGGTCTTTCCATGTCGTTTGCCAGTCTTGCGGCAAGGCGGGAATTTCCTCAGGAATGAACAGGCCGCCGTCGGCCGCGAGGCCCTTCAGGACGACATCTTCAAAGGAGAACTGGTTCACGAATTGTTCTTAGCAGGTCATCTGGAGGCGATCTCGGCGCCGTCTTCTCCACAATGCAGGAAGAGCGTATGCGCAATGCTTCCGTATAGACAAAGAGAATCTGGCGTGGGGACCAGGTGGAGGCTCTGTATGCATCATGCATGTATCTTCAATGTCGTCGCATCAATTTTTGGGGTGATGCTCGACAAAGAGTGGGCGCCGGTGTGGGGGTCTTTGCCAAGGCACGGTCTTCGCGGAACAGGTGTTGGGGAGTTCACGTACATCATATGAGCCTCCTCGGGTGCTGAGGTAGCGCTGCGACTGCGTATGTGAGGTCATGATCTGACAATGTGTGTACAGAACGCGGTTCCAAAGAGATATGAGGGATGGGTGAAAGGTCCGGAATTTTGGCGACTGCAACAGCTCCCTGGAAATTATTATTGCTCCAGGGCTTGTTCTGAAAGAGGAACCTAGCATTGATGACTCCCGCCCAATTCTTTTCCCGCCGCCTCCAAATCTCGGCCAATGTCTCACCATCCGGCGGGGCTCGGAGCTGCAGACCGGCCAATGTTCGTGGACCCTGCCCGATGACGGGCGTGACCCCTCTTTGTCGTGGACCCGGCCGGGCTGGTGTTTTCTTAGGGTTGCCAACCGTTAACACACTCGTCTATCGATATCAAGAAACACCTACCCATGCCATCAAACTATCATCATTGCTCTTGAATCTTTTATAGAGGTTGTAGGGATTTGGAGTTGATGGGCATAGCAGTACAGGTTTAGTATGGACTTTAGAGACATCAATACCGTTTCCGCGTCGACATAATTTACATGGGTGAACTTCTCCACAAAAACTGACGACAAGCTGTTTTATCACGAAAGACACAAAGGACAAATCAAGACCAACCGGTTCACGACCAAGACCCACGATGCGTAGAACGAAGTTACGTAGTTCAGGTCGCTAATGCACATAAAGGACCCTCGGGACGTAGGTCTAACCCGCCGCCTTTGTTCACATGCGCCTGGAGGTAGTGGAATATCTTGCAAGCCCACTCGATTGAGATTTGGTGATCTTTGACGTGGATGGCGAGAATTAGGCCCGGCAAAGGAAAGCTTAGTCCCCTCCATGGCCGGACGCCTACTGACCATCGGGGAGTCGTAAGCTTTGATCGAACACCGGGCAGTACGAGCCGCTTCCTTAAATCCCCGTGCTTAAAGCGACCAGCTTTCGTCATGCTACTAACAATACCATTTAAGGTGATACTCGGTGTCGAGGGGCGTTATAACTCATCTTACGGAGATCGAGGAAATGTTTTCAGCATTTGAATACGTTTAGCTGCAAACTGCTTTATTGACGGGCTGCGCTTAGTATGCGCTTCTTCCATGCCTTCAATGCTATCGAGTCGCCGTCGTGATCATTCCTCGAACTGATCGTCACAAGTCTTGGACTTGCCCGCCGGTTTTGCTATGATGAGGACGGAGACCAGTATATTGATAAACATCCACGCTGTGCCGTACTAGTGCTTGCTGGATCACTCAATGGAAGTCTTACGACACTTTCAAGTTCTGAGAGTGAACATGGTATTCGTGCACCCGTTCTACCGCACTTCCCATTGCTTGTCAATGCTAAGTTAAGACAAATTATGCCTCGAGATGCGAGTCGTCGGGGAATGTGAAGTGACGTGAAGATTGCGATACTCGTTCAACCGTAAGCTCACGTAATCCGGGCCAATAGACTTGAAAGTTCTTTTATTAAAAGACTTCAAAGTAGAGATCGTAGCTCATGAACGTCAAGTGATGTTGGTGATGGAACGCGCCTAAATAAGCGCATCGCTTTGACACGAAAAAAGATCGACCGGCCGCCGCTGCAGGGAAAGCCGACACGAGACTGCGCAAAGGCACATGCAATCGCAATACACCTACACACACTAAACTGGTCACGACATTCAAAACTGTGCCAAACCCAAGCATCAACCATTTGACCTGGAGACCTCATCTCACTTTGTACATCATTCAACCTCACCATCATGGCAGGCGACGACAAGACCAAAGTCACCATCAACGGGTCAACATCAGGCTACAATCCCACCACGCAAGACAACATCACCATGGCGCTTCTCCAAAGCGGCGGCGTCACGCGCATTCAGAACGCATTCCAGCAACGACTCGACGAAGCCGGCTGGACGCAAAATCTACGCGAATACGTCGAGCGCTTGTTCCGTTCGGGCGACGCGACCACCTACGACGAAGCTCTCCGTATGGCGATGCAGCACATAAACATGCCTAGCGCCGATGACGATTCTGCCACAGCGAATGGGAATGGTCATGCCGACGCGCCGAACCTGACGATTCCGCGTGATGCGGCGAAGGGTGCGGCGGAGACTGTGAAGAAAGAGTTGGCGAAGGTGGTGAAGATGGACAAGTAGGAGGGACAAATAGGTACTGCAACCACAACATTGGACATTGGGGGGACGACATTGCTACGCGAGGGTGTTACGAGCGGTTCATGCATGAGATGCTACCCGTGCAAAAGGCAACACACAACTTGAGCCATACAGCTGAAGTCTGATATTTGGATTCCGGAATGTGTGAGGTCAAACTGCTATTCCGCAGAGCAGTCATCGCGGCTCTCGATCCGTGTGCTGCGACACACCGCCTACACAAGGTTGATTGCTTCAGATGCGAGAGTGCGGAGTTCAGGAACTTCACAGATGGCCATGATGGGTTCACTGCCCCGACGCAACATCTCGAAGACAAAGTTGAGTATTCTCTCTAGTCATGAAATTCTGGCAATTCTGAGGAATGTGGGAAAGTGCGTGTAACAGGCGCATAACACTTCGTCCTCGCAGATGTGCTCGAGACATCGCAGCGTTCACATCTTCTCGACAATCCCTCGAGGAGATTCCAGGTCCAGCAGACGCTCCGCATTGTGGCGGCATACATCAGCGATCTGCCCTTGGTCGAATAACTCTTTCACGCCATCCTCCATCTGCTTACTCAAAGATACGACCCCTTCTGCTTTAGTAAAGGGAAAATCAGATCCATACATCATTCGTGTATGCGGTACGCCGATGCCGTGGAGCATGCCACGAATCTGGGATGGAAACGGGAACCCTGCCAAATCGAACCAAATCTGACTCTTGAAGGCTTCCAAGACTTCTGCCTCAGGGACGCCCTGCCATGGGCCTGGCACTAATTGGCTGAAACCAGTCCACCGCGAAAGCATTGGCGCGAAGCCACCTCCTAGGTGTGGCAGGATGATTTTCAGATCCGGACATCGACGGATGGTGCCGCTCATGAAGAGATTAGCCACGACGCGTGCAGTGTCGAAGAAGAATTCCAGCATCGGATTTGGCCACTGTCTTGCCAATGGCGTGGCCTTGATCGTCTCACCTGCCGTTGCCGTGGACGTTGAGCAAGCACACTGCGGCGTGCTGGGATGAATGAACAGCAATGCCTTCCTCCGGTTGAGTTCGTCAAAGATGGGATCGAACATGGCATCCCCGAGATAGTGCCCATGCGCGTTCGTCAAGACTCCGAATCCGTCGCAGCCTTCCTCTGCTGCTCGCACAATCTCCTCGAGAGAACCTTGCACATCGGGCAGCGGCAGTGCGGCAAAGTAGCCGAATCGCTCCGGCATACGTCGTTTGAGATCTGCTGCGTAGGCGTTGCACTCCCGTGCTAGTCTGCGGGCGAGGGCATCTTCGCCGGGCACGAGATGCACGCCAGGGCTGGAGATGGACAGAATTGAACGAGAGATGTTGAGTTTATCCATCAGCGCAAGGTGGGCTTCTGGAGACCAATCTGGCAAGTATGGCATTCCGTCGGGGTTGGCGTGGCCATTTTCGCGGCAGGCTTTTTGGTAGAAGGATGGTAGGTAGTGCGAGTGCACGTCGATGCGTGCAGGTAGAGATGATGAGGAATCCATGTTGAAGACTTACGGATGTCCCTGAACAGTCGCCTGTGTCGTGACTTTTCTGAATTCTCTGGACGGCCTCGTCCCAAGGAGAGCCAGATTACCTCTTGCAGGTGGAAGGATGACTATTTTCGTCGATGAGCAACTCAGATTTGCGTAATATTAGAGTCTTCACGACAGGCTTTTTTCCAGAATCGTTTGGATCATCGTTACTGCTGACGTTCGATGTCCATCACCGACGAGCTCGTCGTACACCGGAGCTTCGGTTCTCCAGTGCCGGCCACCTACCTCAATCTGCTTACTGTGCATGCCGTCTTCTCCGACAGTAGCTGAGCACATCCACACATGTATGTCAGGAACGTAGTGTCTAATTACAAATATTTACCCGACCAAGTTTATGAGCAGAATCCCGGCGAGATGGACATAATTATGAAGTATTGTTTGGTCTGTCAATCCATTCGCAGGGAGAGGAACATATCCCACCAGATTCTCTATGTTGTCTACAAGCCCAACCCTAAACAGCCACGCGATGAAATATGACGACTCGCGATGCACGAGCGGCGCATGTTCGATTCGGGCGAAAGGTTCGCTAAAGTCCGAAGAAGAAGAGTAATAATAAAGCACCTCGGCTGATACTCCACCTGCACCTGGGCACACTTGGATTTGGTCCACCACATGGCCGACGATAGTTCGGTTCTAGTCCATCTGACAGCACTGATCTCGTGCGTCGCATTGAATAGATTGTAGGGCTGCGCCATTGTGCTTTAAAGACAGTCCTGTCGTGCTAGCTCAGTTGTGCCTCCAGTCTTCCCTTTGCGCCGCCATTTTGCTCGCGCTTCTTGTCTTCGTCTTCACCTTTCGCTTGCACCAATTTGTTACCATGGCAGGCCCTATCCGTCAACCGATCGACTTGAATAAGCTGCAGAGCTACATTGAGAAGCATGTTCCTGAAATTAAGACACCGCTGGATGTGAAGCAGGTATGACACTCTCCCAGATCCGCCGGCACTATGCATCGTCACTATCTCACACATCACATTCCACAGTTCGGCTATGGCCAGTCCAACCCAACCTATCTCCTCCAATCCTCCACAGGATCCAAATACGTCCTACGGAAGAAGCCTCCAGGGAAGCTACTCAGCAAATCCGCTCACCGAGTCGACCGCGAGCACCGAATCATTTCTGCCCTCTCCTCCTCCGATGTCCCCGTTCCACGCGCCTACATCCTCTGCGAAGATGACAGTGTCATTGGCACACCCTTCTACATCATGTCTTACCTCGACGGCCGCATCTTTCCGAATCCAGCGATCCCAGACGTGAGCCCTGAACACCGCACACTGATGTGGAAGAGCGCCATCGAGACTCTCGCAAAGTTCCATCGTGTGCGCCCGGATACAGTGGGCATGGCGGATTTCGGCAGACCGGACAATTTCTACAATCGGCAATTGAAAACGTTCGCGACAATCTCGGTCGCGCAGGCGGAGACGACCGACGTCGAAACCGGCGAGGCGGTGGGCAAGATCCCGCATTACGACGACATGGTTGGGTTCTTCGGCACAGCAGCGACACAGCCTCGAGACCGCGGCACGTTTGTGCACGGAGATTTCAAAATCGACAATCTAGTATTCCACAAGACGGAGCCTTACGTTATCGGCATTCTAGACTGGGAGATGGCGACGATCGGACACCCTCTATCCGACCTAGCAAATCTCCTCTCACCATACGCCCAAGCGACGAATGAATTCGCCGTAAACACAGGGCACGCCAACCGCGCATTCGTCCCTGGCACGATGGAGGGTCTGCCGACGCAGAAGCAATGTCTGGAGTGGTATCACGGTGTGGTGGACTGGAAGTTTTCAGACCGCGAGATCGCGTGGGGAGAAGCATTCTTTCTATACCGCAGCGCGATTATCGTGCAGGGTATCGCGGCGCGGGTAGCAAGAAGACAGGCGAGCAGTGAAAAGGCAAAGGAGCACGCAGTTCTGATGGAGCCGATGGGTTATATGGCGTGGGAGTTCTGTGAGAGGTATGGCACTCTGTCAGACAAGGCAGAGTCCAAGTTATGAGAGGAGGAACTGTTGTAGCGAGATATATGAATACATGTGGTGACGACTCAAAAGCATGGCCTGATCGCGAGATTTTGTATGGTAGTCTGGAAGCAGAATTGTTACACCAACGCTATTGTCACTGCCCAGGTGTTCACTTAGAACAACATTGGAAGGCGACTTGACTATGGCAGATTCCCCAGCTGGAGTGCGAGGGTCCGATGATCGTGGTCAATGCCCAGGGCAAGTCTGCCGAGCAGATTATCAAGTTTCGGGGATCGCATCACAACTCCGAGCTCTCTTTCCATCGCAGATCACTCCATCACTGCGCCGACAAGCATCTTCTATCACCAGCACACATTCATCCCGAGATGCCACGGAATCCACAATCGCTCAACATGCTGCGCCAACTCTTCACCACCGACTCTCAACCCGTCATGCTCCGGACACTCTTCCGACAACCCTCGCGCCAACCCACAGCCAGCCGCACTTTTCTCACATCCAACCTCTCCCCCTCGAGTCGACGCCTCACCTTCCCGCGATGGCGCGTCAACAACAGCAGCAATAAACCCCTCGGCCGACGCCACGAAAGCACCAACAAACCGACCTCCTCCCTCAACCCACCCCCGGGCACAAAAGTGCACTACCAAGCCCCCTCTTCCACCAACGCGCCCAAGCAGAGTCTCTCAGATCGGATGAAAGCGATGTCGAAGAAGTACGGCTGGACGGTGGTGGGAATCTACCTGGGCCTCTCGGCGCTGGATTTCCCCTTCTGCTTCCTGGCCGTGCGGTGGTTCGGACCGGAGAGGATCGGGCATTTGGAACATGTGATTGTCAGTCATGTGTGGGCGGGACTGGAGAGTGTGGTCCCCGGGCTCAAGGAGAAGAGGGAGAGGAATGAGCAGTTGGCGCTCGAGGAAGGCGGTGTTCTGGGCGATGCGGTGCAGGCGGTCAATAATGTGAAGGAGGAGGTTAAGGGGAAGGAGGGTAGTGCGAGTAAGTTTCGATCGTCTCCTCTGTTCTTTCTTCCTTGTTGGGAGGTTCGGAACGAAGGACAGCGAGCCTCTGGGGAAAGATTGGACATTCACTGACAAGCTTATTTCCAAATAGGTATCTGGACACAGCTTTTGATCGCATATGGTGTGCACAAATCGCTGTTCTTCCTGCGCATTCCGATCACATTGGCCATCACGCCCAAGGTGGTCAAGACGCTGCGAGGCTGGGGCTGGAAGATCGGCAATGTGACGCCCAAGGCCTAGATTCCGCGAAACGCAAAGAGAGGCAAGCGAGCCATGATAGAAACAAAGATTGGGAGATCCAAGGACGGACAGATCACTCGATCGAAAAAAAACCTACACTCCGCTTCATCAAAGACCCGTTGTACAAATATTTGTATCAAATTATATCCCTTACACCAGTGCTCATCGTTTGGGTCTTCAGCGTAGATCCTTGCTCTTTTAACATATCCCCGTCACGATGTCGTCTAGTAAGTGTAGAAGCCCTTTCCAGACTTACGTCCCAACCAACCCGCATCCACCATCTGCCTCAGTCGGACGCTCGGTCGGTACTTGGAGTCTCCCAGCTGTCCGTGCAACACCTCCATGATGGCAAGACACGTGTCCAAGCCGATGAAATCCGCCAATTGCAGAGGTCCCATGGGCACATTCGTACCGTTCTTCATGATGTTGTCGATACTCGCCTCGTCGCCGACGCCGGTCTCGAGGCAGATGATGGCCTCGTTGATGTATGGCATCAGGATTCGGTTGGCGAGGAAGCCAGGGCTGTCGGCGGACGTCGAGGTGATTTTGCCCATGCGCTCGCAGAACGCGATGGCGGTCGCTAGCGTCTCGGGGGAGGTCTGCAGACCGGAGATGATCTCTACACCTTTTTGGATCGGCACCGGGTTCATGAAGTGAGTGCTCACGACTCGCGAAGAGGCCGACAAGTCTTTAGGGTCCTGTGTTGTGATGATCCATGTCAGAATCGCAGTCTCTTCCTTCCCAATTCATTGCGTCAAACGTACCTTGGTGGTCGCGGCCGCGATCCTCGTGATGCTGATCGAGCTGGTGTTTGTCGCGAGAATCGCATGTTTGGGCGCAGCTTCCGCCAGCTGCGCAAAGATCTTGAGCTTCAAATCGAGAATCTCAGGAACGGCCTCGATCACAAAGTCGACATCTCCCAGGTCATCGAATTTGGTCGTAGTCTGCAGACGCCCGCGCACGGCATCCGCATCGCTTTGGCTGATCCTTTGCTTGCCAACGTCTTTGCTCAAAAGCTTATCGGCGAACGCGAGACCTTTGTCGAGTGCGGCCTGGGTGGTGTCGACGAGGACGACGGGGACACCGGCTTGACGAGAGGCGACGAGGGCGATCCCGAGACCCTATCGTAATGAGATTGGAGTGTTAGATTGTTTCGAAATGTTATAGAGTGGTTTCCAAAGTGTATTTTGAAGGCATCGTGACGTACCATCTGTCCAGCACCAATGACACCCAGCTTCTTAACCGTCGCGGCTTGCACCTCGGCCATGGCGGGGGCAGAGGACGAGAATGTGCGGCATCGTGAAGCCGGGATGCTTTTTGACAGACCGCGAGCGGCGGCGGAAACTGCAATTCTCTGCATGATTGAAATCTGTTATGTGGTGCTGGTGTACAAAAGTCGCTACCACAATGGGAGGGTTGGAGAGCAGATTGGAATTCCGTCACAAGTCAAAAAACATCATCGGGTTCGGCAAGCTTGGGTCAAGCTTTCACTCCGCGTTCGGCAGATGTGAGCCCGTCGCCGGAAGCCGCATCTACATGGGCTATGATGAATGATGAATTGCGGTTGCTGCTCCTGAGCCACCATGTTCTCAACCTTCATTGAAGAACTCATTCGTTTCAAACAGTTTCTGTCTTTTCTCAAGATTCAAGAATTAAATGAGAGCCATCGGCACATCATGCAATAATGTAAGAACGCTGTCACGTAACTAAAACAAGAACCAAAACCATCATCGTGAATCATATATTATCATCAGTACAGCTGCGTGAAAGTCAACCGCCTCACGACAGCCTCGATATCTGGCGCCCGCCAAACTTCCATCTCAGAGTAATCCTGTGCCGCTATTACCTTGTCGCCACGCCAAGGTCCTCCATCGGCTAACAAGAATCTCACAGAGGCTGAAGTATGGAAATCTGGCCGATCGAGGACAACCACGAACGTCTTGTAGGGCTCGCACCGAAATGTCGCAGGATCGTTCCAGACAATGTTCGGCTCGAGTGAAAGTGGATGGAGGCGTCGAGGATGTGGTTCTGGCGGTCGGATATAGTCGAATGGGTCATCAAATTTCCTATCGGCTTGAAGCCTGGTGAAGGTACCGACGAAGTTTGGAGGTAGGTTGAGTGATGCGAAATGAGACAGCGCTGATGAGTCTGTCGGTATTGAAGGTCGATGAAAGTGAAAATCGATCGTTGTGCCAACTTGAATACGATCGAGGATGGAGGCTGTGAATGTTCGCGCGGCGCTACCCAGTATCTGCTCATCGCTGTGCGCGAATGGTACATATATAACATATCTCAAGTCGGGCGGCAAATCTGGCCTATGGTCGAAGAGTCTGATTCGATCAATAACGTGTTCGATAAGAATCCCACGAACGTTCAGTTTCATCTCTACTTCATCCATTTTCGGCGTTGACATGAGTTCGAAGAATTCAGACATGGTCATCGCATCGTCAAGCTCGCCACCAAACTCCATCCCGTCGTCTTTCTCATCCCACCCATGTAGCCAACTTTTCGGATATATCATTCGCATCTCGACTGCCGATTGCACACGATTTTGTATGCGAGTAACTCTGACATCAAGCTGCTCTGAGTAGAATTGAACATTATCTGTACCTGTTACATAAAATGGCATCTGCCACTCTTGATCGAGCGTCTGCACGCTATTGGGAAGGCGAGGATCAAACTGAACCCACAACGGTGCTGTTTGATTGAGCCATTTCAGAGGATCGTCCCATTCACCTATGCCGTCATTTGCCTTCTCTCAACCTTGGGCGTCGGTGATGGCGAACAGGAAGGCAGAAGTCTTCTCCTCATATGTGCCGGCGTTCAATTTTGGTATCAGAGGGACACTGACATCTCCCGCGTGTCGAAGCCTCTTGCGATGTAGCACCTCTCGTCTGGAATGATCGACGAAGTTCAAGACTGACGCTTCAGGCATCACGTAAAATTTCCATAGTGGTTGAGGTCTCTGCACATCAAACAAGTCACACAAGTGACTGGTCAACTTGGCACACTTGGAGATCTTTGAGACCAGACGATCTTTGGCTACGCCTTCTTCGGTTGTGCCCAATGCATCAGCTTCTTCGTTGTTCTTATCGAGACATAAATCGACATTTAGATACAACTGGAACACGAATTGTGGTGATGCAATATAGTCGGTCGGTGGCCAAGGTGGAGGGACAGCATCATAATTGTCTCGATAGCCGTAACGCAATGCTCGTTGACCAGCATGATCAACAAATTGATGCTGACACAACTGACGAGTCTGCTTATTGGCTCTCGCGATTTGCGCTGTACGTGCCATGTTAGTGATAGACTTGTAATGATGCGAGATACAGCTTTCATCCAATTATTATCATGTAGCTGGTTCCGACTATACAGGTATTGTGCTATTGCATATTTCACGCCCACCACTGTGTCAATGATAGGCGGTACATCAGGCGGTGTATGTGAAATTCCTGGATTGGATGGGTCTAGCATCATCACCTTCATCTCTGTCGCCGGAACCAACGATTTTGAAGTTGATTGAGGACACACATTTCTGTCTTTTAAGATTCCCCTTTGTTTCACTGGTGGCCGCAGTGTCCGAGCTAGACCCTGTCTGGTACCTGATCGGAGCTTTCTGCGTCGCTTCCGCTGGCATTGACGGCTCTTCCAACGACCCATTCGCTTCGTTCTTACAACACAAAATATTGCCCCATCAAATCACCTTTCTGTACAAGGGCATCGCGTGTTTGGATTGAAATTCGCCACCTGACTGGTCTGATTTCGCTAGTCTTGTCGGGTCTCTCAGCCCATTCGCAACAACCGAGATCGCATCATGGCTTCAACTGCAGCCAGCCCTGATTTCAATCGCGAGATCCACCATCGACGGGTCGCTCAGAATACGAACGACAACGCAAGCAACTACAACGCATATTCAAGTTCCGGACCACCAGTAGACTCAACTCTTCTGCCGACCGGCTCTCGCTCCCTCTCCTTCATTGGGCTTCAAGCTTGGTGTCTGGGGAATACCTTCGCTGGAGGACTACTTCTCACGATCTACCTCATCTCAAACAATTCGCCATGGTGGCGTCTTCCAGCATTCTTTACATGCCTCGCGTTGTTCCATTTCCTAGAGTACTACACTACTGCGCAATACAATGTCCCTGCTACGCGGGCCTCCAGTTTCCTTCTATTTAGCAATGGCAGCGCGTACACGACCGCACATGCCTTGGCTACCCTGGAGATTGTCCTGTCCAATTTCTCGAGCCGATATCAATTGCTTATCGCCAATCCTCTGGTGATCACAGTCGGACTGATACTGATTATCGTGGGTCAGATTGCACGTAGTGTGGCAATGGCGCATGCGGGCACGAACTTCAATCACACAATCGCACGAGAGCGGAAGGAGAGCCATGTGCTTGTCCAAGACGGGATCTACGCGTGGTTGCGACATCCCAGCTATTTTGGCTTCTTTTGGTGGGCTTTGGGTACGCAATTACTTGTGGGAAACAAGATCTGCTTACTGGGTTACACCGTCGTGCTTTGGAGGTTTTTCGCTCGACGTATCTATGGTGAGTCCGAATTATGTGAAGCGAGGATTTCTTGTGAACGCTGACAATCATGGGTACACAGGGGAAGAGCGATTCTTGGTGCAATTCTTTGGCAGCGACTACGAAGAATACAAGAGAAAGACATCGACATATATCCCTCTGATTAGATGAGTTGGTAATGCTGCGCATGATCTATTTTACAGTTACGAAATGGGGTGCTTTGTATTGCCAAAGAACCTGGGAACCTTTTCAAACTTTACGAGCACAGCCGGCTCCAAGCTTGCATTGGGGCGAAGCAGCAGCAGCTCACGCACGATGAGTCACAACAACCGTACGCGCTCAGCGACTCTTTGATTGCAAACAAGAGTGTTCTTTCCCAGAGAACAATTGTCTACAGCCTTTCGCGATCAATGAGAAAAACATACAAGCACCAGTCACATTGACGTTGCGTGTGGCCTATGAAGAATGGCCGTCCAGCGCTCAGCAAACGACAAAATCCAGGGAGGCGATGACGCAGCGGCCCAAGCTTCCTCACTTCCGCGGCGAACTGTCGTCACCACGAACGACACCAATATTCCTGAGCGGAACACGGAACAATCACAACACTTCGAACCATCGCCAATGGCTGCTCGCTCGGCACCACTCCTCATCTGCAGCATTGGCAACCCAGGCGTGCAGTATGCCAACACCTATCACAGCGCAGGTCACGTCGTGCTGAACAAACTCGCCGACCAGCTAGGGTACAGCGGCTTCCAAAAAGATCCAGAACTCGGCGGACTCACAAGTCGGCCACTGACAGTATCAGCAACCGGCAACTGGACATTATGGCAGTCGCCGCTTTATATGAATGAGTCGGGAAGAGGAGTGCATGCTGCTTACAAAGCCTGGTCGAGAAACCTGCCCGTTGGCGAAACCGGGAAACTCGTGATCGTTCACGATGAGCTTGAGGCACACACCGGCAAAGTCTCTCTGAAGACGACACAGGGCGCAAGCGCAAGGGGTCACAACGGGCTGAAGAGCATCATGGAGGTGCTAGCAGGCTCAAGGACACCTTTCTATCGCATTGGCATCGGCATCGGTCGTCCAGTGAGTCGGGAACAAGGCGCGGTGAGCAACTACGTGCTGCAGAAGATGACCAATGGTGCTCATGTGAAAATGGAGGCTGGGCTTCCGAAGGTGATTCAGAGTTTGAAACGGCTGGAGGGATTATGAAAGGAAAGTCCCACGTTGCATAAGATCAAAGCGCTCGCTCGTCGATAGCAGCGACAAGTTTGCCATAGCCAACTCCAACATGCTTTGCTTGAGTTGGCATGCGCTGTCATTGTGCGCCGGAGCATCTCTCCTTGCGGAACGAGCCTTGGAGGAAGAGCGTGGTCGCATTGCGCAGCCGACCAAGAACATGGTTCGGAGATGAGAGCCTTCGTTGCCGACTCAGGGGTGACCAACACATGTCATGAAAGAGCATTGCGCTTTTGTGAATATCCTGTCGATCAACGGAAAGAGCCCATCCATGAACACTGAACTCGCTTCTTCCACGAGAGTACATTTATTGTCCCGCTCAAGACCTTGGACAATCGAACCCAGCTCGACTAGCTTTGCGAGCACATACGAATCAACACAGCATTGTCATCAGCTGTGACTAACACTAGCGAACATCTGGCTTGCGCCGTGCAGTTGCGGTTTGTTCGTGATCCATCGCCAGCATCTGGATGTTCACAAGGACTCCCGGGACATGAGATGCATAGTTTCGTCGATGGTGCGGTCGGCTTATCTTGAGCGCAACTTCCGCAGCAAGAATTTCCTCATGCATGCGAAGGAGGGACGTAGGAGTGATGTTTTGTCGGCCGCTCGTGCTCGCGCCGTAACACTGGACTCGTGTGTCTGCTGGGCACCTGGAAGAGAAGTAAATTTCCAAGTTTAGATTCCCAATACTATATAGTGTGGTGTTATCACTATGGTTCCGTATTCTTGTACACTTGAGCATACACCATCACCATGGTCAGTTTTACTGCTGGGTAGGTAAAGTTGGGTGGCGAGCGCACGTGACTGAATACCAGCTTTGGGAGTCGCCCAGACCTGCATGGCGACATCCGAGGTCGGCGGAGATTCCCGCAGTGTGGATCGTGAGACAACCACGTTCTCCGGTGGTCCCCTAGAGAAGGAAAGACAAAGATTTCCATTCAACGTGATGAGAACGATGATGGAATTTGTCCCAGGACTATGTTCATGTCTCAGAGAATACTGTCACTGTCTACGAATATCTTCATATCGTGCACATTAATGACCTATATCATTATAAAGAGAAAGGATATGTGAGGAGTAAGATGCACTAAGAGGGAGCCATTGGACCCTCCTCCAGACTGGAGTGAGTAGACTCACAGACTCACATATACCTAATACATGGAGGATGAATTGCCATACATTTGACTGGAGAAAGTCCTGGAGGTTGGATCCCCGCACTGACCTTGGTGTCGAACAGTCATCACTCTAGACCGTCTTGGGCCTAATTCTCTGCAGCCATTTCGCCCATCTCGCCCATTTTCGCCCTTGGGGCTCTTTTTTGGCGCGTGCTTTCTTTCGGTCGGCCGCCGCTGCTACTGCACCAAGGTGGATTTCGACTCATTCCTCCATCTCCAATTATTATTCCTCTCCATCTCATACTCTCACTCGCTTGCCAAATCCTTCCTACCTTTCCTCTCGGATTGCTTGACTGGCCGAGAGTGATTGTGTTCATCACTGCCAGCAAGACCACATCACCCGCCAGACAATCGGCAGCAACCAAGTGAGAGAAAAAAAATGTTGCAATCCGCCGCCTCGGCCAAGAGGGCCACCAGCCAATGCGTGCGCTGCGCGCGTGCTTTTTCCACCTCGCCCGCCCACACTTCCATTTCGCCATACCGGAGAGGCGCTCTGTCTCTCGCACAAACATCCTCATCCTCAGCATCGCAATCATCACAACAACGCAATGTCTCCGACACCTCAAAACGAGCGGCGCAAGCAGCCGCCACCGCGCCTGCGGGACAGCGTCAGGTGCCCAGTCCAGCATTCAATCGTGATGACTCCCGTCTGCGCGATGTTCACCCACTCCAGCCTTTCCGCCAGCAGCCTGAGATGGACCACAGCTTTGTCGGCATGACTGGAGGACAAATCTTCCACGAGATGATGCTTCGGCACGGAGTGAAGCACGTCTGTACGTTTGTGACTCAGATTTCAACACGAGAAATCTTTGCTCTGTTTGAACAAGATCAATGCTGACACATCTCCCCAGTTGGCTACCCTGGTGGTGCCATTCTTCCCGTATTCGACGCCATCTACAATAGCCCTCACTTCGATTTCATCCTCCCTCGACACGAACAAGGTGCTGGTCACATGGCAGAAGGTTATGCTCGTGCATGCGGCAAGCCTGGTGTGGTGATTGTCACCTCAGGACCTGGTGCGACCAACGTCGTCACCCCCATGCAGGATGCGCTTATGGACGGTACTCCGATGGTGGTCTTCACCGGCCAGGTCATGACCAGCTTGATCGGATCTGATGCATTCCAAGAGGCGGACATTGTGGGAATTTCACGGGCGTGCACCAAATGGAACGTTATGGTCAAGGATATCGCTGATCTCCCTCGACGCATCAATGAGGCTTTCGAGATTGCCACCTCTGGACGACCCGGACCCGTGCTTGTCGATCTGCCCAAAGATGTCACCGGTTTGACCTTGAACAAGCCCATTCCCGTTACCTCGACTCTGCCCTCTCGACCTTCAGCTGCCACGGTTGCTGCGCGTGAATTGTCTTCGAGACAGCTCGAGGCCAGCTTGAAGCGCTCAGCCGACCTCATCAACATGGCCAAGAAGCCTGTCATCTACGCAGGACAGGGTATTCTCGGACACCCCGATGGACCGGCTGTTCTCAAGGAGTTGGCCGACAAGGCTCAAATCCCGGTGACCACCACACTTCAAGGTCTCGGTGGCTTCGACGAGCTCGATGAGAAGTCCCTGCACATGCTCGGTATGCACGGATCTGCCTACGCGAACATGTCAATGCAGGAGGCCGATCTCATCCTCGCTCTTGGTGCCCGATTCGATGACCGTATCACCGGTAGCATTCCCAAGTTCGCTCCCCAGGCGCGCCTCGCAGCCGCTGAAGGCCGCGGAGGAATCATCCACTTCGAAATCATGCCCAAGAACATTAACAAGGTCGTCCAATCCAACGAGGCCGTCGAAGGCGACGTCACCACTAACCTCAAATCTCTCCTCCCTCACATCGAGACTCGCTCAAAGGAGGATCGCAAGGAGTGGTTCGGCCAGATCAAAGCCTGGAAGGAGCGGTTCCCATGGGCCTGGGAGAAGGAAGGCCACCCCGACGCTCTCATCAAACCTCAAACCGTCGTCGATACTCTCTCCAGGCTCACCGCCTCCCGCAAGCACGAGACCATCATCGCCACTGGTGTCGGCCAGCACCAGATGTGGGCCGCCCAGCACTTCCGCTGGCGCTCACCCCGCAGCATGATCACCTCCGGCGGTCTCGGCACGATGGGCTACGGCCTGCCCGCCGCCATCGGCGCCAAAGTTGCCCAGCCCGATAAACTCGTCATCGATATCGACGGCGACGCCTCCTTCCTCATGACGCAGACTGAGCTCTCCACCGCCGCGGAATTCAACATCGGCGTCAAAGTCCTCGTGCTGAACAACGAGGAGCAGGGCATGGTCACCCAATGGCAATCCCTCTTCTACCAGGACCGCTTCGCCCACACCCATCAGCGCAACCCGGATTTCGTCAAACTGTCCGAGGCCATGCACGTCCCCGCCCGCCGCACCAGCAAACTCGCCACCCTCGAGGACGACCTCATGTGGCTGATCGAAGGCTCCGGTCCCGGCCCAGCTTTCCTCGAGGTCGTCATCGATCAGAAGGTTCCGGTTCTTCCTATGGTTCCTGCCGGTTGCGGTCTGCATGAGTTCTTGGTGTACGATGAGAAGAAGGAGAAGGCTAGGAGGCAGCAGACCAGGGAACGCTCTGGTCGGTAGAGTGTTGGAGACGTAGGCAGGGTCGTTGGAAGGAAAGATTGGAAGGCGAAGAAGATGAAGAGATGATCTTGGGAAGAAATATTTCATGCTCCTAGTCTCATCATCACGTTTTCCGTTGTACGCTTTATTTTTTCTGTTGCGAAGTCTCGTTGATGTTACAATTCAAATGTCATGGGGACAAAAAGTGAACTTTTCTCAAATATCATATTTATCTTTTCTACCCTTACTACTCAAGTTCGATTCGTGGACGAGCCTTGTTTGTCTCGCTTGTTCCGGGAGAAGTGGACTTGCGAGGGTAATAGAATAAGCTGCGTAGAGACCCGATTTTTGAATGTATTGCTTGTTGATTGACCTCTATTTTCTAGCTTCTAGCTCACTAGAAAGCCAGGTCATGTTGTACTTCTCCGCGTCCGATGATAATTAGGCCTTTTTCTCTAATAGTGGCCAATGTCGCTTCTGGCCCGCATTGTCGATGCTTTCGCAGGACTTTGCAACATGCTCTATAGCGGTCGAGCAAAGGATGGTCTTGCCGCGTCCTGGTTTTCCATACATCCAGGGCTGGCTCCGTTGTGGTCTGTCAGATCTCATGGCGCCAAGTCGTGCGTGTGAACTCGACTTGCTTTCAGCCTGTTGCTTTCACAATTCGTGAAACTCCAATCATGCTTATTGCACGGAGCCTCGGAACACCTACAGAGCCATACGAGAGAAGAATCTATGCGTACGTAGAACTGATGGTAAATTACGAGAGCAGGACAGGACAAAATGCGCAGCTTTAACACTTCGCGCGGGCGTCGGAAATTCTTAGGGTTTGGGTTGCTTCTATCTTCTCCACGGCGCTGACACTGCGAGCAATATTTCTTGTTACTTTACAAGCGAACGAGTCGCAGGCCAGTGCCTCATGTTCCTGTTTGTATTCTCTCGGAAATGTTGTCCTTATCGCCTCAGTCTAACAACGGCGGCCGAGACAGGCATGTGATCGAAAAAGTTATCATGGACTACGGAGGCGCATCGCTGGTTCCTGGTACAGCTGCAACTTTCTTGGGGTTGTCACCGCTTCGTGCTCATGACATGCCTGTTAGACGGCAGGCCACCCAGACCATTGCTATCATCGAAAGTGGCGTGTTACAAACATTTCTTACCTACGAAGACCCGGGTTTCCCGGGATGAGAAACCGCATGAACCGCAGGGTTCACGATCAAATAGCGCAATAAATATAGTCCATGAGTATCACGACCATCTCAGCTAGAGGCCATCACTCGTTCGTCAAGGCGCCGCGATGGAGACTTCAGTAAGACTTACGGGAATGTCGCGCAGCGCCATTCGACGCTTTCGGGCAGTCCTTCTTCATATGTCCCTTCGTTCCGCACGTAAAGCAGGAAGAGTTGGAAGCATTGGACCCGGATGAGCCACCGCCGCCGCCTCCGCCAGATGAGATGCCACTTAGCCTATTGAGCTTGATCTCTTTTTTCCTCCTCTCTTCTCCCATCTGGTGAAGTCCGGCATTTTCAGCCTTTCTTTTCGCTTTACGCTCTGCGCGCACTCGTTCAGCCGCCGCTCTTTGTCCCTTCGCTATCAGTGCATCAACGCCAGTAGCATCACCGCCAACATTTGCTGCACCTTCCCCCTCATCTTCCTCACTGTCGTCATCGTCTTCATCATCATCGTCATTGTTCTTCCGTCGTCCGGCAAATTTGTCGAGTTTGCCGAACCGCTTTCGCCCTGCAACCTCGAATCGGCCAGACTCCTCGGCACCTGATTGCGCATCTGGTGTATCATTGTCATCGAGATGTGAGAAGCCTGCTGATACGATCTGAAATGGTGATTGCGCGACGGTTTCGGGTGCCTTATAGCTCAAATACCACTCATCATTGGCAGTAACGTTCTGTTGCCGTGCGCTCAATTCACCTTCAGGCGAGGACTGGTTGAATGGTTGTGGTCGAGAAGTGGGCGATGCATTATTTGCGCCTCCTATGGACAGTCGTTGTCTCTTCGTGGGAGGCTCTGAAGCAGGTGACGCGGGGGCCGAACCGCGTTGCATGAACTTCATTGTCGCCAGTCTTGACGACATGACCTTCGGTTGTTTGCTCGCCATGGCCATTGTCCGTTTCGAGAGAGGCGCGACAGGGATCCAATATTGTGCTGGGATTGTCGCGTGAACAGCGGAAGTGTGCGAAGGTTGAACTTCAGAGTTGCGACTGCCCTATGGTCGTCGAGAATTTCAAATTCGTGACCGGAGATGAGACTCCGTCTATTCAAGGTGCCCAGGTGGCGATCGACAAACCTTGAAAGCCGCGGAGGTGCTTATGTAATTAGATTTCTGGTCTCGGCTCAATCGAGCCCTGATTCTTTAGCCCGCAGATGATGATGCGACCACATCGACTTCCATCGAGACAAGCCTGATCCTAGGAAATTCACATCGATACAAGCTGCAAACATGCGACCGGAAGGCTCTGACCCCGCCGACAAATGTCCAGTTGATCATCGCACTCGCGAGAAATGGTTGGAAGCAGCAAGAGCAAGCGGCAACGCCGCATCGAATCCCCACTCATCACCACCTGGGAGCGGTTCTGCAGCGAGTCGTTTCTCCCTTGATACCGGCACTTGGACATCTCCCGCTACCATCGCACAGAATCGCGCGCCGAAGAGGCCTAAGATGTACAGTCTCTCAACAGATCGAGAAATCAGCACCATCCCTCGAGGGAATCTCACCAAACCCGTATCCGAACTCAATCCAGCCGAGCGTGCCGCTCTACCAACGCCTGCCTCAGCAAACAACGAACATTCCGCTACACATGACGCCACTACAGGCAACTGGGTGTACCCATCACAAGAGCAATTCTTCGCCGCGACTCGGCGGAAAGGCCACGAAGCGGCGCCAGGCGACATGGCAAGTGTGGTCCCCATTCACAACGCTGTAAACGAGCGCGCGTGGAAACAGATTCAAGATTGGGAAAGAGGCTGGGGTGCAGAGAAATGCGGAGGTCCGCGGTTGGTCAGTTTCGCAGGCGACAGCAAAGCATTGACGCCACGGGCAAGGTGGAACGCGCTCATGGGATATGCGCCACCGTTCGACCGGCATGATTGGGTGGTGGAGCGATGCGGAAAGAAGATCGAATACGTGATCGACTTTTATTCAGGCAAAGCAGGACCAGGTGATGCATCGATTGCCAAGAGCCTCAATTTCTACCTAGACGTCAGGCCGAAGCTAAACAGTTGGGAGGGCATCAAGATGCGCATTGCAAGAAGTTTCGAATGGTGAGCACAGACTGATGATATCAGCACGCGTCCGATTCTGGCTGCATAAGGTATTTTTGTACCTGGCTGGTCTCTTGTACTTTATCACATATCACAACTGTATCATGCAAACGCCTTCTCACTTTTCCTCATTACTTCAAGTACTGGCAACCTCGGAAATGACGGTGGTGGTTAAGAAATGGCACAACGGATAGGTCACAAGCCCTCTGAAGAGTTGTTGGCAAGAACAAGGACACTTCGTCATCGCATGTCCGACCTCGGCCAACCTCAAACATTTGTGCCATGCTCCTGCGTGCGATGACTGCAGTGACACCGCGCGGAAAGACCGATGATCTATACGTATGTTACACGAGCAGAATTCGTACAGCGCAGGGCTGCAGTCTACCGATGGTGTGCTGCTTTGCCGATGTGATGCACCGCATCGAGCACATTCTGACGATGATTCTGCAAGGGATGGGATTTGCAACAACCAAAGCGCCAAGTTGTGACAACGCCCCTGCAAGAACTTCGATAGCGCTCCTGCCTATTTGATACAAGCTGTACGACATTCTTCGTCCCGCTTTTTGCCCGTATGCATGTGACGAAGAAGGCCCCGGCGTCTGCAGATACAGTCCACCTTAATACAGGTTCGGTACCTACTGAGGTAGGCAGGCGTGGCAGGTAAGAACGACGCTCTGGAGGCCGGAGGTAATTAGTCATCAGCGCGACAAGAACCTTGGAATCCGATGGGTCATCGAAATGAGATTCAACCGGTACGTGCAGCCGCCCAGAGACTTCGGAAGGCGTTCCGATAACTATTATATACATCACAACCCTTGCGGTGACTGTCCAACGCTTATTAGTCAGAAACGTGAGAAAGATCTTGCGCCAGCCAACACTCCGAGTCGCTCCCGGACATTGTCCTTGCGTGGCTAAAGTTGCCGACATTCGGTATATGTAAGGGATCATCGCAGAAACCGGGTTGGGGTGATGGTGCGCCGCCTTCCTTGGGATCAAGTAGCATCTGACTGTATGCGCTTGCTGTACGTGCTGGCTATGTATCTGCCCTATTACAATATAGGTACATCTGCGTGACTTGCAGGGGAAATCATACTCAATCCACGACGCGGTGGACGTTATGCGCTGCCGGAGAGGACCTCGTGGTTGTACTGTTGGCGATCCTACCCTTGTGCAACGTGACTGCTGCTCCGCCCCATCGATTGCGCCTGAACGGCATCGGCGTCCTCAATTGCGAGCATGAAAGGCCAACCTGTTTCCCTTCCTGATCTCTGTTTGAAAACTTGCTCCTCGCACACAAGTCTCTCCTCAACCGAAGACTTTTTTCGTGATCATTCCACAGTATGAGGCTTCTCAGAGTTCATACCCTCACATTTGAAGAGTTTCCGGACACAAGCAGGCGGCCCCCATATGTTATTGCATCACATCGATGGCTCGGCACAGAGATCACGTATCAGGACGTATTGACAAGAACCTACACATCTAGCGAGGGATTTAAGAAGGTCGAACGATTTGCCGACTATATCATCAAGAATGTTAAATCAGTGAAACACTTGTGGATTGACACTTGCTGTATCAACAAGGAAAATCTGCCCGAGCTTTCCAGATCTATCACATCAATGTTCAAATGGTATCACGAGGCGCAGCAGTGCCTGGCCTACCTTCACGACGTTCCCAATTCTGAGGTCTGCACGAACAAGAACCGAGATCTACGCGCGTTCGAAACGAGTTCATGGTTTACGAGGGGCTGGACTCTGCAAGAGCTACTTGCGCCTCGCACCGTTGTCTTTCTAACCAAGGACTGGAAAGTGATCGGACACAAGGGAACAGCAGACACTCGCTTGCGTGAAGACCTGTTTGGTCCTCAGCTTCATTACCTACTCTCTCAAATTACCAAGATTCCGGAGCGAGTGCTAATTGACTACAGCCACAGCCAACAATTAAGCGTTGACGAAAGGCTGGAGTGGATGAACAAAAGGGAAATCACTAAAGAAGAAGACATGATGTATGCCTTGTTTGGGATTTTCGACATATCGATTGAGGTATTGTACGGCGAGGGTCTCGAATCAGCTCGAGACCGTCTGATAGACCGTATCTCCATTAAACCGGTAGGAGTACTGAACAAAATGGTCGCATGGCTGGAACTACCAGATCAGTGGACGATCCATCAGCAGAATCGCCAGATTCGGGAAGCCAAAACAGGCGATTGGCTGCTGTCGACTCCCGAGTACCGAGATTGGAAATCCGATGTTGATGGACATCAGCATCTTTGGGTCCACGGACCAATTGGTTGTGGCAAGACGTTTCTTTGCGGCCTCGCCGTTGACGATATCCACAAATCACACGCGAGCAAATCTTGGTTTGGACAAGCCATTTTCTATTTCAGCTTCTCGGAAACTCCGTCCGGGACCTATGGGCGTTTCATTCTCACTCTGTTAAGACAGCTGGCCGTCACAGGAATCGGAAGAAGGTTATTTGAACAAGCCTAGAAGAAGAGCCGTGGCGGACGGCCGGACCTGGAATAAATGCACGACATACTTATCAAGACGATCGACAGCTACGACAAAGTGCACGTTCATCTGGACGGTCTCGATGAGCGTATGCTAGCGTCCATACCAAGATCAAGTTCGCCCTTAGAGCTCATTGCCACCTTCCTGGCTCGCTCTCGCAAGATCAAGGTGATAGCCACTAGGCGATACGCGCACCGTGTGAAGTCGTTTCTGGAGGCCCAACTGAAGATCAAATCATTCGCTATACCACACAAGCACATTCGAGCAGATATACAACTCTATGTCACTGCCGTGCTTCAGAAAGATGTCGATCTTTGTGATATAGATACTGCTTTGCATGAGGAGATCATGCGCAAATTGATATCGACGACAATGTGAGCCATCCGCAACGAGCAACATTTGTGGTTGTCTGACTAATGAAAATGAAAGGTTCCAATGGGCAAAGTGCCAGCTAGATCGATTAGCTGACGCTGCTGGGGATGAGGACTTTCCCGCGATGTTGGACGAGATGCCCAAAGATTTGAACAGGACCTATGCGCGTATACTGCGCGACATCCCGGAGAACCGACAGCCTTTCGCCTGGAGACTGTTGAAATGGGTCGCATACTCACAGTCGCCATTGAGCATGAGTGAGGTCAAAGAGGCCATGCGTATCTCTGTCGATGAAGTTTACGGCGATGCCGTAAGCGTCGGTGCAAGGAATGAATACGTCCTAGACCGTACGCTACGATCGCTCCAGAGCCTCGTCGAGCCATACAAAGAGTACGAATGCATTGTCGATAAGACCAATGGTGAGGTTCAGCCGCGCGGTTTCGTCGCCCTGCGTCTGACCCACTTCTCAGTCGTCGAGTTTCTGGAATTATGGGGCCTCAATTTCCCGGACTTGGACTCCCTGAACGCGATTCTCCAGGACCATCCAGCATCGAGTGAGACGTCGTCGGATATCGTGACCCATCCCTTCTCGAGGGCGATAGCGCAAGAGTTCATGGCCCGGTGCTGCCTGGGATACTTGCGACACTACAGCGATTCGCCACAGAAGATGTCAAACATCACAGACCTGGATAATTTCAAGTTACTGAAATATGCTGCGCGGTCGTGGTTCATTCATGCAGCGTTTGCGGGAAGGGAAGTTGCCGCAGATGTTTCAGATTTCATTTGCAATATGGACTTGGGAAACGACTGGCTCAAAGTGTACAACCCAAGCGCCCATCTTGCGTCTCCATTCTCGAGAGAGATCGACAGGGAGCGACCAGGATCTCTTGCTCTTGCTGCTTTTCTTGGAGATCAGCGAATGGTCTTCAATCTATTTCACCATCCGGATAATAGTAAGTTCTGGGCCAAGCCACACATCGAGGCTCTATTTATAGCATCTCGATATGGCCATGCTAAGGTCGTCAAAGTACTTCTTGAAAGACGTCAACGGACGCTTGATAGAAAGCGATGGTCTCTCGTTCCCGAAGATAACGATATTGAGACGGCGCTTGTGGAAGCCTCGGCGGGAGGGCACGTTTCCGCCGTCCGGGAACTCACGGAGTACAACCCAAGCACAGACTCACAAGAGAACGCGCAGACAGCGGCTGCAGCTCGAAGCTACGTGGATCTTGTTGTTGAAGTATTGAAAGTGATTAAAGGAGTCAGAGTTACGCTCTGGCCTCAAGTTGAGGTAAGCACAACCTCTGGTTGCCATAGGCAATTACAATCACGAAGGTTCCTTCCGATACTTGTTAGCTTGTTCGTTGAGCGGGGCGTCTGGACCACCAGCGCGATCAACGCTGCCACGGAACACCACCAAACAGCAGTTGTCGATCTGCTGTCTGTGGGACAGCGAAATTCCGTGCTGCACGATTCTTTACTCAGCGCAGCCTTCCTCGGATATATTGACATCGTACGTCTGCTGCTAGGACGAGGTGTTTCTGATCCCGCGCAAGTACTACACATGGCTGCAGTGGAGGGCCACGCTGATATCGTGAGGCTCGAGCGATCACGTACCGATAAGATACCCCATCTCGCACTGAGACATGAGGCAACCCACAACAACCCCGTCGTCGTGAATATGCTACTCGAGTATGGGGCAATTGAACGGATCGAAGACGGTAGGGCAGCGTGCAAGGAAATTATGGAGCAGGCTCATTTGGCAGGCCAACATCACATACGAACCTTGTTGGCGGCCGAACTGGCGCCGCCCGAGGGTGCACAGGACGTGCAAGCAGACTAATGAATATGCCTCATTTCGAGCGTAAACCGACGGAATGCATCTTTGTGTGCTCTTCTTGTGAATGTGAACCTGGGCTTTTGTCTATTGTTGTGTTAGTCGTCTGCGAAACCACTACAGTACAAGTCATCACGAGAAACATCTCTCGAGTCAGTCATCACTAAGACGTTCTCTTTAAATAGGCACCTGCCCGCCCGCGCTTTTCCGTTGCTTCAACGCATGTGCCTGACGCTAAAGTAATGCACGCGCATGCAGGCGTACAATTTATGCAAGGATGTGTCAGCATTGAACATTCGCTCACTTAACTTCGAAATCAAGTGATTCGAACATTTCCATCATCTGCTCTGCTCATCACGTCAAATCAACCTCATAATCGCAAGGCCTAGGATGCGTCGCCATGCCGCGGCCCAGCAGCTGCTATCATCAACTTTGACGCCTTTTCTGTATCCTTGTCTGGACGGCGCGTGGACTTGTCGAGTACCGTCAAGACTTCGCCATGGAGTGCGCCATCTAAGCACAACGGCATCCGCGCCGGCGCCTTTGACGTCGAAGAATGTCAACGTCAATCAATTTGACCATCTCAATCCCGAGCCACCGTCCTATTCCTCGCAGCCTTTTGTCGATGCCTGCACTTTGCGAATCGCCTCTGGTGGCGGCGGACATGGATGCATCTCCTTCTTGCGAGAGATGTTCATCGACAATGGACCACCGAATGGAGGCGACGGAGGCAGTGGCGGATCTGTCTACATTCAGGCTGTAAGAGGTGAAACGAGTCTTCATAAGATTGCACGAAGAGGCACGGTTGCCGCAGGTCGAGGGAAGAATGGAATGGGAAAGATGCGAGGCGGAGGTCGAGGAGAAGATGTGCTGCTTACAGTGCCAGTGGGCACGGTTGTGCGCGAGGTTACCAGATACGATCCGGTTATTGAGGAGGAGAGGCTATACAGAGAATCACGGAGACGGAAGCGGAGGGCAGAAATAGAGGCAGCTGCAGCTGCAGCTGCACAGAATAATGATGATGGTGGTCATTTCCGACGAGATCGCTGGCTGATTTACCCTGGATTTCTCCCGAGAGCTTTCTCCACAGCTGAGATTCCTGCCGTGCCTCGACCCAGACGAAGCAGTCTCTTCGCGCTGCAACCGGCTTCTCCCTTTTGTCTCAACCTTGATGCGCCGATGGACGCACCGATGCTGCTGGCAGCAGGTGCGATGGGCGGCCTTGGCAACCCTCACTTCATAACAAAGACATTGCCGAAACCGAAATTCGCCTTGAAAGGAGACGATGGTATGCGGATCGAACTCCATTTGGAACTAAAGATTCTTGCAGATGTTGGTCTCGTCGGTCTTCCGAATGCTGGAAAGTCTACACTACTACGAGCGATCACCCGCTCAAGAACGAGGATCGGTGACTGGGCATTCACTACACTCCAACCTAATATCGGCACAGTAGTGCTCGATTCATATGCTGGTCGTCCTACCACCAAAGGAAAGACTCCGAGGACCAATTTTACCATCGCCGATATTCCTGGGCTCATCGAAGGTGCACACCTTGATCGCGGTCTCGGCCTGGGGTTTCTCCGTCACATCGAGCGTGCTGCGGTGTTGGCATTCGTCGTGGATCTCAGTGCTGGCGACGCAGTTCAAGCCTTGAAGGGTCTATGGCATGAAGTCGGACAGTACGAGAGATTGCGCGATGGCCGAGGCGGATATGATGCTGCTCAGCCGTTGTCCACATCAATTGAGCCAGACAGCTCAAATTCCAAATCAAAAGGGAAAGGTATTACTGGCGAACAAGCTCTCCTCGAGGCGCTCAAATCCCAGAATGACGCCGCAGCTGCAGCCGCTTCTGGAGCTTCAAGTTACCCGGATTTGCCCCAGCTCATTCTCCCCCCCATCAGCAGTAAACCTTGGTTCGTCATTGCGACCAAAGCAGATCTGCCCGAAACGCAGGAGCGATTCACAGAACTTCAGGCATACCTTGCCAAAGTCCAGAACGGAGAGGAAGAGCATCCTTGTCGAAGTGCTAGCGCGCACGGAAAAGCAGATGAGCGAGAGGAGATTGATGATCCTTGGCGCAAGAGACTGAAGGCGGTCCCCGTCTCGGCAATTAGCAAGCAAGGCGTCGATGGGTTGCCACAGCTTATCTTGGAGCTGCTGGATGAGGAGTGATGTATCACCATGTAATATCATTTTAGTGTCCGTGAGGAATCCATGAAACCGATGCTATTTTCCCCTAAAGACTGATTGCGGCTGTTTTAAGACCCGTGTCATCTGTAGCTCGAGTACTTACGACAGACGCACTTCTCACTTGCTCTGGAGGAGTTTTGTACACTGGCGGTGCGATGTCCTCGGCCGAGGAGTCTAGCCGGTCTTGGCTTGGAGGACGACAAGCCTGGTGATGTGACGTAGCGCAACGTCGGCGTGTTGAGTCATGATGAAGCATTTATATAGTGGACATGCGAACGAACTCATAAGAGCGTAGATACTGAAACTTGGGCTTCTTCAAGAACTTCGCGAGGTAAATGCGCACCCATTCGCTGTCGTAGTCGTCCAGAGATTGTGCTTTAAGATACTCCCACGGTTCGGGATACCAGCCAGCCTGGTGCCAGTCGATTATTGCAAGAAGACGACATGGTCCGTCGCCTTCCCTGGACAATATGATGTTGCTCTTGTCCAGATCTGCGTGTGTGAACTTGATGGGGATTCTGTCATCGAAGCCGCTGAGTTCGTCAACCTCCTTGCGCGGATTGGTGAACGTCTCTGACGGTGGGAGTGCAAGTTTTGCAAGAGCGTCGTGAAAGTCTGCGGCATTGTCGTGTGGACCCGTCGTATCGATGTCTCCGTCGAGAAAGGTGATGTCACGAAGAGCACCTCCGGATATCGAGCAAAGTGACGGGTAGTCGTGGGGCGTTCGAACGCGTTTCAAAGCTTGCGTTGCGTGGCGCAGTTCCCGACATGCAGCGCGTCGCTCACCCGGTTTCAATCGAGGCCATCTCTCATCCAATGGTGATCCATCAACGAGTTCGAGAAAGAGGAACGTTTGTTCCCCATCGCGCTTCCATCCGTATATTTTTGGAACAGGAACGAGATGGGCCAGATGGTTTTGCAGGAACCATATGCATTGCCCTTCAGCGATGCCCACAAAAGTGCCCCATTTGACGATCAATTTACGCCCTGGAAACCGCACTGGTTTTGGGCGATACGCTTGTGCCGCAGCCCCGAAAATGTCTTCGGCATTTTGTCGTATCTCCTCTATGCTGGGGTAATCCGACTCGAGACCATGGAACCAAACACTATCGCCCGTCGGGAGGTCTGTGGGCGTGAACGTCGATGTAGATTGTGCACAGCCCATAAACAACCCCGAAACCTCGGTGACGAGCGAGCAGAGATAAGAAAAAGCTCGGTGATACATTTGCGATGCAATCTTCAGGAATCGATACCGCGGAATGCATCTGTGAGGTTTACGCGCCTTGAAGCCGTCCCGGCGAAGATTCGCGCATTGACCACGACGACGCCGCAGTCCCGCATGGAACGGACGACAATCCGCTGTTTCACCCTTACCCAAAGTCAAGACATATTACTAGATGGGTTTTGCATTGGCAAGTTGACGCCCACAACGGTGATGCACGAGCAGATGATCGTGCTGAAATGTTCGTGCTGAAGTGCTCGGTGCATGGCGTTACGATGATCAGTTCGGACCATATATAAGATGATACCTCCCGCACCGATGTGGTCACGGACGACACACAAATCCATCCCGTCAATCCACTCAACATACGACCGTAGCTCCCGACAAAGCCGCATAAGCACTTGACCTATCATGGGTTTTTTCTCGAAGAAAGGTGCGGAACATGACCCAAACGCAGCCTTAGCCGCATCTTGCTCACAGAATAGTCTCAGACGGTTCATCCAAACCAGAACAAGCCGTGTCCGTATCAGCGGAAGCAGCATCGAACACTACAACATCGAACACCGAAACATCGACTTTGGAGACGCACCGCCCTATCTTTCTTCTCGTATGGAAAAGTGCAACATTCAAATCGCATTGGGCAATCTTCGTCCCCAACATAGAAGACCGAGCGGCGAAGAAAGGCAAATATTTCCATGTCGAAGTAGTCCCCTGAAAGGCTTCGTCTTCCAAATCGTCCGCGGTTGGGACATCAATTTGACCAGGAGCCGACCTTTCAATCCCATCGATTTGGGTTGGTGTCAAGCCGATCTGATCACTGACACGCCCACCGCCTCAAACCAACTGGTGAAAGACTCGATCCCAAGAGATCGTTTCGAAGAAATTCTTGCCTCAATTCCAGCGCCAGGAAAATCGATGAGGAGCGCATCAACTTCTGTCGTAAGTTTGAATCGGGGATCCGAGCCGCGTGTAGGTGCTAATGTGAAACTCCCTCCAGGCTTCCAGCAGTCGTCAGAAGGCAGAGTTGTCTGATTGTCAGTGGTGGACCACGCAATGCATTGGTGCCTTGGTAGACCAAGGCTACTTGATTTCATGCCCCAAGGGACTCAACAAAGGCAAAGACCCGCGGGTCGTGCTGAGCGAAAGTCCGCGGAATTAGGCGTCAATGAACCCAGCTTCTTTTCTTAAACAGATAGATGAGTAGGTACTCACCCAAGAGGGAGAGAAAGCTGAAGGTTGGGTCCGTGGTTTTGGAAGCTCGATGACAAAGCTGCATCCCTTTGTTTAGGACGAGTACCCCTGTTCCACTTGCAAGTGTTTGCCCTCGGAGGTGGAGGAATATTCCAGGGTTGGCCGGACCTCTTATCATATCTCAGTACTTGAAGAATCTGGGACGGCTTGCCTGTAATGAGTTATGTGGAGCAGATCACCGCTATAGACTCGACCGCGTACTTTGATTGTAGAAACGTGAATTCCAGTCTTTTTTATCGCCATGCTCCAGTTGAAAGGAAATTTATTGATCTTGCACTAGTCGAAATATAACGAGTGAAGTATGACATAGCTTGTGAGCATGTACATCAAGTAGACTGCTATTGCGGAGATGGCGCAAAACGAAAGCTGCCCATATTTCTTAACGAGCGCTGTACAGAGCTCCAGAGCTTCTTTCATGCAAATGGAAAAGCCTCCCCTATAACCAGAAGCTTTTTTGCAAGGGACGTAAGAGCGTAAAATTGCCTGGCAGTGATTCAGTGCATGGGGAGCAAAGTCAGCCAATCGGTAGGGCTCCTCTCGTCGCCTTCTGCTTTGACGAGCATTCCACGATCGATCATGGCTCGCATAACTTGGCGAATCCACCATTGGCAATCTCTCACTTCAGGCTTTATGCGCTTTCCTGCATGAGTCATGGCGTTACCGGATGAGACGCTGACTTTGTTGAGACTTGGCCCAGGAGCGTCAATGTCGGTGCAAATTTGCTCAAATGCATCTCGCGGAGAGTTATCAACGAAGCCGCCACCATCCTCCTCGTCTTTGGTCTCGCCAGTATTACTGATTGAGGTGTCAGTGCCCCAAGATCCAGATTCCATGGTAGAGTCCTGGGCACTGGGCAGTGATAATACACCGATGCGAAATTGCCGGTCGGCACCGACGCTGCGGTGCTTGCCCACATCGTATGAGCGGATTATCTCTAGCTTAAAGCCATTGAGGCGGTCGCCTGAGACATGGATCCTGCGCCCGATGCGAGACTCTCTCACCCCACGGCGTTCAGAGTCCGATGGCGGAGAAGGATCTGGGACAAAGAACGACCAGTGGGCAGCGAAGAGCGGCGACGGAGGAATGACGACGTAGACTACCGATCCGCTCATGTCCGGCGATGTTGATTGTGATGAATATGCAGGTGATGGACGCTATGCGACACTCGCCATGTGATTGAGAGTTCGGGAGATTCACGCCCGATGGAAGAAGCGTGCCGGCGCCGAAGGAATTCGGAACGAAGCGCGACAAAGCGTGCAGGTTAGCCGCGTCGTGGCATTCGGACGTTTCCCACGTGTTGCCTAGCGCGTAAGGCGTGCTCGAAGCCATGAACTGCATCATCTTGGGCCAAGGCTTGGAAGTTGAGACGACAACAGCGATATCAAAGGCTGTAAGGTCTAAGCGATGCCTGAGTGATCCTAAACGCCGAGACCCAAGACCTCTGGACTGCCAATAACTCAAACTCACTCAAGCCAAAAGCAATGCCACATCGACTGGCTTGCTCACTTCGGTCACTTTGGCGAACGCACGCGACATGAACATGCCATGGCGGACAGCCCACGTAGGGCGGGAGTATGCTTCAATACTAGGAAGACGTTAAATTGAGAAGACTAGATTCTAATCAGAAGAATTCTGAGGAAATCGAAGCGAGAATGGCGGACAAGGCTTGCTAACGCCCTGGTCGCATCAACACTCGCTTGGCAGAGCAACAGTGTATAAAGACAGTATCTCAGTCCCAGCCAGATAAATCAGATACCAAACATTTCTTTACTTTGAGCCGCAGTCATGGCGTTCATTGATGAGAAGGTGACCGATATCCAGTACGCTGCCAGCAGCGACGATGAAGTCTTGGATAGTCAAAAGGAGTGGACCCGCGAGGAAGAGCGCGCAGCCAAGTGGAAGTAAGCCTTGTTCCTGTTGCCGATGATTCTAAGCACACACTGATTTGAGCTTTAGGTTGGACTTGATCATCATGCCTATTCTCACCCTTGGCTTCTTCTGCCTGCAACTTGACCGTGGAAACATTGCTAACGCCCTGACTGACACCTTGCTCAAAGATGTCAAGATCGACCAAGATCAATTCAATGTCGGCCAGCAGATGTTGTCGCTTGGCATAGTGCTCTTCGAAATCCCATCCAACATGATCTTGTACCGATTGGGCCCTGGTAAATGGTTGACTATGCAATTGTTCTTTTTCGGTCTTGTCAGCACCTTCCAGGCTTGGATGCACGACTACGGCTCCTTTATCACTACTCGTCTCCTCCTCGGTATCACCGAATGTGGCTTCATTCCCGGCGGCCTTTGGACTCTCTCCACATGGTACACTCGCAAGGAAACTGCGAAGCGCGTCATGTTTTTTTACTTCGGCAATCAATTCGGTCAAGCATCGGCTAAGCTTCTCGCCTACGGCATCCTTCATATGCGAGGTGTTGGTGGAAAGCCAGGATGGTTCTGGCTCTTCGTCATCATGGGTATCTTCACTCTTGCAAGCGGTTTCATCTTTGGCTTCTTCCTCCCCGACTCATTTAAGAACCCCCATAGCACTTTCGCACCGAAGTGGCGCATCTTCACCGACCGCGAGATCTACATCTTACAGACTCGTGTCGTGCGCGACGACCCTGCCAAGGGAAGGAAAAAGACCAGCATTGGACTTCCTGCGTTCAAGAAAGCTTTTGGCAACTGGCGTCTCTGGCTTCACTTCTTCATCTCCTTCGCCAACAACGGACCTCAGCGCGGATTCGACACCTACGCGCCATCGCTCGTGTCCGAGATGGGCTTCGGTGCCTTGACTGCCAACGCTATGGCCTCAGTCGGTCTTTTCGTTCAGATTCCTGTTGCCTTCCTCTTCAGTGTTGTCTCCGACAGATTCGACAAGCGTGGCGAGACGGTCATTGTTGGTCTTAGCATGGCCACTCTCGGTTATGTCTTCAACCGCATCTTCACCGAGATTTCTATTCAAGGAGTGCGTTACTTCGGTGTCGTCTGGACTCAGACTTTCGGCACCTTCTCTCACCCTCTCAACATCACATGGATGTCTCTTACCTGCACCGACTCCGAGGAGCGTGCTCTAGCTATGGCAATGGTCATCATGGGTGCCAACATGGCTGGTATCTACGGTGCCCAGATCTTCCGCTCCGACGATAAGCCTCGATATCGTCGTGCTTTTGCCATTGGCATCGGTGTTTTGGCCTTCGGTACTCTTTGCGCGATTGCTCGAAAGGTCGATGAACACTTCCGGGGCCGACAAGGCAAGGTTGCCAACGAGATCGAGGGGGAAGAGGCCACTGACAACGGACGTTCCAACTCGGTCCCGCCCAGTGATGTTCAGCCAGCGCCTCTCATCGTCGGCGACGGGTTGAAGGTGCAGAACACCGTGGCCACGCGACCATGATCGCATGCTCGGTGAATCGTGGAGGTTTTTCACGTCAGATCAGAATACCCATGATAACGAATGCGTTGTTTCGAATTTCCCAGTCGTTCCATTCAATCAGCAGTGCACCAGAACCCCAGCTCGGTGGTGCGATCATGTTCTACGTCGCAATTCATTTGTCGCCCCGTAGTCTTCCCTTGCACAAATGACAACCGCCAAGCACTAAAACCACCATCCTGCATCAGCCAAGCCGCAAACATCTGTCAGCAGAATAGAACTCTGCTTAACTACACCGCATTACATCCACTCATTCTCGCCTATGCCACAGTCGTGCTTCGCAACCTGTCTAGCTCTTTTCCAATTGACACCCACGTCGCGGGGAGCAACGATGCCGTGATCCAATGATTCCTAGCGTGATCCTCGCCAAGCAGCACGAAAACATTCTTCGCGCCTGCGTTCGCCGCCAAGGAGGATGCATGGTGGTAGATGATGGTTCCGGGAGGGTTGACCCGCGACTCGGAAGAGTCTCCTGCTTTGATCACGGCACCGGCGAAATCTGCTGTGGTTGCGAACTTCGCGCGCGTCCAATTGGTGAATGGCACAAGGAGACCGTCGGTGGGCCCGAATAGCAACCTTGCGGGATCGAGGCCTGTCTTGGCAGGGTTTTCACGAGCCGGGAAGACCTCGTTGAGATATGCGAGAGCTTGTGCTTCGGTGGCCTGGGTCGCTAGACTTTTGCGGTTCGCGAGTGCGATGCTGCCGATGGAGCCGGTAGCCTCGGAAGCGCCGAGCAATAAGAATGCGCCGATGGCCATGTTCTGAATATAGACACCCGATGCCTGTGCAATAGCAGCAATGCGGAAGCGCAAGTTCAGTGCGTGAAGGGCGATTATAGGCCTTGGCGATGGCAGAGCACGGGCGAGTGCACGCACGAAGAATCCGGTGAGTACATCGCCTTCACTGACGAACGGGCGTTCTGCGCCGGCTGCAGTCGTCGCATCGAGATCGGCCTGCGCCTCCCGTACCAATGTCTCAATCTCTTTACGCGAGAGACAGAATGACCGCTCCACTGCTGTAGGCTCTCGAATCATGCCCCAGGCGAAGCGTAAGCCAAAACCGATCATCCCAAATGTGCTGAGTCGCTGATCCTGCAATACCAACGGTTCTGTCGCTTTGCCTTCTGCACGTGCTGTCTCCACGACTTTCTCCACTGCATCCTCGCGTGCGCCGAGCATTGCTGGAACCTCGTCGTCTCGGCCATTGATCACCAGCGACCAGGCATGAAGCAGAGCTTGCTGGCCCATGACATCCATGAGTGTGTGTGGCCAGGACAAACCGACGAGAGTCGCGTCTTTGAAGGAAGTAATTTGCAATGAGATCTGTGGGACATCGCCCTTCAGGTAGTCTGATAAGATCTTGGGGGCGTCTTCAGGGACTGCGAAAGGTTGAAATTTTCGCGAGCCATCTTGGAAGCCGTTTCCAAAAGACGACTTTGGCAGGTCTTTGCCGAGAGAATCTTCACCTATGCTCGTCGATTTTGCGACGTGATTATATCGGACTGGCGGCCGTGTGGTCGTGAACTCGCGAGGAGCACTGATCTCCAACTTCCGGCTTGCGTTCAACCGCAAGCGTCCTCCAAGCTTGCGCCAATCGTCAATCTCGAGGAGCCGCCACAATGATTTGTGTAGTTTGTCGGAATCGAGTACATCGTTGAAGCGCAGCGTCCATGTTACGACAATGCCACGAAGTGTCTCGTTGTCATCGAGCGTGAAGACGGGATATACTTCTTCGGGTACATTATCAGCGGGCTTAGCCTCGGACGCCATTTTCAAGACCGACGATGATGAATGAACCTTCGAGATAATCCAGAGAACAGATCGGTCAGGTGCAATACTTAAAAACGAAGTTTGCACGCTTCATAAAATGGAATCCTACGCCGCCTTCGACTGCACAAAATCACAGTGCTTTGTATAAAATCATGATAAGGTCGCAGCGTCAGGATATCGTCCCGTATCCGAAGCTGCCCCTGAACGCACTGACGTCTTTGCCCATGCGAATCATTTGTTGCCCTGGAAAACGCCTCGCGTGCGGACCACTAATCCGCAATCATCAGGGACAGAATGATTATTATGCAACGCGCATAAAGCTGTGTTGGTGTCCGACAATCGGCAGACACGTGCTGCATAGCAATATTTTGGGGTTAACGGCCGACGTCAAAAATCATGATTACATGTAAATATCATCAGCCCTCGTGAGTTTCTTCATGAGCGCCAACTGCATGGCTGTGTAATCAACCCAAAGTCACATTCACTCTTTCAAAGAACCACAGGATCCATGGATCAGACCTCCGACACATTCACATTTTTGGTGGCGGGCGTCTCCAAGGGCACAAAAGGTGGCGCATCTCCGAACCGCTCAGCCGTGAGCCCCGCATATCCCGGGCGTGAGAAACCACGTGCAAGTTGACGTTCATACGAGACTTGACGCAGACGATTGCTCTCGTTCGGAGTCAGACGAAGCTAGACGAGGAACAAGTCAGCGAGCGTTTCCATAGAGGAGTAATATTAGGCTCCAGCACGGGACGACATCAAACTTACATAAATTTCCACCGCCGCAGCATGGAGGAGAAGAGCAAGCCAGCCCGCTGCTCCGAAGGGAATAGAAACAGACGTCGCGATGGCCAAGGGGTTGGTCGATTTGATGTTGGCTTCGATGACGGCACGTTGGTTCGGATTTGAGCCATCGAAGTAGGCGCCGCAGGTCGGATAGAAGGCCAAAGTACGATCCTGACCAAGGACTGATGCGATCTGCCCGCAAGGTCGTGACTCGTAGAAGCCGCCGATCATGCTGATGATGGAAAAGCTGCATGCAATTATGACTTTCCTCACTTGGTCAGTGAAATTCTCTCTCACTGTTTTGCGACCGCCAGTCAAAGCGAGTGTTCTCGTCTGGTTTACACTAGATTAAGGTTTAACTTACGGCGAATAGTCACAATGGTGGAGAGCTGCATATTGAGGTAAGCACGAAATCTCGACCAAGCTTGAATCTGGGAGTTCAAGGCGATCAGAAACTTACGTATGCCCAAGTCCGGATCATCCAAGCGCGATGCTGATCGATCTGAAGGAGTTTGATGTTGACCAATGCCTTCGGTTGGTGTCAGCGAGGGCAAGAAAATGTATAACATTGAGGGACTCACCATGATGAAGCTTATTGTCACCAGGATGACCATAGCACCTGACCATACACGATCATTGAACTTGCCACCGAAAGCGACCGGGGCGATAATGAGTACACCAGCATTGCTGACCGTGACCAGTAAGACGATGAGGTATCCATTGAGGCGGTGGAAAAGCATGGCCTTGTATCGGAACCAAGGAGTAAATTGAAAGCAGACCAAGATGGCCGCTGGGATGATAGTGAACAAATGAAGTTGCATGCCGACCTTCCAAGGATTCCGCAGATAGTAGTAACATTCTCCGGGTGAAGCACCGCTGGCGCCTCGTTGTGGATTGCAGAAGATCCCATAGAAGGACAGATACATCACACGTGACAGCGCAAATCCGAGCAGATATCCCAGACAGAGGAACCACAAGACAAAGTTGTAGCCTTTGGTGAAGCCGAGCGGACGGTAAATGCGGTGCATCGCGTTGGCGAAGCGGCCTTGATAAGGAGATTTGGGAGCCGACATGTGATTGACGATTGAAGCAATATGATGAATGCTGGGCCGCTCGAGGAATCGCTTGAGTCGAAGAGAGATGTGTGGGACGGGAATGTAGGAAGACATCTTTCGTTCTTATATACCTATTCATCTCCATACGACCTCGCGCCAATGCAGAAAATTTGAAAGCATGATGAGCGCTGGATGTCCTTTCAGTACTAGATACGACAGCAGAACCACGCACAACGGTTGAGTGATGATATTGCGCGTCAATGTTGACAGATGAATACGGCGTTGTTCAGTCCTGTAACAGCGCAGTCGCAGAATGGTGCAGAAGCGGTTTAGTGTACGAGAAATGAAGGTCCGGTCGTGAAGCAAGCTGCATCTCTTCGCCGCCTTGTCATCCCTACAATGCACGTGGAAGTGCAGTGATGTATTTGTTCAAGGACGGATCAACAATAATCTTGATGAGAGAGATACGGCGCCGAACCACACGTGTGCATGAAGTTCGCCAAATTTGCGATATCACGCTCTGGGTATCACTACGTCAAAGGAAAGCCGGTCTGCTAGTCGTGCCCTGAACTTCTCGGAATGAGGATGACTACTACTCCGATGTCCTTGGTGAGAAGACTAACCATCGGCAGTCTGCAATCCTACCCGACGCCATTCTCATGCATCAATGATATGTGACATCAGTTGATAATGCTGGCAAATGACGTTCGTGAACCGGCGAGAGTTCGGCTTCGAAAGGATCGACAACTTCCATGCACGTTCGCAGTTTGGTCCCAAAGGGGAAAGACGTGGGCTGACAAAGCCGACCTGACCTGACCTCTGTTGCTGACTAAATATTAGACACAGCCATCACGCTATGACACCTGCGATCTTGGAATCCGCCCGTCAGATCTCCAGATGCATATCCCGATGTCGCGTGTTTTATCATTGCAATGATCATCGATCGTCCATACGCTCGGCGCGATCATGCATAAGCTCGCTGCTTGGGGAGAGCCTTCTCGCGTGTCGATCGCGTAACATGTGGGAACCCTGACTCTCGGTCGTCAACGACTTCAGCTGTTTTATTCGATGGTTCACGAAGCAGCTTACACATTTTGATAGAGGCGCTTTGATAGGCTTACCAACCTTATTTCACACCCACTCTCATCCGTTCAATCTGCATCTTTTACGAGGGTTCTCTGATGTGCCAGCGCCCTGATCCATCGCTTTGCTAAACTTCACGATTGGCCCGCGTCTTGCCTATCCCTATCATCCCCCCCCTGATTTCGCACAGCTCGCTTGAAATGGTGGGCAAGGCGCATTCCAAAGGTTGTCGACGATGCCGCCGCCACAAGAAGGGATGCGATGGCGGAAGACCGCGATGCGGACAATGCTCCAAGTTGAACACGGAGTGTATTTATGAGGTCCGCGATTTTATTACACATGGACCTGCGTTTCGGGATTCAGTGTGTTCTTCATCGAAGAAGGCCGCCACCCTGCAGCTCGAGTCAAGTGAAGAGCCTTCGCCAGCCACATCAAGCCCGGGCAGCCTAGCTTGTACTTCTCGTCCCGCTCAAGCATTATCATTCGTATCTCCAGTTCTCGACGCTCGACTCGAAAGGACTGCAATGGAAATGCGGCTCGAGGAAAGTTTCTGGATGCAGTATCTTCCGTATGAGTGTACACACATTCCGTCTGCCCTCGAGGATGGCAGCGGAAGCTCTTTGACGGTGTGGTCAAAGCTGCGCGACCAAGCAATGGGTTCGCAGACGGCTCGACTGGCGTTCCGTGCTACCGCGCTAATGAGTCTTGGACGCCTTCGAACAAATCGTGACTACGCCATAGTTGCCACGCGAATATATGCGCAAGCTTTACGACAAGTCAATAATGCACTTCAACGCTCTGATGCCTGCCACGATCCCGCTACACTGGCGGCCACACGATTCCTTGCTCTCTTCGAGACTTTTCGTGTGGGCGACAGCACTGAAGTGTCTTCTCAGGCCATTGACTGGCAGAATCACGTCCACGGAATGTCTCGCATCATCGAAATACGTGGATCTGAGAAAGTCACGACGCTCGCTGATTGGAACGTGATCACTGATGCACGACAATCAGCAGCAGTTTGCGGCATTATACTCAAGCGACCAGTGGGTCTTGCCACCCGAGAATGGAGCCGTACGTTCAGGGGAATGCATGACCATGTGGCGCCTAGTCTCCGTGAGAATCTTGTGGACATCATGGCGCTCATTCCGAATATACTCGATCAACAGAATCGACTTTACGCACGCATGGACTCATGCGTCACCGCTGACGAGCACAGCAAGATTGCTGAAGATTGCATGAAGCTATCAGCTGATGCTCTGCGTGTTGCTGAGCTTCTACTTGCCTGGGAAAAGCACATGCTGCAGTTTGTCCTTGGAAAGGTTGACCTCAGCGCGATAGACAAAGCACCAGAGCTCGAGCCGTCGGTCCTGAGTACATACTGTCGCCAGTTGAACTACTGCGAGTTTGACCTCACGGCACAATTTTGGTTCGCCTGCGTCATGATGTTCACTCGCCTCGCTGTCTTCCACGAGAACGCTCAAACATGGAACAAGTCGATGCCGTTCAGCTATCCCCTTTCATTACCAACGCCGCTTCCAGAACGATTTGCACCTGCACCATATGCAGCAAGCATCGCACGGAATGCTGAACATTTCTTCGAGCCCGCTGCAGGCCTCTGGGGCGCCGAGCACGCACCCATATGCATGGCCGCCGCCAGTTACTACTTCGCTGCACACGGTCTGCAGACGTCGGCCGAGATGCGTCTTCTCCAGTCGGTACTGTCGAGCCCTCGCGCGCGGGCTTTCTCGCTGAGTTTCTTGAGAAGTCTTGCTGTAGCAGCGACACCGGAGGTTGCCAATGGAAATGCATCGAGGGACCCGGATCGTGAACTCATGGCTCAAACGTGGTTTGGGATGCGGCCGATCCGGCATGATTTCGCGCAGGACGCTTGGATTCTTGCGCCGGGGCTTTGGCCAGATCACACGCCTTAGGGCCGGTATGCAGCCATTCCAGCGTCGGTCTACACACATCGATCAAGTTGGAAGGGAGATTTCAATGACTCAGCAGGTCCTGACAGTCACTGATGACTAACAACCTACTCGCCTACTGCTATACGTCAAAAGGCAGATTCAGGTGATTGAAACCTGTTGTTAAGCTGTCGGGGGTCCGGGTCCGAATGGACGGCAGCCTCAACAATGCCTGAACGTGGTATTACGTGCCAAGAATCGCCGATGATGAATGAGTTTTAGGACCAAAAATATGGAGGATTGCTGGCACATTTACCAAAGCGATTGGAACAGTCATCAACATGAAGGCATGATCGGCAACCGCAAAACGAGCACCGACAAGTCAGAATACAGTTGGGCAGATCGGATCGTGGAGACTGACGAGGATCGTGACTGAAATAATGTGCGAACGATTCACCAGACCTAGCCGTGTCTAAGGGAGCAGCACTGCAAGCAGATCCTCAGCGCTCAATGCCGAGCTTCGTCACGGTGAGAAGACTCCATCACCGAGAAGGCACTGGCCTGTTTCTCAGCGTCAGGCCCCGTCGCAGCATATACCGTCTTCTCGCCCAAGTACAGGTAGTCGTGTCCAGGAGGCGTGTAGACATAGTACAGAAATCCCAACTCGTACGTCTTCGCATCAATCCACGCATAGAGCTCCGTCGGGCTGCCCTCGGGGCCGTCAGTCTTGCTGCAAGGCGTGTATTGAGAGCCGTTCGGGTCGTCCGGGCCGGTTAAGCTGCCGTTGCAGGCCACGGGGGTGATCAGAGCGGGTCGTTGAGTCAGACGAAACTGGAAGATATACAAGTCAGCAGGCCATTTAGAAGATTGCACATTTTTCGTCGACATAGTGGAAAGCTAGGTATGAATCAATGCATGATGCTTGGTATCTTGGTACCCGAGCGCTTCCCGGGCTTTCCTATGCAGCTCAGCGGAGACCTGTACAGATATCGCCGTCTGATCTTTCGCTCTTGTGTCCCAGGCGGCCGTTGCAAGGGTTGCATGACTCCCTCTTCCCGACTTCTTCATGTATTTCCTCAATGGTGGCGACTTGGCTTCGCGATTGATTTGAAGATGGAGGTAAAGCATGTCGCCGATCTTCTCGCCGCAATCAATACGCAGTTGAGCGATTGCGTCGATTTTGGCTCGGAGAGATGGTGTAAGGTGGCTTCTAGCTTGAGGCGATTTCCCTAAAAGCTTAGCTAGCAAGACTTGTGGTGACCCGTGGGATTCAAAGAAGTTACGAAGTACTTTTGACATGATTTGTGTGATCGCTGTCATCCGACGTACTTTGAGCAGGTCGAGACTATTTCATCGATGCTCTACACAGCACCGATAAGCCTCAGCGTGAGCGCTCTCTCATCGCAATGTTGGAAGGACTCTGCCTTCCATTGTGGTTTCCCTTGTCCAAATCGCTGCCTACGATCGCGACGATGGCTACTACCTCATTTCCAGTCCTTGGCTGTTTGGTTTGAGCGGTGTACTCCTACCACGCCGTCATATCGACCTATGTTCATGCCGCACTCCCAGTGCTCGCACTTGAGCAAACTCTGCAAAAGTTACGAATACTCGATATTTCTGTGCCCGACCGGTGCGACACGTGACGAGAAGCGTTGCGACAGGTCTTCTGAATCCGGTCATTGTTGCCTGTCGACTACTGTCATTGCAGAGCAGCGCATTCAGACGATCATTTGAAATCCTCGAGAATTTGAAAAAGATGAATCGCTTATGGCTCCAAGCCAAGTTACGGTCTTCTTGATATTCTGTATAGAACACTGCAGGTCACTGTCATCTTGATGTGTGTAGAAGCAGGGACCAAAGACGTGCAGACAAAATTTCACGTCATTCCTGAAAACGATAGTGACTGCTGCCGCGAATTATGCAGACAGAGTCGCAGATGTCGTCCCATTTCCACTGCTTGTGCTGTTGTCTTTATGATTCCGATGTAGATGCATCGAATGTAGACGCAAGTCCCTATTCGGCTCCTAAGGATGAGCGAAAAACTGATCAACCACGTTGTTCACGTTGTTACTACCAGCCAAATTCTGGCTCGGGGTTCGTTCGAGCTTTGGAAAGCAGCGATAACGGCCTACATGCGATCGATTTAGCAATCATAGTCGGACATTTGGACGGAATAATGACTGATGCGACGGTCGAATCGACCAGATGGACAGACTGCATTGATACTTGTGTCAGGTAGTCGCCATCCTTCGGTGTCAATCATTCGAATTCGCTAGTTATGGACGCGGCGAGACACACGTGGAACCGTTTACTCGTTCACTGTAGAGAACGGTCGTCCCAAGCTTGATCTAGAAGGATAATCTCGAGACGAAGATCGAAGACGAATTGATGGCTAATGTTGCATAGTCGCCAGACATTATTACCACTCAGATGAAGAGTGCTGATGTTCCCCAACCATGAGGTGTGGAGGCATTTGTCGCTGATGACACCCGGAGTCGCGTGATTACAGTAGTGGGTAATCTGCTTCGCTTGAGCTCCGATCGAATTGCTTCTGGGTAGACATTGTAACCGAACGAATTTCGGGGTATCGCGTCATAGGGTCGCTAGTCATAGTATAGCCATCGGGCAAATCGGACGGAGCACTCTGAGGGCTCAATAAAAAGGATGGTTCGATCCAACTTTCTGTTCAGCTTCGAGACAATTCACGGCTGTGGGGCGCATGTCATTTCATGAGTAGGGGCCATCATAGCGGTATTTATTGAGTCATCGACTTGCTCTGTCTGATTTGACCGTTGTTCGTAAGTACCGTGGTTGAATCGTCACCAATGCGCGGGATCGGCGGCAACACCGCATACGTAAAGATATAAGTTGACTTGGACTTGACTAAATCTCCGTCTTCCCACTCTCTTTTGTCTGATCTTATTTGAGTTCTTGACCGGGCAGAACCTTAGATCACGGCTCAGTTCTAGCAATATTTCACACTGATCACTTTCGACTCAAGATCAGTATGTCTGCGTATTTCAAATATTCCAAGAGCTGGGATCGCATCTTATTTCACAGTCTGGGAGAAGGCCGCCGATTAGTCCCAAAATCGCCACGCCGGTTTCTTCAGGCGGTTTCACAGAGCAACTCATATCATGTGGGTTTTGATCCATATATTCATACACAAGGACGCTGGCTCAACCGGGACAAATATCACCGCGAGTCTCGTGTTCTTAAATTTGACTTCGATGCTTTGATGCAAAGAGCTGTCCGTGCCAGCCCGGGAGCTCGATATGTCATCGATTGCGAGAAGCGGGACGGCAGTTTCAACCGGGTATTTGTGATTCGTCTCGATAATCAGAGGACAGTCATTGCTCGCCTTCCTTTCGACCATGCGGGCCCTGCTGGCCTCACATTACGTTCAGAGGTAGCTACATTGCAATATGGTGCGTATGGTCTTTCATCAATTGACCTTAGGGCTGTGGCTGACCATCCGTTTAGTCAAGCAGAAGACTTCGATACCTGTTCCGCGAGTTCTTGCCTGGAGCGCTGACGCCACAAACCCTATCGGCGCAGAGTATATCATCATGGAAGAATTACCAGGAGTTCTTCTGCAGAATGTCTGGGATGAGATGAAAATTGCGGATCAACTTCGTTGCATTCAAGCGCTCGGTCACTTTTGTAAAGAGTTATGCGAGCCAAAATTTCCGGCTTACGGTTCGCTATTCCTTAGAGATGAGGCCTCACGGAATACAATTCCTGTCGACGAGACTTACTGCATTGGACCTGTATGTATGCCAACACAATGGGGACACACTCCAGAATGTGATTTCGTCGCACCTGTGATGGAAGGATACCAGGGCCCTTGTGAGTATCTCTATGCCTTCCTTGAACTATTCATATACAATTCGTATTAACAGGGGGTAGGGTGCAAAATGGATGATTACTTCTCAGACCAGATCACGCGAGCCAGGCTCTGTACTCAAGCGGGGTCTGCGCCCCTCAAAGAACGGCATCTTCAGCTGATAAATATCTTTCAGCGATGTATAGACCGCCTCAAGGCCGCAAACATTGTGCAGCATGCTGCAGTGGAACCGATCTTATCGCATCCCGATTTTCACACACGAAACATTCTCGTTGCTGCCGAAGACCACGGCAGAATCACTGGGGTTATCGATTGGCGATCTGCTGCCATCGAGCCAGCCTTTCTGTTCGCAGCGACGACTCCAGACTTCGCCGTGGACCCCCCTATGACGGGATATGAAGCATTATTGACGAAGGAACAAATGAAAACCTGGAAACAGACTAAGACCAAGTTAGAGTCTTGCAGTCAGAAGTGGACCTCTGTGCGACACGCTTGTGAGAAATTTCGACCAGCTTTTCGCTTCGATCCCACCCTTCTTCATTTTCTTGCGGCTCCCTATGTAGGCTGGGTTGACAACGAAAAGATATTGCTGACATCGCTGAAGAACCTTGCGGACAAATGGGAGACTCTGAGATTACCTGGGCCGCCAATCGAAATCCCAGAACATCCTGGTGACGAAGATCGTCTCGATGAGCTTGAGAGTCGCCGCGGTCTGCAACAGCATCTTATGCACTGTCTAGATTGCAACCATGATGGATGGATTCCTCATAGTCGGTGGGAGGAGGTTCTGCCAAAATATCTTTCCGAGTACGATCGTTTCCTGCAATGCAGCATATCGTGCGGGGAGTATAACAGTGAGGAGGAAGCCACGGCGCTGACGAACCGGGTATGGCCATGGGATCATCGATGGCATTCGACATTCATGTAAAGCCTACCGGGGTATGCTCTGATATTGAACTTCACTGGGACTTTGGAGGACATTTGGGGAACCTTATGCAAGGCCTCAGGACGGTATTAAAATTGGAACAGATTTTAGTGGCTGTATTGCAAGGTCTTCCATCACGTCGTACATCGTGCAGCCACACTTTCAAGTGCTCTAGAAGCATAAATATGATACCGCCCGTCAAGATGCTTCATGGACCCTGTCATACCCGATAGGCGTGTGCATTTCAATTCATCTGTTGAATGGCAGATGACGAAGGAGGGAACACCAAGTGACGGAGCATACGCTAGTACGCTTTGCGTATCGCGGGCATGGGAGTTGGGCTAAAAACAGGCTTCCACCTCGTCTCCAAAACGTTCTCAGGCGCATTCTTTCACTATGTTCTCGAATGGCATAGGACAGCAGTAGACCACACATGACACGACTCCGGTACGCCGTCTCATACAGAACACTTGATTTCCGCTCAGCCGCTAAATTTGAGCGCAGGAAGAATCATTTACCATGGAGCTGTGAAGCTGTAGGTATCGGCTGGCAGCAACTCTTTAAGCGCCGATATTGTGCTAATTTCGACTCAAGTGTCGACGGCGTAAAGTCGCATGCGACCATCGCACGCCAGTGTACGTGAAGTAGATGTAGCTTATACTTGGCCACTAACAAATTATAGCTGCGGTCGATGTCTGCGAAGAGGCAAACCTGAGCAGTGCAGCTATGTCGCTGCTCCCATGAGCAACAGGCGAAATAATGACACGCAAACGCTCGACGACACGTCGGTGACAATCGATGAGCCAGACTCGAATCAAGAAGATTCTTCATCAACTTCAGGCCCAGCCGTTCCGCCGTCAGTGGACCCGGTCGTGCATACGAGACAGCACGTTGGGTATCTCGGTCCCACTAGCTTCTCTGCATTGTTCACGGACAATCACGAATTCCGTAACATCCCGGATAGCTTGCGAAATCTCCCCACAGGTAGAGATGCGACTACTGTGACCAACGCGGATATCGAGCAAGGCGCACAGATAGTGCTTCTATTCTGGCAGTGTTTACCGCTGTGTTCGAAGATCAGCCAACGTTACTATAGGTTCTGGGATATTGGCGTAGTGTGGGAGGCACTTGTGGAGGTGTGGCGTGATGGAGCCCTACAAGTCCTAGATGGTGATCCCGGGCAGATGAGCGAGGCTGCGCTCACTGAGAGATGCCGCGAGATGTCCCAGCTCGTCTGGCAAAATTCTGGAAGAGATGAGGCGATCGATGAGAACACGACATTCCAGCTCTGGGCAAGTGGCTTCACGGGTCGACGGTTGAGGTGGGAGACAGTTGGCACGGTTTGTTGGTAGATCATGACCGAGATTTATCATGTCTGATCATATACAGGTTCTCGGCATGATAGCCCTATCAGCCTTTCTCGACGAAGACTGGGCTGCAATGCGGGACACTGCGTCATTTCATCGTGGTGATGGACCAGAACTCGTGCACCGATTACACACAGCTGTAATCACGTGTCGGCTGTTCTGTGGACAAAATGAGGTTTTGAACGAAGTGTACCTCATGATGCTTGTTACGGAGGGTGGCATCCTCGAAGGGACACAAGGTGACATGAGTACGTCCCATGCCCCCTCTCCCCACCCAGAGACCCATGCCTAGCAGATGCAGGGCACTGACATCTTTACAGGGCTCGCCAACTGGAAATTGCAGGGGGAATTTAGTGATGCTTTGGTTGCGATGGGTCTGCACCGCACGAATTCCATTAATCATCGCAAGAGACCATTCTGGAATCTTCAGCTACGAAGGCAGATATTCGCTGCTTGCTACTGTCGGGATAAATGGTTCTCATGTCTTTTAGGTCGTCCACCGCGCCTGGGTTACAAATTCTGTCATTTCGAGCTGCCATTGGAACTTTCCGTCGATGAGCTCTTATCGAGCCAGCAGCCTGGCCCACTCCTGTCACTTGTCGACGAGTCCGGCTGGGACAAAAGAGACACTGTGAATTGGGTGACATGGTTACGGCTCCGCGCGCAGTACTGTGCGATACGTGAGGACATTTTGGAAATCTCGCTCGGGAATACAATGACCACAGATGACCTGCAATGGCGGACTGAAGTTATCCACCAAAAGATTCGACAATTCTCAGAGCGACTCCCGGGTAAAATTCAGCGACGAGTTGATCATGCTCTGGAGTGCCTGTCCAAGCAATCTTTGGCCACGCGAGGCGGTAGTGGACTGCTCTCTGCTCTGGCGGTTCATCTCGGCATGCTGCAAACCCGATATCTCCTGCACCGAGCCCTTTTTACCCAGACTTTGGCCTTGCCGGATGATATCATCGATACTGCTCGCGAGATTCTCAATCTGGTCTTGCAGGTCGTTGCGGCCCAGGGACTTTTTCATGATTGGCCTGGCGATGTCGCATCCCTGGTAAGTTGTCGAATATCCAGGCAAGGTATAAAACGAGCGGTTGGCTGACACGCTTTTCTTCACTAACCTCTAGCTCGTCGTCACCGCGGTTCCGTGCGCCGGAATGTTGGCGATAGCTTTACTCCGAGAACAGCAGTCAAATATCCGCACCATCAGCGCCGTGCCTGGCCAGAAGTCCGACGTCATCCAGAAGGTCTGTTTCCTCGTGGCAGCGCTGAACTCAGTGCCTACGAGGGACATTCTCTACAGTCTCTGTAGACAATATGCCGCCGTCCTGCAACGGTTGTTGGATTCAATCTTGGAGCCCGCGCCGAATAACAGTGCTCCTGCGAACACATACGACGTCTCTGACGTGCCACCCCTGGACGTCTTCGACTTTACCCTCGCCACGACAGATCATGATACGGATTTCCTCCATTGGTTGGAAAGCCTGAGCTGAGCTCCCGTAACAGCCTGCCCACATCAGTCAAGCGGAACGTGCACTTGAGCTCACCATCGAGATATCGCCAGGCGTATAGGCTGGCGGCGGTAGTCCGGTCACATGATCGGTTTTTACGCACGGTTAATTCCTGATCTACGACTTGTTACTGATCATTTCGATGAAAAGCTGAGCCGCCAAGCATGTGCGGGATGTCAGGCAGTCGGTTTCGAAAGAGTATCCTCATTAACGTGCTATGTTATTTGTGTGACTGGCGAGCGATGCAAATTATACAGTAGCGGTATGTTCTCCCAACGAGTCACGTCCGAATCGACGTCTGTCTACCCAGCCAGGTAGATGCCAGGGTCTGAGGTGAGATTCAGCCTTCTGTCCGACCTCGGCGAATACAGTCTTATCGATTGCGGGGGGGCGTGGAGCCCTGCAGAGTTCTTCCGACATCGTTACACGGGCATGCGCTCCGCCCACGAGGGGTTAGTTGGTGGGGCAATCCCGAAGAATTTCCAGGCGCGGGACGATCACAAGGAATTGATATTTATGCGATATGACAACATTGTTTATTCGCTGTTGTTTCCCAATGGGACGTGTGGTAGGTATCGCCTCGTCGCGCTCGTTGCGACAGGAACGCATCTGCTGGCAGGAACAGCAGCCGCGCCTGGACTCATTGTGGTGAGTCGATACTTGTTACAGAGCTACAGTAGAATGGCGCCGAACCATGTAGAAAGGAAATGATGAGTGTTGACCAGCAGAGTCTAGCAAGTCTAGCTTACCCAAGACCGGGCCATGTGGGATGGGAAATATGTCGCCGCGACGCGTCTCATTGGACCCTGCGATCGCCTCCTGCAGGTGATTAGGTGATTACTGATGATGAATGTCTCAAGCCTGGGGAGCTGCTGGAGCGAGACGTGTGAGAGTTCTTCATAGAGAGGATGGCATCATACCTCATTGGGAACTAATCCGCCACACGGGCAGCATCACGCAATCGACAAGGCGAATGGTTGGTGGGGCAATGGAGAGAGACATTGGATGTCGCGGGCGCCGATGAGAATTGTTTTCTTCTGTAGTAGGAGGAGGAGGTCATTGAATACATTCTCATAGCATTTTCCCTCCTCAACTTTTCTTCTCCTTCTCCTCCTTCTTTCTTCATTCTCACAACCATACTCCCAACACATACCCACACATCACCAACAATCACATCACCACAATGGCTGACCGACCTGCACCTCTCCGCCTCGGCACCGTCGCTCCCAACTTCGACGCCGAGACCACCAACGGTCCCATCAACTTCCACGAGTTCATCGGCGACAACTGGGTCGTCCTCTTCTCCCACCCAGAGGATTACACTCCCGTCTGCACCACCGAGCTCGGCGCCTTCGCCAAGCTCGAGCCCGAGTTCACCAAGCGTGGCGTCAAGCTCATCGGCCTGAGCGCCAACACCATCGAGAGCCACGGTGGCTGGATCAAGGACATTGACGAGATCTCCGGATCTTCGCTCAAGTTCCCCATCATCGGTGACAAGGAGCGAAAGGTTGCGTTGTCATACGACATGTAAGTTTCGTGTTTTGCATGCGTTGTTTCACGGTATCGCAAGACCGAGCTATCAGAGAAGAGGTGGAACTACCATCAGGGAGCTCACGCTATGAGAGCCTCAATCTCGAATATCGAGAGGAAGAGGAGAAATTCCATGCGCAAAACCATAAGTCCTCTGATTCCCCCAAATACTAATCCCAACCACCACAGGATCGACCACCAAGACGCCACCAACGTCGACAGCAAGGGCATCGCCTTCACCATCCGCAGCGTCTTCATCATCGACCCGAAGAAGACCATCCGCACCATCCTCTCCTACCCGGCCTCGACCGGCCGCAACACCGCCGAGGTGCTCCGCATCGTCGACAGCCTGCAGACCGGCGACAAGCACCGCGTCACCACCCCGATCAACTGGGTCCCTGGCGACGACGTCATCGTTCATCCCTCCGTCAAGGGCGCCGAGGCCGAGTCCCTCTTCCCCAAGATGACTGTCGTCAAGCCATACCTGCGCTTCACCCCTCTGCCCAAGGAGCAGACCAGCGCGGCGGTTTGACTGGATGAGTTCCGGTGGAGGGAGACGTGGGAGCAGGAATGGGGCAGGAGGATTTGAAAGATATTTACCATCTATCTTTCCTCTCCTCTGCACTGCTGTCGCTTCATGAGGAAAATATAGATATCCAAAGTATGACTATGAAGTATGAAAAATCTGTTAAAAACTTGGAACATACGACAATCATGAACATGTGTGTGACATTTGCGGAGGACCGAGACCCCCGCGGAGAAAATCGCCAGCTCCAAGATCTCCCAGGTGTCAATTCGATTGTGCCTTTTGAGATACAATCTGATGTGGTCGGTCAAGGAAAAATCTATCGACGTATCTCCTGATATCAAAGTCTCTTACTTAGATGATTTTTCCGCCTATCGTAAGAAGCTACTCGCTGCAGCGCCAGGATCTTGGTCAGAGAGTAGGTCGGCGGAACCCGACCAATTTTGAAATCCAATTTCTTTAGGGTTATACAGAACCCTACTGTCTCAAAGCCTGGGAATCGATGACATGGCTCTGGAAGACGACACGACATTCTGCTGCAATGGTATTCATTGCAAAACCATGTCAGACCTCGTTATAAATCCAATGGAAGAATCCAAATGGAAACACAACAGCCTTAACCCTGCTCTTTCTCCGCCAGATCCGAAAGTAGTGTACACTCGCGCAGGTCTCCACGTCGTTTCGTCATTCCTCATGCTGGCGTGTCCTCGAGCACGCGTTTCGCGTTGGGATCCATGACAGGAGTGGGAATATCTTCTGACGACCACAGGGCCGTCGATTTGCACTGCTGGGTGTTTCTCCATATCCTACGATACTTCCAGCCGAGCGCTTGGAGCACCGCCAGAAAGTCACCGGGCAACACCCCGTCATCTGTATCGTAGAAATCCACGACGACTTCGATATCCCGGCGGAGTTCGGAACAGACCCTTTGCACTTCGTACTGGTAGTCGGGGATGGGTAAAGATAGGGCATGCCAGGTGTTGAAGGTGAGACGTCTGATATTCGTCGCTTCCGCCAGGACTCGGATATTCTCCCGGAAGGCCCCGTCCAACGGCATATCCTGGAGTATCCGCCCATCGACCTGGTCGTGGTGCGGGAATCCCCATTCGAAATCCCTCGCGTACCTCGCCTGCCTGCTCCCGACACGCGACAGGAAATCCCGGGCCCAACGCGGAGACCGCCGTGCGGCGCCGCCGTCGCTGAACCGGGTTCCTGCGTAGAGTCTCGGCATGGCCTCTGCGTAGACGATTTTGGAGGCTCGCAGGATCTCGGGGTAGATGGGTGTCTCCAGCGCCATCAGGTTCACCTGCATTCGCTGGACTGCATCTGCTGGAGCGAATAAGTCGAGATCGTAGATGAAGCCGACGACCTGGGGACGGACGAATAGCTCGGTGTAGATCATGAGTCGGACGTCATAGTCCAGATCTAAAAAAGATGTCCTTCTTCTTGTGATATCGGTGGGAGGCACATGCTGGCTGGCGTTGCTTGACATGATTGGGTGAAGGATGTCACAGTCAAAGGCGATGGGAGTTTGGATGAAGTTCAATCAGAATCTCTGGCGACTCTGGTAAGGCTCCTGGACCGTACTCCAAAATCGATCGATGCTTCTTGTTGTATTGACTGGCGACGTCGCGTTCTCTTCAGCCAAGCTTGATTAAGCCGGTGAGGTTTGTGATGCGATGGTTCATGTATCCATCTCTCGATATTTGAGGCGGACAGATCTTGATATGAGGGAGGCTTTGCGGAAAGCGATTCTTTTGAGGTCTTGTTCTTCACCTGATGCGGATCTTAGACTTTGAACTCGTCGAAACTATCGAAACGTATTGAATGCGATGCATCGAGGTTGCCTGGGCCCAACGTCGATGCCTACATTTGAGGCACGGAAATGAGGCGCGGGCTTCACGCTTACTCAGCGCCCGAACAAATAATCTGCGTCCACGATCGAGAGTATTCAGTAAATGTAGGAATAAACTGTACGCTATTGGGATCATATTTGCCTTGTGTCTTGACTTAGCACTTTCGATCCATCATGATCCCGACGCCGTGAAAGTAGTGCCGCCGTTCGACCTCGTGATTTTGTCTTTCTTTTGGAAAAAAGATTCTCAGGGACAGGCCATTGATGTTGGCAGCGTCACGCCGGAACGACAAATGTTATTTGAGTGAAGCTGAATACGCATTGATTCATGCGTATTGCTGTTCGTCCAAGCTACGCGCGTCCTCCTTAGGCAAGAATCAATCTTGCGGAAATTCAACGCTGCGGCTGAATCTGATTTCTATTGATCTGAAACGACGCATCATCCCTACGAAGGCTTCCAATTCTCGAAAGTCCGTGTGCCTGGATTGTCGCCACACGCCACTACGTCGTCTGCCGATGTAATAATCGACGGCGAATCGGCGGAGTACCCTCATGTCGTTCCAAGGCTTTATGTAGTCGCGCAAGGACGAAGACGTGATCCGCCGCTGGCTTCCCAAAGCATAAAAATGGAACTTGTTCCTCGAATAGAACAGTGGTGTGACCTCATTATACGTTTGCTTACAAACGCGAACGATCGCAGGATGAACATTTTATAGTCTGTGGAGGATGAGCTCTTGGTCTGGCAGGTACTTGCTGGCCGCATGTTTAGAAAGAGTTCCTCCCACGTGGTCTAGAACAATCTTGCGCCTGAGGTGAATGTTATTTGTCGAATGTAAGGAATGGTTAGTTCAAACGAGCCCTGGGTGTTGCAGGGAGGTTCACAAAACCCACATTCTTCAAGTTGAGAGTCCTTGGGTGCTGATGTTCTGCGACCTAACATATATGGACCGGACGTTAAACACGCGAGCAACTACATCTCCTATAAATGACTGCACAGCGGTACATAGGTCACTCAACAGAGCAAAAAGAAACCAGAAAAGCATCAGACATGCATGACAAACCCCACGTTGGCACACGACACATTCTTACGGAAAATGTTGAATTTTCCGAATCTGACCAGCATCCCAGATGCATGGCACATCGCCTTCAAAGCGCACTGAAGGACATTAGGAGCAATCTGGCCAGATGTCAGCGTATGTTTCGACTATGATCCTTCGTATTCCACCTGCAGGTGGCTGGCGGAGACTCGACTTACCGTCCTCGATCAAATTATTCTCGTAGCTTATAATACGCAGTGAGGTGGCTAGCACCGCAGATCCATCCGCTTCACTCCCTCCAACAACCGTAGGCGACGCTGGTAAATCTGGTGCAAGTCATCGCGACGCTGCGCATCCGCCAGGTTGTGACCAGTCAAGAGTATCATCATGAAAAAAGACTCGATGATGCTCGGGGGAATGTTGCACAGGAGCTGGCCAGTTTCGCTCCATCCCATTGCAGACGCACCAACCAGTAAGCCGATGATGGACAAGAAGCCTACGAGGACAGTGTACTCGTGCGCGCACACCACGCCCATTTTGGCCGACAGCCGGTTGGTGAGAGAGTCTTGTCCCGGTGGTGCCGCCGGTGTTTGGTCAGGGAGCACTTCTGCATCAAGCATCCTTCCGATCTCCTTGGTCTGATCATCGAAAGTTGGAAGCACAGTCTCCATGTCGTCCAATCGTAGCGACTCGAAGGCATCATTCTCGTAGTCGATAAACTTGGCTTGAACGTTGCGCAGCACGAAACTGTCGTTGAGGCCGATTAGTCCGGCATATGTTCCGATGATCAGCCACCAATTCGAGTTGAACTGCAACGCTGGGCCGATCGCGAGCCAAATGGTCACGACGACGATCAGGAGTGCGATGCCAACCAGGGTACCAACGACATCAGCATAATAGAAGATGGCCCTTTGCAATCGGCCCACCTTCGGTGCCGGCACAACCACAGTAGGATTTGGAGTGGTGTCTCTAGTCAAGGTACGCAGTCGTCTCTCAACTTCGGCATCGACGGTGAAGATCTGCTCCACACATCCCGCGGTATGTGCATCGTGGCGCTCGCGGATGTTTGCCAGGAAGGCGAAGATCAGTACCATAAGCGCCGACGTGGCCGAGTTGATGTAAAGCTGCCACTCATTGCTCCAGCCACAGTATGGTCCGAATCCAAGCCAGATGAAAATGCACACCCAGAAGCCACAAACAGTGATCAAGTGTCCGAGAATCTTCGAAATCACAGTGGAGAGTCGACCCAGCCAGCCCTCGGCAGGCAGCTCCGTAGCATACCCAGCTTTGGTTGACCCTACTTCTCCGTGGCTGACTTCGTGACCTGCGACTGCGGTTCCTTCTTCGATATACCTCACATCGCCCTTCCACACTGCTGCTTGCAAGTCTCGCAGCATCCTGCGAACACTGAGCCCACGCGAACGGAGCGCTGCAGTCACGCGAATCTGTCGATCATAACCGTTGAGCAGCTGACGCATGAGCAGTGAATCGAAGAAGTAGCTGATCAATGCTTGAGCGTCGGAGATACCGACTTGCCAATCCTGCTCATGTCCGTAGGGAATTCCGAGGAAAGCCCAAAGCAGCAAGCCAAAAATAATTAGTAGAAAGACAGGTTGCGAGCCAGAGGCGGCTACTAGAGCGTTGAGAGCACGGTCGAGTCGATTTGGGCGCGCAGTGGAAGTCGTGGTGAGCACGGCCTGTCTTTCTCCTGTAGCAGGAGATGCCTTCTCTTCGCCAGCTGATTCATGGGTCCACATTGAAGCAGTCTTGGAATCGCTTGGAACGGTCTCGAGTGCAGGTGTGCTAGCCGTCTTCAGAAGCGTTGGCTCGGTCGGAGCCGCGTCTTGAATATCGCCCTTGGCGCCCGGGGCGGCCAGAATGGCAATGAAGCGTCCCATCTTGACGGTAGCTATGATGGTCTTGAATATCTCTTAATGTTCGTCGACTTCTGTCACAGACCCAAAATTAGTCAGGAATCCATGACGGAGTGTAGGGAGGGCCTGACCCGCACTTCACGGTGACTGGAGTACGAGATGGTATGAGAGCAGCCAGAGTTCGTTTGGGTTGTTCATTAGGGTAGAAACTACACGTCTCATGGAGGCCAAACTTCTTCTGTGAGTGGTATGATGCCGGCTCCCATACGGAACCGGCGGTCACTGATGCTGAAGTTGGCCAGACTTTGGTGGACGCTCAAACGAATGAGCGCCGGACACGATGTGTTGGTTTGGTAAGAAAGCGATGGCGTTTTCGAAATGTAGAATACGGAAGGAGATAGAGCTCCAATGTATAGCTCGCAGCGGTGAAGACAAAACCGATGATAATGGTGGTGATTGACGTTCGGCAGGGATTCACCGCGATACATATACGTGTGCGAAAGCACCAGTAGATTTTCTTGCATGTGCTCGACTGCAAAGTCGATCGTGAAACCGGCCTACGAGGCTGACAGTTCCAGAAACGCTAGAATATGCGATTGGGTACTCGAGCCCGTAGTGTTCGGCACTCATCGGAGTCAAGCATTTTAGCAAAAGCTTACTGCACGAAAGTGGTGTCGGAGAAGCACGAGTTCAGCCCCGAGCGGTCGGTCCGACATCACATCCAGGCTAGAGCAGACAATATCCCTCGAGAAAAATCGGTATGGTCGGCCTGAAGTTCCCTATGTGGTGTTGGGACGGTGGACGCGCGTACTCGATGTTAGCGGTCAACAAGCGCAAGCCACGTGTCGGGCAATTTTTTTTTTCGTGCTTCGCAACAGCTTGAGACCAAAAATGCCTCATGAGTCATCTGTACTCATAATTTTCGCAGTGGCATACCATTCCGGTCATCGATTCCAGCAGAAAAACAAAGTATGTTCATGCCGATTGTTGATGTCAATTGAGCGACTACACAAAGCTTTCAGCTTGTACCCTGAGCGTCTAGACCTCCAGGGCTCTGTGCATGCGAAAAGTGAGACAAGACCCACAAGGCTCGCTCCTTCTTGTTTCTATTCCAGCCATGTGCTAGCCTCAACATTTGACGCACGTTGAAAGTCTCGCGGAGGTGACTCCTCATGGTCAGTCCATGACCTGACGTTGGTTTCCAGCATGAAGTTGTAGGATGAATGAGCGGTGACCAGAACGCCTTGATCGCAACCACTACACAGATGATTCCAAAGCCATGTGATCACGATGAGGATCAAAATTAGTCTTACTGACAAGGCGGAGTTGTCGTCATCCATACTTCTGACGTGCATCCACATGCATGAGTGAGCCCGGGGCACCCGACTTCATCGGAGCTTGCTAACGAGTCAATTGTCGAAGATCATTGTCGACCCAACCCAGCATTTGCCAGCTTGTCATATCGAGTGATACTTGATCAATCGCTGTCGGCAATAATCCACCCCATCCCTAGAATGCTTGCCTCCAGCTCATGTCCGAGCTGCTCCTTGAAACTAAGGAGATCCCAAGGCTTGTAATTCTTCTGGCTGACCTTGGGGCAGTATAAGGGCCATCGTCTTATGATGATCTTTTCGACAGTTCCTGCCTTGTGGATCAAGGCATTGATCGGTCGAAGGAACCTCAACACAAGCACATAGTCGACAGAGATGAATGATTTTGCAAAAAACCGGAATTCTACCACTTTGACCCCAGAGACTAAGGAAGAGAATTTCTCGAAGTCACGGATAGTATGATTTGTGAGAGGATCTTGGAACAAGAGCTGATCATAAGCGAAGAAGATTTGGCGAATGTCCAGCGTGTGTGACCCGATCTGGCTCAGAAATTTGCCATACATGCTTGTTATTGGCCAAGTACAGTCAAACTGGAAAATGTTCTCCGAGTATAGTAAGGGTAGGGCTTCCGCATATATCATTTTGCTGGTGCGCAGAATAGGCGGATAGACCAATGATTCCCTGTCCGCGTCTCCGCGAACTATGGCGGGGACAACTTCGAAGTTGATGCGCCTGGGTCGAATATAGAGTGGAGCGTTGGACACGAGCAGGTTCTCATAGATGAGCACCCTGATCTCTGGCGGCAGATCCATCAAAGACATAGCTGTATAAAATGATTTCGTTTCATTGTTTAAAGAGCGGGCTGGTAAATGAGGCACGAGATGCACAGAGTGGTGGTCGACAACACGATAGCTTATCCCTAAGTCATTGCCCCACCTGCACGTCTGCAAGTCGGACCTGCATTGATTGGAGGGTTTCCACGGTACCTGAGCATTATTCGTAGATGTTTCCAAGCAGACCGCCAATAACATCATTGTTGGGAGCTTCATGCATGTTGGTTCGCGACCTTTGGACGCCTTTCGGCATCGTGACCATTTTTTATCAAGTTCGTGGCTTAGCAAACAAGCGATCGAGCGGTCCGCGTCGATTTACATTGGCAAACCTCAGCTCAAACGTCGTGTTTCTACTGCGAGATATCCTTGTAATGACCTCGCCACTTCCTCCAAGGGAAGTACACGAGATCACGGCACCTTTTCACGGATCGACCTACGTACTTTCGTTAACAATAGCCCAGCTAAGCTCAAATACTTTCTGTTGCAGCTGATCAATCCTTCGGTTTTCAAAGCTCAACTCATCTGCTTTTGAGATCTCACACCGAGATTCGCCAGGCGCACGACTGAGAAATATCTTATCTATAGCGCCAGTCATTCAAATTACCCTCTCCCCATCCTGAAAGTCGACAGCCTCAAAGCCTCAAAGCCCTCAGATATTCCAGGCGCGTCATCCTTTCAGGTTTTCCGAATGCAATGGATCCTTAGATGAATCGTTTTGATTTCTGAACTGAGCGCTCATAGTATCTCGAAATCGCGGGAGCTTTTCCAAGAAATCCTTTTCGTAGTAGATTTATGAGGATGATGTAACGAAGATATTCGATTTGAGATCTAATACGTTCGAGAGATGACCGAAGCATACCGCGAAACTCTACGATACTGACAAATCCAAAGTTTTTCTTTAGATACAGTACAGAGTTTGCTTCTTTGCAAACTTGCTTACAATCCTATAAGATGTAAGAGTGGTGTCTTGACTTGTCGCCCGACCGTCGTTTTATTACCTCCTTTGTAGGCCGCAGATGTGGTGCAGACGCTATTAGTGATACCCCATGCAGAGTTGGTCGACTTGCTCTACTTATTCATGATGCCAGCGGGGCTTCATCAAGCCTTTCTGCATCGGGCTTCTATAAGGCAAATTCTATTTCTCGCTACGCCTCAACTAATGATTTTCCACCCGAGATCAAAGATTTCGGCTCTGAAATCCGGTTGCATCAGGTCTACAAGGTTGTAGCTCGCTTGAGCCCCGCCGATTTCAGAGGAATTAGACTCTAGTGCAATGGTTTTTATATTCCCAGATCGCCTCAAAATGTCGTTAATTCTCCGAAAGACCTTAATGCCCCGAGTTGAGAAATGCAGTCCTAGCAGCCAGATGGGATCAATTCTTAGGCATACGGTCTCGACTGCCGGGCTTACTTCGACAAGTCTCGCAAAGGTCCAAAAGCTAGTTTCGACGTATGACCAGCTTTGTCGGTCCGAATGGCCAGAGATTTCAACGATGATGTGGCGGAGAAGTCTGGCTTGGGAGCTGATGCGTTCAAGAAACGGCCCGAGAAGTTCGCAGGATGTCGTGGAGCTGGAAAAGTGGAATATGTTCTGCGTGTACAGCAATGGGCTTGCCTCCAGGTAGATCGTCTTGCAGACGCGTAGAATGATACCGCACACGTCAGGCTTATCGCCGAAAAGGCAGCCGATAGGATATGCTGGCATGGGACGGAGTTTTCCTCCAGGACAGCAGATGCCAGAGGTCAGTTCCGGTGGCCAGGGAGTCCGATTCAGCCCGATACGGAGTGGTTCATCGGAGACGAGGAGAAATTCGTAGATCAGTATTCTGAGCTCTGTGGAAAGCTCCATCAGCTCCATCTTAGGATATTGAACGTTGATATATCGAGATGAAATTGCTGTAACTTGACCTCTGCAGTGAGAAAGAAGTCTGCAAGTTATTTGATCGCAGCTCATGACGGTAAAATGACATCTTTTAGGCAAAATCGCCGTGTAACACCTGCGAGTCGTTCGATCAGGCAGTAGGTACCACGTCGCACGACGATCCGGCTCTTCCAATCGGCTTCCTTACCTGTGCATGTACATGATCCACAAATCTATATATCCTATGTACCTTTCTACTACATGAATCGCGAGATCCAATTCCAGGTACAAGCGTGACCTCCGGCGTAAGATGATTCTAAATTTCCTCACAAATGTTTCGTTGAATTCGAGCGAACATGTATTGATCTCCGTTTTCTATGATCTTTCATGCATACGTGATTCCCTGAAGAACTCCTTCCGCTCAGCCTAGTATTATTCGTTTCCTACTGACTGCCCACTCAAGCTCTTTGATTATAACGACAACGTCATGATGCGGCTCCGGCAGTCTTGTCCGATCGGTGTTTGACGGCCGGTACAGCCATGGTGTGAGGTCACGATAGTTCATCCTCTTTTCAAACCGAAATGTGACTTTGAGACTATCGCTCAATGAGTCCAGATGATGTTTCAAGATTTGAAACTTCTCGTTTAATTCAGTAGTCAATCCAGGACCCCAGGTCGTGGCGTCAGAAGGAATAAGAAACTCCAGCTTTCGAAGTTTTGGGCACATCTGCAAGCTCCTGAGATCCCTAAGACCACGTTCATCAAGTGACCTTCTCATTTCCGCATCTTCTACGAAGTCGGGAAATTTCACCATGATTGGTGAGACATGCTTCTTTGAGTCTCGGATACTATCCAGCCAGTCCCATCTGATATCCTTACGCTCCTTCTCTCCAGGGGGTGTATAGTAAAAATGAATTCATTATTTCCGTAGAATAGAGGGGTTGCTTCTTCGTTAACGACTTTACAGGTCCTCGGAAGGTTGAAAATATTCTTTCTGTCAGGAAATAATGTATTGTCATAGCAGATAGCTCCATCTGACTTGCGTTCGCAGAAAGTGATTTCGTGAGGCAGCACCATGGTATAGGCGTATGTGATATCCCGAACCTCGCGTAGTAGTCTGAGAAGGGTACCCATGTTAAACTCCTCGCAGCAAATGCGCTGGATCCGTTTAGACTTCAGCGGGAAGATGATGTGAATATGTTTGACAATGAGTTTGAAGGTTAGTAAATCCTCCGGTGTTTCTCTCTTCTGCTGATGGTATGTTCTATAGTCAGAGGTTCGAGAAGTGTAGCTTTACACATCTCGCAATGTCCTCTCTGTCTCTCCCACTTCCTCTCGCGATAGCGGCAACATCATATTCCTAAGTATACTTCCCGTGTTTTCCGCTCTCGCTTAAGTTGAAGGAATACATGTGGACAGGTACTATATCGCAAAGCGCTTTTCTTTAACACAAAGGATGTTACAAAAAGCTGTCACTCCGGCGACTAGTTCGATCGTCCTTCACAGTACTTGTGTACAACGGCCGATCGGATCCATTATCATTGTTCGAATATTTGAATAGAGCATTGAGTGCAATAACAGTTTGATTTCTTTGTTAAGTTTATGTATTAGCGGCGATACGCGGGCGTTTAAATCTTGTGAAGCCGAAGTTACTTGGTAGCGAGGAATGCTTACCTGCACACTGCACGAGATTATACAACTCCGAGAGCATGCGTTCGATCCGGTTTCGATCGCATAACGCGTTTTGAAACGTTGAAATGAGGTCCAGATTAATCGGCCATTGGCCACCCAAGCTTGTGTATCCCTGCTACGAGTTGGCTCATAATTGGTCCTTTACAAGCGTGACATTTTGTCCCCGACCGTGGACTACAATGGAGTGGTGTGGTTGTCATGCTTTCGATCTTGTCTGATCTTTTGAGGAGCTTGTCAATTGCTTGGAACTTTAAGACAGAGTCGACGTGAACGGGTGCCCAGATGAGGATGGTGTAAGGGTTCCACTTTTCACTAAAGTCAAGCTTCGCTGTCTTGACTTCGAGACCTTTCCGCGAGAACGCGCTGAGATCGTTGCCTCTACTTTGCGACTCTATCATTTCGGCCGCGTCGCCAGAGCTTATGGATTCCAACTGTGCATTGTAGATTTTTTGCAAAGCTGCATGATTGCTGCATGAATCGTCACTGGAGCACCTGGCCGATGGCGAATTTCAAGCACGAATGATGTACGCGATGAGCCCGGCTTCTTTGCGAGTCGAAGACATGCCGAGTTCGATATCGGTTTTTTAAACTACGAGATACTCGTAAATCGAATGTCGAAGCTCTGCAGGTAGTTTTAGGAACGACATTTTCGACAAGCGTAATACACAGCAGATGTAGGGCGAAGCTGAGCGCTTGAGAGAACGTACTCTTAGTGGAGTAAGTTGTGAAAGCGTGAACAGATTTCCTCGTTGTGGAGCGGAGTTTGAAACTGATGAAAGAGTTGAAAAACACATTTGAATCTGAAAGGTTACGAACCTTGGATCGCAGTGAAGAGTATGGGCATGACAACGGCGGAACGACAGGCTTCTTGTACGAGGTCGCTTCACGCTTGTGACAGTACTATAAACATTTACGTGCACATACCTTCACGGGCACATGTGGAAACGAACCCTCGATCCGTCAGCGAGGTTGCACCGCGCTTGAAATCAAGCATATCAACATGCTCATAGCAAGGTCCAACAATCTCCATCTTACTCTATCATAAAGTCGTCGACACGAGGTGTTGTCCCGGCAGGTAAATTACAAAAGCTCAGCCATGGAGGAAAGGGCCAAATTTCGTACTCAAAGACCGCCGAGGGATCGTTCTTGTCTCGTATACACACATCCCAAAGAGATGAGATGGTGTAGCCAGCTCAAGATCCTGATATCGAAAGAATAGCAGAACCGAGCGCGGTAGGAGACGGTGATAATGAAGGAGAATTGTTTTGATGGTTACGTTAGAGGCGTGCTTGTTTTTGCATCGCGGTCGGTTGATGGGAAGCCTTCTCGTGCGCGGCGCGCGGAGTAGGAGCACTGAAACTTTTGCTTCATTGTGGCAAGCTTGCATGGTTCGAGATCATCATTGCGATTGGGCGAAAGATGGAATCTACGGCGCGTCAATGTAGCGATAGGATGATGAAGGGACTATCTCGACACTTCCAAAAATAAAAGAGGAAGTCAAATTTGTGTGGTCGGAGTATTGCCTCAGGCATCAGCTATCTCGCCGCACACTCCGACTCCCAAAACTTCTGCTTATGCGAATCAATCCATGGACGCCTTCAGCCCGTGCAAATACCGAATACTGCGGCAGATAAGAGTCGATTACTGTACGGGTATTCTCAGATAAGCAGACGTGGATCACGTTTTGTACATTCATCATATCGCATTTAGCTTCTCAATTTCTACATTCGACTGACTCTCCGTCTCCCCCTCACTTTGCGCCCCTCTTCCTCGAGATCTTCAACTTCGTCTTTACCCTTTTCCAGTCCCGGCATCAAATCATCTCTTACACCTCCGCCTCCTCCTTCCTTCTCCAATCCACCGACGCCTCCCTCGACCACGATGCCCCAGTCCGCTACATCGTGCCAATCCTCACCATCGCTCATCTCCGTCACGAAGTTCCCCTTGCCATCGGGAACGACATGTCCATCCGCCTTACACGCTTTGTACACGAATCGCCGTAGCCTGTCCGACTTCTGCAGCCCCTGAAATAGACCTTCGAGACTACGCACAATCTGCTCTTGCTTTTGCACGTAGAGAAGCAGCAGCCGTCGGGCTTCCTCGGCTTCGAGATTTGGGAGTCCGAGATCCCGATCGGAAACACTGGCGGTGGGTGCGATGAACCATGGATGTACAGCTGGCGTCGAGAGGCTATCGCTGGGTGAGGGAGAAGATGGAAGATCGAGCGCGGCTGCTTCGGACGATGGTGAGCGAGCTCGGCGCCGGGTGGTCATAGCGTGGGTGTTTGTAGTAGCCGAGTTGGAGCCTGCGTCCGAAGCAGCCGCGGTGTCACGATCGATGAGGAGGTGGGCCAGCGATGGTCCATTGCCAGCCGTTGACTGATCTGTGACGGCGACGCCGTTGCTGGACTCTGCCCCATTCGCGCCATGATCTGCATCTGTTTGTGCCTCCGCTGGTGTAGTTCCGTTGGCCACAGGTGCATGCGAATGTTCTCCCTCCTCTTGCGGTACGGCTCTTACAGGATTTTTCGCGGCTTCGAAATCATGCGCCTCGATACCAGAGACGCCATTTGCCGCAGGCCCTTCACCATCCACTGTCATTTGATCTGTGACGACGCTGAGCCCGATACTCCTCATATCCTCGACTGCTGTTTCACCATTAAGAAGACCTTCTCCGTCCTCGGTGTCAAACATGCCGCAAGGAGCCCAGTCTGCGTCGCCTCGGAACCTCTGAAGCACTCTCTTCGCCTTCCACAAGTTCGCTCGCTCCCGCCTGAGCATCTCTTCGGCTTCTTCCGTCATTTGTGTCAATGCCCTGCTTTCGAAGGGTAAACGCAGTGTTGGGTGATGTGGCAGTTCCGAGGCAGCAGTCAGTGGTCGCAGAATGGTGTGCAGTTGAATATCGCCAAACGGGTTATCCTCGAGAGGTTGGAGATCTTCGCGGTCGGACGACGCATCAGAGTAGACATCCCCGTCGTCGTCAATGTAGGGCGGGTTTATGGCAATAATCGGTCGAGTGTAGCCGGCGTGGTCGATCATCTGCATTTCCCGCGTCAATGACAAGTCACCCTAGACCTAGTTTCCAATTCATACCTTGCGGTATGACAACGCATCAACCTCTCCGAGGCGATCTCGTTGAATGCGCTTCGCATCGCGCTGTAGTTTGTTGCCGCGGTTAGTATGCGCGGAAGTATATTGGTCGCTGTATCCATCATCGGCGCGACGCTTGAAGGCGCGCTTCATAGAGCGAATCGTCTCGGCGAACTGAATCTGCTGAAGATGTGCCATTGTGCGCGGCTGAAGATGGCAATCTTCACTGTACAAAGGCGAAGTGATAACACTCAAGAGTGCGAATGTGATGTCAATGTGCTGTACTGTAGAAGAGCGAGCGCTGCGGATCCCCCGAAAATGAATATGACCGCACCTTCAGGGCTGGGGGAGCCGATAGCTCGACTGACTCAGCAAGATTGCCGGAATTGGTTCCGCGCCCGGCGTGGTCGCATGGGCAAAAATTTGGGAACTTTTTCCAGGAGCATTCGTCACTTGACATACAACCTTTTGATCGGATTCACGGTTGGAAAGTCTTGTTGCAGCAAGCGCGTACGGCCTCAAATCAAGCCACATAGAATACACGTGGACGCAAGAACGCTATACATACCAATCCGTCTTTTGGATACAATCAACATCTCCAAGTTTTCAGCATTATGGCGCAACCAGTGATTCCTAGTCATCTCTGGACCGAAGACACGCCCGCGCCAAAGGTCTCTGATGTCGTCACACTGCTCGCACACTTCTTGGATCAACTTGCCGATTATCCCAAGACATTCAAGGCAATTATCAAAGAAGCCAAGACGAATGGCATCGATCTTGACATCGCGGAATGGGAAAGAGGTATTGAGACCGGCAGTGCCGTGAACTTCATGGATTTGTGGTCAGCCTGGTATGATGAGAAGTCCGCACACCCTACACTGCCAGCATCGAGTGAAGAGGAGGATTCGGACAGCGAGGAGGACTCAGACGATTCCGACGAGTCTGATGAGGAAATGGAGGAGGACGAGGCTGTTGAAGCTGTCGTTGATGTGGAAGCGGAGGAGTCCAGCGATGATGGCTCCGAAGCAGATGTTCCTGAAGAATCACTGAAGCGCAAGCGGGCGTCGGACGAGTCCTCGGACGAGTCTTCGGACGATTCATCTTCAGACGACGACAGCGACAGCTCGTCCGACGAGAGTGAAGCACCACCAACAAAGAAGAGCAAGACCGTAGAGAAATCAGTAGCGGAGCCGATCGAGGAATCCAGCGACAGCGACAGCGATAGCGAAAGCTCAGACAGCGACTCGTCTTCAGACGACAGCAGCGACGATGAGGATGATGACAACAAAACAAAGCCTGCAACTGCTACTGAGCCTGAGACGAGCGCAACATCGGACAGTTCATCCTCAGATGAGTCTCCGACACCGACGCAGCCAAAGAAAAAGGGCAAGAAGGCCGAACCAGTCAAGGCGCAAGAAACAGAAGACAGCGGTCGGTCACAAGCTTCCTCGGCCACTCTGGAGGCAGAGCCCGAAACCAGCCATATCCACCCTAGCCGACTAGCACAGGTACCCGCTCCTGACGTCTCTGCCTCCGGTCAAAAAGCCGCGGCGACCCCTGGCAGCGGCAAAAAGGGTTCCGTGGTTCCTTTCTCTCGCATTCCTAAGGATCAGTACGTGGACCCTCGCTTCGCTAGCAATGAATACCAAAGCTACGACTACGCAGACCGAGCGCATCGCGATCTTATCGTCACCAAGGGAAAAGGCTTCACCAAGGAGAAAAACAAGAAGAAGCGTGGTAGTTACCGGGGTGGCGCGATCGATTTGACGCCCAAAGGCATCAAGTTTGACGACTAAGCTTCTGTAATTCCCAGCCGCCTCTCGTCAGCAATTGTTTCGTTTCAGAGGTCTTGTTGATGTAAACCAGATTGTATAGATGAATTTTAAGTTTTCTCCTGTTTTGCAAACTTTTTGACCAAAGAACAGTGGATTGGAGTATATTTACAAGCCATACATCATCATCGGCGGTGATCTATACATATCGTGCCACTCGTTAATCCCGTGAATGCGCGCGTAGTAGGTCAACAAGACTTCAGTATAAACGACCGTACCCCTGCTCACTATTTCCATCGTCACGCTTTCGAGATGGTCCTCGATAAATTCGGTCCATGGATTCGGTACATGCGGCTCCTTATTCTTCCATATCAGCTTCACATGGCCTTCGCTCGGGCCAGAAAAGGCGGGTCCATTGTCAACCTCCAGAACATCATACATTTTAGCCCGTAGGCGGGACAGAATTGCATTCCAGTCATTTTCGCTTTCGCAAGTGCTTCAATATATCACCCAGCCCCATGTCTTATGATTATCTTCTTGCAGGAACCTCCCGATATTGTCGGCCAGGTTGTAAATCGAAGGTTTGCTCGGTTTTCGAAGGGACCTTTTGTCCAGATCAAACACAAATCTCGTCACGATGCTTGAGTGTTTGTCTTAGCTCCAAGGTCTTGCCAGTACACAGCTGATGGGACCTCAATGGTGAATACAGAAATTCGGACACAAGCAGTCAATGGATCATGCGGCACAGTACCAGCGCTTTCGTCGTGCGAGCGAGCTTGCTTGTATATACGGCCCCAATTTATCGCTCGTACAACGAATATTCACAGCTGAACCAGACGTGGTGGTCGGCAGTACAGAACATACCATCCGTTTCGTTCACGTAGCAAAGAGTAGCCGTAGACCATGAAATCCGGGAAACCCACCCGCATCCAGCCCACATCTTCTCTGATGCAACCCTCGATCGCCTCATATGGTTCTGCGCGATCCCGGTAGATTGTTTCGAGATCCCAATCCCTCCATATCATTTTGATCCAGCTGCCGTCTGGACCAGGGGGGTATTTGCCACGAGGATGCGCAATGACAGACTGTAGGGACTCCTCATCAACCTGAACGCAGAACAAATAGCGTTGTGAGCCTCCAGCCTCAACACCGTCTTGCTCTTGCCGCGCGTTGTTCTGCACCCAGATCTTGAAATTCTTTCGAACCTCGGAAGTACTTGCACCCTCCAAGGTTTTATCCTCCACGATCGTGAGCTCCAGGCTGTCGAGCATATCAGCGCCGCCATGGAAGTCCAAATCAGACTTTATTTCAGCTCGCAGACGGAAGACAAATTCTTTCCAAACATCGTCACTTTTGTAGGTGCTGCGATAGAAAACCCAGCCCCATGCCCTGTGACCGTCATTCTGCAAACATCTTTCAATGTTGTCTGCATCGTTAAATACCGTAGCAATATCGGGCTGTCGGAGTGACTTTTGCTTCAGGTCAGATAAGAACTCTGCCATTGCTTGTCATGGCGTAGTTTTGTTATAGAGTTTGTTTGCAGGCGTCTGTTGGCATCATCTAATATCCTGAAGCTATTTATAATGCGCGGCACAGTCAAATTCGTACAGCTGCTTGAGCAAAGCATCGAAGCCGTGGTGCACACAAAGCTCAGACCGTGGAGCTCCCGTCTTTGGGTGGGATGTGCGTCTGGGATAGATCCTCCTTCGACGGTATTGACGGACGCGCATTCAACGCGTCCCATTCATGCTTCAGTATTGACATCTCAATCAAATCACGATATGCACCATCTGAAGTTCACCAACGATCGTGTCTCAGCAGAAGTGCAGGATTTGTTCGGGGTCTAGACTTACCATGCCAAAACATTTCACGTTTCCGTCCCTCGATAGTAAACCCGAGCTAACGTAAATGTCAGCGCATCTCCAACATCATGAGCGATTTTCTCCGTGGGTCCACGACTTGCTTTTCGAAGATGAACGAGAAAAGTCACGACGTGTCTTACCTTTTGATAAAGCCGACTGGCGCCCTCGTTCCACGAAAACGCTGCGATCGCGACACGGTGCATGTTCGCCCTCCTAAACGCCCAATCCAGGACCCACCGCAGAGCCTCACTACCATAGCCTTGCCCTTGATAGTCTCTGTGGATTCCTATCCCGATCTCTACATTTCGATGATGCTCCTTGAGTGGGTTGTCGTCTGTGCGGAGGTGCAAATCGCCGATCGGCGTGAGAATCTCCTTGACAGGCCTCTTGTACGAAGTCACTGTGGACGACGTGAAGTTCTCCGCGATTTTTTTGCTATGGGCTTCGTCCCTTTTTTCTTCAGCGTCCGCCGGTGGGGCCGACGGGATGCAGATGATGACGGCTAAAGGAGCCTTGACGAGATATTCTCGATAGCTGGTACCGTGAGCTTTCCTCGAGGGGCCTGGTAGGAAAGGGGCACTATTTATGAAGCCTTCGCTATCGGACCTCATCTCGTACAGAAAGTCATCATCTGGAGAATTCGAACGTCAATGATTACTTGCAAACGTTTCAGACCCGCCACGATGATGACCAGCTACCTTCAGGTTCGAGGCCTTTAAACACAAGGCGTTCTGAACGCCATATAGTCGCTGATGTCGACATGATGAGCCAACAGGGAATAAATAAGGATGTGAGATACAAACGATGTTCAGATACGACTCAAGGTAAGGCCAATGCGAGGATGGTGTTGCCTTGGAATTTCTCCCGACACATAGTTCTTTATAAACATGTCGATATCCATATCCGAGATTTCAGGCTAAAATGAGTCATTCAATGTCATGAAACGCTGCTTGCTGCCAATGCACATTCGTGCTCAGCTCTCTGAGACGCTTTTCAAGTTGCATCATGAAGCTGCACGTCAGACGGCCCACAAGCCATTTTCAGGCTATCGCATTGTCGGTCGCTTCGGGCGGCATTTCGTGCCGAATACGTGAGGCGGCGTGCTGGAAAGAGACAGCGGTGTCTCCCTGCATCGCGCTGATTCAGAACTAACGCTTCCCTGCGTCTCATATGTTGATGAATAAGCACCACTGCGCCTCATTATCTGATCATCTGAAGCTGAGGTGGGAACTACCTAGGTATTGAAGTGGTGTTCACGCTCACGCTGATTTCCATGCGTTCAGGGCACGTCCCCTCCACATCACGGCTTTCACCCGTCCAACATCTCTACGATTGTCGGCGTTGTCGTCCACGACAGGTCTTCTTCTTTTCAGAGAGAGTACACATCTTGTAGAAAATCATGCGCTTCATTCATTTACGGATGGCACAGCCTCTATGAGTATATGAAGACCTAGCATAATCATCGCGGTGTTCTAAACTCATGGTCTCGTTAATCAGCTGCGGCGTATTGTACTGTACGTGCCACAAACTCTCTCCTCAATCTGCCTGTCAGCATTGCAGATCACCGAGGAGCTCCACTGTCCGAGGGCAGGTATAAATGGCATTCGTAACTCCCACTTGGCCTTTGTAGAATTTCCCATCAATTAGATCACATATCAATTCCTTGAGAAGAAGACTATCAGGCGATCATAGATTAGGCATAAGTCGCTCTGCGGATCCAACTCCTCAAATATTGGTATCTCGCAGGCTTCTAGCGAGAACAGTCATCATGGCAGATCTCAAGGATTGGCGCTCATATTCCGAGATCGACCCAGAATTGGAAGCAGTCCGTATATGTCCAGTGAATATTGTAGAACTAAACTGACCAGGCGTGCCAGACTCTCAAGGCCATCGGCCCAATCCGCGAATTCCACGAGTTTCCCAATGTTGATGCAGTACGGGAGTTTCTTTCTAAGGGCAGGACACGTGTGGCCGATCATTTTGGTCGTCCTCCGGGGGTCAAAGAAGTCGATCAACAAGTGCCGCTGCGTGACGGTACACAAATCACATGTCGAATCCACTCGCCTGAAAAGGCGCCTGAGAATGGAAGTCCTCTGGCGGTCGTTTTCCATGGAGGTAAGTAATATATATGATGTGATCTGGCAGGCCTCGGCTCGTCAATATCCAGCCGCTGACAGGTTCAAACAGGAGGTTACGTACTTGGCGGTCTCAATAGCGAGGAGCTGCTCTGTCGACGACTCGCAAGCTTCTTGGGCATCACTGTTCTCAATGCAGATTATCGTTTGGCTCCAGAGCATCGCTTCCCAACGGCAGTCAATGACGCTTACGATATAGCGAAGTGGGTACGTCGAATGGTCCGCCTCTTATCCATAATACTGAGGATTATCCTTCTGACTCGATGCTTCCAGGCAGCAGCAAACGCCGGTTCCTTTGGCGCCGATCCAACAAAGGGCTTCATAATCAGTGGCTCCTCGGCCGGCGGATGTCTTGCGACAGTGACAACGCTGCGCTTTCGCGACGAAGCTCACAATCCACCTGTCACAGCTCTACATCTCATGGTTCCACTCCTCTGCTACCCACCTGCGCTGCCCGAAGAGTACAAGGCCGAAGACTACGCCATTACGCAAAACATAGATGCGCCCATCCTCAACAAAGAGGGCATGAAATGGACATTTGATCACTACATTCCCAATGAGCAGGATCGATATGGACCGCTCTTCTCGCCGTTCCTATGGCCCACGGGATTCAAAGGCTTCCCGAAGACGTATTTCCAGATCGCGGGCATGGATGCTCTTCGAGACCAGGAATTGATCTTTGAGAGGAAGTTGAGAGTCGACGAAGGCGTGGAGACCAAGGTCGACATCTATCAGGGCGTTCCGCATGGCTTCAATAGTTTCTTACCGAAGCTGAAGGTCAGCGCGAAGTTTGTGGATGACTGGAAAGCAGGGTATGAATGGCTTTTGAAGGCGCAGGCTGTCTGATGGTAGCCAGCACGATGGCTTCCTGCTCCTCATAGCGTAGAATGGATGTAGGTTGTCGAGGTCGATGAGTTTCGCAGAAGCCACGTGATTGTGATGATAGATATTAGACAGGCTCGCTCAAAGGATTACGACTTGCAAGAGTGTGTCGATATTAATGAACAGATGAGAGCTTCCAAGCAGAGACGTTGCGCCTTCTTCGCGTTCATCCCATTGCATCTCCAGGGTCCAGCAGCCGCTTGGACGACAACGGCTCAGCGCTAAAACGCCTCGAAACCCTATTTCCGCCCCCTTTGAGTTCGTGCCGGAGGGCAATACAACACTTTGTCGTGGACACGGCGATGAGGCTAATGGTTGTCAGTGTAGGACATCATTTCGCGAGCGCGTTCCTTCAGTCGAAAATTACCATGGGATAATAAATCAGAACGATTCCTACGGATGATCAATCGGAGACTTCATCACTGTTCAAGCTCCCACAACTGCAACAGACCCCGGGATCATCAACAATCATGACACGAGCACGAACATTCCGCATTCTATGCGTGGTCGTCTCGATAGCTGTGCTATACCTCTTCACGATGAAGTACAAACAAGAGCACATCCTGACCCGGCTCAATCAGATGGATGTGGAGGTCGAGCGACGCATTCTCTGGTGGGACTGGAAAGACACTCCCGAGGAGGTCGCATGCGCGAATCCCAAGCAGACCACATCTCCCGGCGGATCTGCAAAGTTGCCGATCCCATACGTTGTACATTATGTTATGTTTGGCCCGGCCGGGCAGCCTGCTCAAATACCCTTTTTCGCGTTCCTTTCTATCAAGGCGACTATTCTTCGCCTACAGCCGCAGCAGATTATCATCCACAGCTACGATCTCGATACCAAGAATAGCTATTGGAAGCTATTAAAGCCGTATGTGACGCTCCGCATCCATGACAAAAACCAACTCAAGGGGCCTGATAATCGACCACTCGATGACTTCGCTCTCGCTCATCAAGCGGATTTCCTCCGCCTTTCAATATTGTCCAAAGAAGGCGGCATCTACTTCGATACAGACGTCTTCCCACTGCGCTCATTCTCACATCTGTTAAACTCACCACGAGATGTCTTGATGGGTCACGAAGGCGGTAATCGATATGGTCTCGGGAACGCCATCATCCTGGCTCGTCCCAGGAGCGAGTTCGTCCGGCTCTGGATCAAGACCTACGACGACAACGCCTTCAACCCCAAGAACTGGAATGAGCATTCCATCCTCATGCCCAAACGTCTCCAGGTGCGCTATCCACAATTGATCTGTCCGCTATCACCCGCAGCATTCTTCTGGCCGACCTGGGCGAAGAAGCATCTCAACTACATGTTTGAAACACTTGGTCCGCGACCTATCCCACCGGTTGGTGTCGAGGGACCTGCGGTGCAGGAACTGCGGCGTAACATGACGGCCTATGGAGGAGCTATGTATGCTAATCAGCTAGCGCTGCACATTCGAGCGAATCATATCACCGAGGAGGATATCATTCGGGAAGATACGAGGTTTAATATTCTGCTTCGGGACGTGGTGGAGACGCCTCTGCCGTGAGCAGATATTTGTAACGGTTGTTGGAAGCTTTCGGGTGACTAAAAATAAGAAGCTGCTTCTAAAGATCTTGCATCGATGCACTGGAATTGTCGCCAGCCTGAATCCGTTTTGGTATCTGGCTGTTCAGTCGATACAACTCGCACGGTGATGGTCATTGCAGTGTGTGACCTGCGGATGATCTCAACACCCCAATGCGCTGACCACACGGCGCAAAAGCCATCTACCGGCGAATCCACTTACTTTCTCGCCACTCGCCTGCAATATATCGCGATTTGCAAGTCAAAAGTACTATGAATATATCCACAAAGGAGCTTCCAACCGGTGTCATCACACGAATTCCACGTATTCCAAGGCTTGCATGTGAAGGCAAGAGACAACTTTAGCCAAAACCCTAAGTCGTGAATCATGGATTAGGGTTGTAGAAGATTCAGCACACAGCTGCCATTGGTCGCAGCGGCATTCCAACCACAAAGTTGACGTCAGTTCTTTGAGCTCGGACTCGGAAATTATTCGCAGAGGCGCTTACAGAGCCGAGTCGTTCGTCATTGGTCGTTTGATGTCGACTACACTTCATTCACTTAGTTGGAAATTTTGAACGAAGAAAGAAGGGATACATCGGCCTGGTTTGGTGCAAGAGCGCATTATCGATAGCGGGACCCGAGCGCTGTCAAGATCTCCGCCTGGCAACTCCAGGAAAAGGAGGAATCCAACCACGGAAACCAAGAACTCCGGATCCGAAGATAAGAACCATCAAGAACAGAAGAACAGAGAACCATGGCCTCCTCTTTCTTCGATCCCAACGCCGCCGATTTCGGACCCTTCAGCGTCGCCGGGGTGCTCTCATATTTCCGCGCCGCCCATCGCCTCTGGCGCGCCGAACAAGTCCAACTCGCCGCCGCCGTGGTAGGGACCGTGAGCGTCACCCTCGCCGTCTACCGCGCCATCGGATTCCTCTGGACTTTCATCCGACCATCCAATCTCCAGATCTACTGCCACGCGGAGAAGGGATCGTGGGCGCTCGTATGTATCTCTCTACGGGTTCACCCAATTCACCTCTCTTTGAAGGAGATTTCTTCGGTTGAGCAGAAAACGCTAACGACTCTCACCTTACAGGTCACCGGCGCCACCGATGGCATCGGGCGCGGTTTCGCCGAAGCGCTCCTCTCTCGCGGTTTCAATGTCCTTCTCCACGGCCGCAATCCGGAGAAACTTGCGCGAGTGAAGACCGAGCTCTCCGAAGACTTCCCGTCCCGGCAGATCGCCACCGTGGTCGCGGACGCCAACGGCCCCGCGTCGGGCGCCGACGCCCACGACGCCTACACGCACATCGCCTCGACCTGCGCGTCCCTGCCCAATGACGGCAGGCTCACGGTGCTGGTCAACAACGTCGGCGGACTGCCGTCGGCGCCCAACGGCTCGGGCTTCTACCGGCCGGGCGAGCTGCCGCACGACTTCATCGACGGGGTGATCAACATGAACGCGCGCTTCACCACGCATCTCACCCGCGCCTTGCTCCCCCTCCTCAAGGCGAACGGACCCGCGCTGGTCCTGAACTGCGGGAGCATGGTCAGCCGCAGCGCGCCGCCGTTCCTCAGCACGTATGTGGCGACGAAGGCGTACATCGAGGGCTTGACGAGAGGGTTGCAGGCGGATCTCGCGGCGGAGGCCATCCTCTTCCCCTCCAAGGAGAAATCCAGCCCGGCATCAGGAGGAGGGGGGAAGAGGATCGAGGTCCTCGGCTTCTGGATCGGGAACGTGCTCTCCGGGAACAACAAGGTGAACGTCCCCTTCTTCACGCTGACCAGTCGGCAGTGTGCCGAGGGCTGCCTGGCGAGGGTCGGGTGTGGCGTCCCCATGACGTTCCCGAGTTGGAGGGTCTGGGCGATGTTGAGCCTGACGGAGATGATGCCGACGAGGACGAGGGAGAAATTGGTGGCTACGCAGATGGGGGAGCGGATGAAGGGGGATAAGAAGGCAGAATGAGCATTTGTTATTGTGGTGATGGTGGTGGGCAACGGGGTTTCGAACGATATCTTTGTAATGTAATCATGTAGGGAGGGGTGGAAATGAGTTGAAAATAAACTTCGCTTTTTTGTTCTTGTTTCGTGTCGTCTCGCGTTCACGGCTATGCCGATTTAGCACGAGAAAACCCCTCGGCTGGATACTGGTGAAAAATCTCAATACTGTGTCCTCCCATAGATTCATCGACTTGTCTACACAGACAACTACTCCGATGATCTTGAATTCCTTTCCCAAAAACGCCTCTTCGCCGTAATCCATGCTGTTATGCAAACGGACAATCTCTCATGCGAATGCGCCGAGTCCGAACTAGTCACAGGAGCGCCAGAGGACATCCAGATGCTGCTTTATATGTGCACATGTGCCGCACTCCAGATCCTGTCCTTTTCTCATCGCGAGCCAATCCCTGCTAGTCGTTCAGCTATTCTGCTCCGAGTCTATTCGCCTCTGATATTACCAGGCCGTGCCTTCTTCGGGTCACCTTTGACTTCTTTCCGGAGAGGTCCGTTGACAAGTCGGTAGAGCCAGACGAGGAGACCCGTTGCCAGAGTCATGAGGAGGGCGGAGGAGACGAATAGCCTGTTGTTCCAAGAATAGAAATTGATGGTCAGCCTTCTAACTCCTCGAAGCTTCTTCAATTTTTCGACTCTCGGATCAAGTTCTGCACGCGCAGATATTGAACGCACGTTCTCGTGCTGATCTTCGCGCTTGTGAAAAGAAAGACAGAACTCACCCTATCCTTTGCGTAGTGCTCAACATCTCGAAGATGGGGTATGGGTAGAATTGGTTGTAGTGGTAGCACCGCTCGATCCAAAACCAGTATCCAAAAGCGATGATGCTGCTGAGAGAAAGTGCGGGGAGGAAAGCGATCGTGTAAGGTGGAGAAAAGAGAAGGAGGTCGATGACCAAGGAGATGGCGGGAACAGCGTGAAATGACAGGTCGGCGTGAAAGTCCATTGGCGGCGCCCATTCGGAAACGACGAGTTTGGGATCAATCTGTCGGGATATATCAATGTCAGCGATCGTGTCCCTTCACTGATACTGTGCTGTGCCTGATTAAACGAGAGGATTGGTTCCGGTCCGAACAGAGCTTCTTCCTGAATTCGCTCGTCCTAGAGCCTTTCCTGCCACTGTTCCTCATCTCTGTACTCTCTGGAATATTCGCTTCTCGTACAATCCTTTCTCTCTTCCTCCGTACCACCTCTATACTTCCCTTCGCCTTTGCCTGCTCTTACGGCGGAATTCCCGTTGTACACGACGCGTAACGACTTACCGCTCGAAGACTCCAGTAAAGCAATGTGATCAGACATTCCATAGGCGCCGAAGCTACACTGAGGGTATTTTTGGTGCGGAAAAGAATGGGCGAAAGAGTGATATCGGCGAGGAGGCCGACAGCGAAGGTGACGGCGCTGAGCGAGAGACCGATGATGGTGAGGTATTGCAGGTGCCAGCCGTAGGACGCATTGCTGTGAGAGATCGCACGTCAGATGATGTTCGCTTTCCGCTCGCAAGCCCGGACGGGACCAATGCCGCTGCTCTCGCTTTTGACTTTGTACGTACATTTGATTGTCGGTCGAGAGAAGGAGCGAGTAGGAGTAGGCGAACGAGGAGAGTCCGAGAATGTGCAGCAAGGCCGAAGATCCTCGCGAGGGCGATTCGAGGCGTTGGAGAGGATGCTGCTTGAGCAGACGCCGGGCGACCTTTTGTTGGACCATGGCGGCGTGCTTGGGATTGTTGCCGATGGTCTGTTCTTGGATGAAGCGAAGCATGAGGGATGGTTGAGCGAGGGAGGGTCTATGGGAAAAGGGTTTTGCGTATCTGCTGTGCAGTGGGTATGCACGGTATGGGAGAAGATGGAGTAGGAGAGTTCACGCCGTCGAGGATAGTTCGTGCCTGGGTCTGTCTTGGTGGTGATGGTGCGTGTGTCGTGTGATGATGCCGGCGGGAGGGAACGTAGGAGACGTGAGCGAGGAGACGTGAGCGAGGAGGAGGAGGAGAGCGGATCGAGATGTTATAGCAGCGCAGAGAGCGAGTTGTGTGTGTGTGTGAGTGGAGAAGGCACAGGAAGTAGTATGTATGTATGTATGTATGTATGTATGTATGTATGTATGTGTGTGTGTATGTATGTATTTATGTGTATGTATGTATTTATGTGTATGTATGTATTTATGTGTATACCGGGATATCCTTGGAATGTGTCTCTCTATCGTCGATTGTCGCCGTGTTTCTCGTGACGATACATACAGTACTCTCCGATCACTGTGACGTGAACCCAAAGGCGGGACCGAATCCTCCGCATCGAGATGGTCACTCACCAAAAAAAAACCACCCACCTAGTTAGGTATGGATGGAAGGAGGACGACGTCGACGACGACCGGGGGGAAATTTCCTGGCTTCCCTGCAGTTGACTTGGCCTGGCTGACTGCGGAACCCGCTGTCACGTCGCGGCTGCGTCATCGGCACGTACATGTGAAAGAATTCCCTTCGCAAATTCACTACTCTGTATTATTGTTAGTATTCATTGGTGTAAATTGACCTAAAAGCGGGCGCTGGCTGAATCCATCGCGGCGGCCCGTTTCTTCAACTGACCACGTGCAAGCTCTGGGTTTTAGTTTCAGTCTTGTCGGCTTGTGACAATCGACGGCCTGAGGCACAAACGGAAACAGGAACACCTCCCAGGTACTGTACTCTCGAGGTTTGGATCAAATCCGACGGGACATTTCGACAGCTTAATGGCGACGATGTCATGTCTGACCTTGCCCTAGAGCGCGGGTACTCTAGTGTACAGCCTATCAGACATCAGTAAATGGAGTACAGTACCCGATAAATCATCACAATTCGCCGTCCGATTTGACCGATGCCTGTATCAGCGATCGAACACTCCGGCTTTCTCTTCATTCGGAACAAAATGGTCGAGAACATAGCACATGAGATGTGAGAAACCTCGAGGTCTTGCCAGACAGAGGCACACAAGTCGGATCTAGAAGTCAATGACATAAAAGTCCCTCGAGGACCGAGCCATCAGGCATTTGACTCAAGTATGACTCAGGCTCTGATGAACGCGTTCGACCGATCCTGGCATGACCTTGTACATGAGCGCCTCCGCTGTGGTATCAACAAGACAAGTATGAATGATTCTCCCGATCAAGTCAGTGCTATCTACGTCCTGGGATGGTATGACGTCTGAACCCCTTGAGATCCCTATTCGAACGCTTCCCCGGCAAGCATCACGTGTGAGAACTACCCGCTTCACGCCCAGTATTCACTCTCATCACGTGAAATATCCACCCTGCTTTGCAAATTTTCTCGAGATCTTCTCGAAGGGTAGAGCTCCAGCTCTGTGTCGCCTGTTCCATGATCGGAGTCTTCGTCGACCGCTTGCAAGCTTGTATCGTCCATGTCAACTTCGGAAAGGAGGGAATCCAGCTCTGAATCCCTCGATCCACGTTCGTAGCCTTCCCAGACTGCCCGGGAGCTTGCATCGTCTGTGTCAGGTTCGAACGATCCGAGGCTCAAGCCTACATCGTCGACCTCGCGCTCAGCTGCTTCTCGGAAGGAGTCCGCATCGCTCATGTCGCGATCGGATGCAGCATATTCCGACTCGGCTTCGCTCATTTCCTGTGAAGACTCTCCCGATGAAGAACCTGAATCGCTTGAATCTTCCGGATAGGGCTCTTGGGAAGGAGCCGCATCAACAGCTCTAAGCGAAACATAATGTCCACAAAGAGGAAGATCCGTTCTCTCGTCGTGGGCAGCGGCACCGCATTCGAATATGGCATATGCAAGGTCCTGCGGTAGATTGGCCCATCCCGGGTAACCATACTTCCTTTGCGGAGAATGCGCGGCTTCCTTGCCCGCCACTCTCCCGTCCCTATTGAGGCTGATTGCAGGCAAGTCTTTGACGCGCGGTCGAGTCATCGCCTTCGGGTCAAGTTCCGCGTCTTCCAAGTACTTAGCCTTTTCTCCGTTTGCCGTATCCTTGCGCTCAGCAGTCTTGAATGGCCGAGCTCTCGATTTCGAGGGGAGGTCTATATCCTCCAAGTACTTCGCGGCTCCACCATTCGCCCTTCTCTCGGTTGCAGCAGCGTCAAATAGCATCGCAATGAGTTCATCCACCTTTGCAAGATCCACGCCTTCTCCTTTCTGGGCCGGGATCATGTCCCATAATTCGCTCCACCTGCTTGATTTGACTTCTTTCACGCGACCACGCATTGCCGCTTCGATTGCACTGCCTTTGTGCGTGCGGAAGTCCACATGCGCACCGCGATCGATGAGAATCCTGCTAATCTCAATGCTGGCAACTCCGACCGCTGCTGCCAAAGGCCAGAGTGCGCTTATGTCTCGCGTTCCCCCCCAGTGATCCAACATCAACGTGGTGGGGCTTGCACCAAGATCCAGTAGTCTCGTGACTAGGTCAGACTTGTTTTGGAAAATTGCAGTCATGATGGGTGGTAAAAGGGGCCGCGCAGCATACGCAAGCTGGTCGCCTACAGCAAGTGTTGGCTTCGCGCCATGCTGGAGTAGTAATTGCACGGTGGGGTCATCATCCTGTCTGATCGCTGTATTAAGTGCTGAGCCGTCGCGGCCGCCGATAGCGTCCAAATCGGCCTTGCCGTGTACCAAAAGTTCGATGACTTCGGAGTGGCCTTGCAAGCATGCCTCTATCAGCGGAGTTGTGGACGACCAGATGCGCAAGTCCGGATCCGCTCCAGCTTCTAGCAAGATTGCAACAAGAGCGGTATCACCTTGCGATGCCGCTGCCCACAACGCCGTGTTGTATTTTGGTGGGCCGGCATTTACATCGGCATGATGTTCGAGAAGGAGCAAGATGCCTTCAATGTTACGCTTCTCCGCAAATTCCACTAGTAGCGGCGGCGCTCCCATCCTGGTCAGGTATTCGAAATCGGCACCATTTTCAATGAGCCTCCGCATGATGGGGAGGGAACACGTGTATGCAACCTCGAGAGCTGTGCAGTTATCACCGACTCCCGAATTCATGTCTACGCTCGCTTTCGAATCCATATCTGCGCCCGCTTGTATCAAGAGTTCCACACATGCCTCACTACCACCGGAGGATGTGTGCGTCCAGAACGGATTGGGCGCACCGCAGGCATAGTTGAGCAAGGGCAGGTAGTGACCCCAGTACCCATTCACATCAACACCCTCGTCCAGGAAGGCTTTCAAGGTGGCCGTGAGCCCTCGAGAAGCTGCGTAAGCTGCACCTAACCAGCCTCGAGGCCGGAAGTCGAGACTCATCCGTGTCACCAGAGAGTCTGCCTCGTAAGCTTGTGTGGTTTTGTAGTCGCGGCATGTTCTGTCCCAGTATCTAGAAAGTGAGGATGCAATGTTAAGGTTTTCGAACAAGTGTACGAACCCTCCAGCTCTGAGCAAGGGCATCGCCTGTTGCACAATTGTCTCGTCATCTGTTGACAGGTATGTGGCTAGCGCAAACGCCATGTATCGGAATAGAGGGTACCGGCCATAAAACAAAGCTTGTCTTCCTAGGGTTGGTCGAAAAGGCGAATCCAGTGATTCCGGCATCACATCTTGCATCGCTTGTACACAGCATTCAAGATATGCGATGGTATATCTCAATAAGACGGTACGACCGTCGTCGGGCTGGAGGGCAAATTGTGACAACTTGCTTTCTTTGATGCGGTTGCAGACGAGATACTCCTGAACCGAAAAATGTGACAAACGAACCCGCAAACCATCGTGAAACCAATACCGTCCATCGGGATCATCGTGGGAGTAAAGTCGGGTGACTGGGTAGCCTTCGATCAAGATGAGACTTCCAAGAATTTCCAGCAATTCTTGGCACGGTACACGATTCTCTACCTGGACCAGCTCGTCGTCGTCGAGATCGATGAGGCATGCTTCGTTGAGTTGTGCCATTGTCAAAGGAGTGACGGCAAATGAGAGCCATCTCAAGGCCTTCGAAGCTTCGACTCTGAACATCGGGTCGATTTGAGCCAACATTCGCTCGTACGTCTCATCTAAAGTGAGGGGAAGGCCCTTAAGAGTCTGCTCAATATATGCTGGTCTCTTAGATTTAAGCCTCTTCAAGCTCTCAAGTTGACAATAGGCCCATCGAAACCTGCAATCTGTCAGCGATAAACAGTACGGGAAATCGCGACAAATTGACGTACATTCCATCGGCCTTTGAGCTCAATTCTTGTTCGATGCGCTCCTTCAAGTGATCGCTCAGCCCTTCAAACCGCCGATCCAGCCGCAGCTCCTCGACTATGTATTTTTTGATGTCAGCATCGCAACCAGATCCACCGATGTTGATGTGCAAAGCGCGTGAAGCGATCATCGCCGATTGAATATCGCCAGAAACCCGACTGACGGCGAAGATTTTGATTTTCTTCCGAGCATTCGCAGCTTGCTCGATCCAATCTAGGATTTCTTGTCTTTTGTTGTCTTGCTCGGGTATCTCGTCCAGGGCGTCGACTACCACAAACAATCTCACATGCCGAAGGGCAAGATCGATGAGCTCTTGAGCCTGTCTCGTTGAAGCCTTTCCGATGCTACCTTGTTGAGACGCATACATCGACCTTGCTCTAGTGGATACTGGTGCAAGATGGCAGACTTGAGCTGCGATAGATGCGAGGAACGATTGCAGACCATGGTACTCCGGATTGTTAAATGAGAAATAGTAGTATGCCAGCCGTATCTCATCGCCTTGCCCCACGCATAATGTTGACGTCAATTCGTCAATTACGGTCGAACAGAGGATCGTTTTTCCACAGCCGGCTTTACCGCTGAGCCAAAGAACAGTTTCTTCTGATGATTTCCAAAGTTTGTACTCGCTCAGATCCAATAGCCATTGGCCGGTACCATGTACGTGTTTCGATGTAGCAGCATCATGGCTGCTGGACATATTAGCCCTTGAAAGCCACAGAATGATGTCGCGAAATTGTATATGCCCCATCTGTTCCGAATTGCTGTTCACTTGGTGCGTCAGAGCGTCCCATCTGCGCCTATTCTCTGCGGCATGTGCATCCGCACGCAGAATCATGCGTTTTTGATAGTCCCGGTGGCTAGTAGCAATCGTATCGAGTTTGTGATCGGCGGCATTGCCCTGGGCTTCAATGGATCCCAATTTCTTGGAGATGCCTTGACCTTGAATGAAGAGGTCGTCCAACTTATGCGAGGTTATCACGGCGACGTCGAGCTGAAGTACGTGGATAGCCATGGACAGATTTCCTCGAAGCTCTTCCATAAGCTCCTTGAGCTTTGCCAAAGTGCTCGCACGAAAAGGATAAAATAACCGCTGCAAATCTGCCCATGCCTTCTGCTTGGCACCAGAAGGTTCATCGTGAGTACGAAGCTTCTTCAACTTTCCATGGACTTTGTGCAATGTAGCCTCGCACGCCAGGATCCCCGATTGGACGTGAGCTCGATTTTTGGAGGATAGGCTTGTGTCTTCCAGCAAAGATTTCAGCGATGCGAAGACATCGTTCATTGAAGCAATGTTACGGTAAGTGCTGCTAATATCGGCATGGTAGTCCTTGAAGCCATCATAATACGCCAGAAGTCCTTGACAGACCTGTATGCCGAGCGAGGCAAGGCCCGCCACGGATGCTGCAAACTCTACACCAGACATTGTACGCCGGGCAAGATGTCGTATTGTTCATGCATCGAGAACCATACTTTGTGAGAGGCAAAGCTGCATAAGGGAACTGTACCAAATCGAAATCCCGGAGACGTGATCATGCTACATCATAAACGGCAGTTCGAGGTGGCGCAGCATCTGCACATTGATCACAAGAGGTGGCGCAAGCTGTAGGCGCTGATTGGGCATGACCATCACAGCCATGCGCGGCCAAACTCAAATCTTCACATGCAGAGTCGTTCATCCATGATGGTCATCTCTCCGTGATATACTTGCCGCGAACAGAGCTCACACGCTGGCGACGAATGCGAGGATGCATTGCAGGAGGACTGAATAGCACAACTTGGAGTCCAACATATTCGGTGCCGCACATTGTTTTCTATGGCGACTTGTTGTAAGCCGCACTATTTTCGGAGACAGTGTTTAGTAGGCCTTTCAACTCAAGAGGGTAGAAGAAGTAGAAGAGTTGGACGAAGAATGAAATGAAGATAATGATGATGCGGCAAGGGATTTAGCTCCGTCGGCGAGAACAGCCGGCACCACGGCGGAGCCCTGGCCGCCCTGGCGTTACACCAAAAGGTGCGGAAGGACCGCCTTCGAGTTCAGAGAGAAATACTGAAAATAACATCCACATCCACAGACGGACCATGGGTCCTTGAAATCTACTGGATTTTAAACTCGAGGTGTGCTGGACTTGACGCACAGTGCATGACCGCAGGTGAAAGTCCACACTCGTAAAATTGTTGATGGCGGGAAGCGAACATAATAAAGATTATGCTAAGTCTACCGAATCAACGTGCGAAGTGATCTCCGCGGCCCGGGTAAGCATCATGGGTCTTGTCTTTATGCGGTCATGAAGAGGATGCAGGTATGCGCTCAGCATGGCATCCTATAAGCATCATTGACATTGAGTCATTCCCGTAAATGCGACTAATTCATCACTAAAATGTCGTCTGTCTCTCAGAAGAGGATTTCCTGATTCTCCGTGTAATAAAACATCCAAAATTTCGAAATGGAATTAGACAATTCCGGCAACGGAGAGCTTCGACTTTCCGATTTCGGCGTCGTGCCGGTAGACCACGGCATCGAGCCTCAAAATCCCTTCACACACGACGTCGACGAATACTGATAAACGCCCGCGATCGCACCGCGCGAGTTGGCGATGACGGAAGCCATGGGTATCATCCCGAGTGGCACGAACGAATATTCAACGATGAAGTCGCCGCTTCGTGGCAAGCAGAACTCAATAAGCTCATGGGGAAGAAGCCATGGGCTCAGTGACTTCAGGAACTTCGTGACAAAGCTACGAGTCGTCGATGCGGGTAGCTGTGCTTACAGGTCAGATGAACGTGTGCCTGAATCTGTCGTAAATGGGGTATTTAGGGACTTGAGTTCGCTTTGTGCTCAATGGCCATTTTTCAGGGAGATAAGCCACGTCGTAGAGTCCCACATGTACCCACTTGTACGCGGAGAAAGCTACGTCCGGGAACATGGAGGCGGAGTCGATCTCGAATATTTTACTCCGGATAATGTAGTCGAGTATCAGCAGCGAAGCGCTCATACAAGTGGAATAGAAAACATCGCGTTTCAAAGCCAATCTCATAGGCCCCGTCTCGCCTTCACTCATAAAATGTTGCTTCACAGCAGGGAGGGCAAGAGGAAAACATGCCATTGTATCCATACCAGCGTCTCCCTTTTGACATCGAATTTGCAGAAGATGGCACGAACATACGAGGAATGTCAAATATCAACAGTCTGCATCCAGCGTACATACCCACCTACAGAAACATTGAGAAGCTCATATCGGCCAGTATACTTCCTTGGAACGAGTGTCTGGTGAGAAGCCTCGCCAAACCCGTACAGGAAGTCATTATAACGCCAAATGGAATCTGTATAGTGGTCAAACTCAACGAGGCCGCATTCCATTGATGGTCGTGACGTTGAGAGCCTCGTGGAAGATTGAAGATCCATGGAGTCGTACTTGGAAAGTCAGACATCTATCAGAACACCTAGGAACCTATGCTTTCGCGAAGGAGGTCGCAAAGACCAAGCCGCGCAGCAAAATCAACGTAAATCACCGAGAAATCCCGCTCAAGAAAGTGCTGAGAGATTATGCATGGCCTGGCTACATACCTCACATGTCTCGACGTGCCCCTGCTCGAGATCAAGGGCACCGAAAAGAGTGAAGGCATCCACAACCTGGAGATCCTTTGACTTCCGACGATTGGAAGGCTAGCTTTGATCTGACCGATAAGCCTCGCGGCCCAATAGAGCCATCATCACGAGCTTCATAATTCAAGGCCCGAATCACACACGATATGGAATTCGGCTTGAGAATTCTTTTCGTGAGAAAGGACTTCAAGTCATCGTTGACATTGGCGGCGTTCACTTGCAAGCTGACGGGCTTCCTTGGAGAAGTAATTGGGACATGGGAGATGTCTTCGCTGAACATATCGTTGCAATGTCAATGTATGCGTATGACGTCGAAAACACCACAGGCAAGATATGTTTGCGTCAAGAGACTCCCATACCAAAGTACATTTATCGGAATGAGTCGGCTTGCAGGCCGACCATATGTCAGCAGGACGACCTCTCCGAACTCCGATTCCGTAACAATGATCATTGCATGGAGCTCGACGCGTTGGCTGAAACGTTTGAAGTCCACAGCGCTGTAGACATCGATTCATGCCTCCACTAGACAGTACTGAGGATGAAGGGGAATGGTCAAGTACGGCTTCCCGATGGCCGGCTCATAACATTTCCCAACTCAAGGGAGAGCTCCCTTGGTCTGAAATTGAAAAACAAAGATTGCACTGGTCATCATCGATGTATTAAACTCCTGCTAGTTGATCCCCACTACCGGATCTGCTTGACAGCAAATGTGCCGCCACAGCAGAGTGGATCGATCGCAGTCCCGGGGTTCTGCAGCGTCGAGGCATCCCACAGGATGTATTGTCGATCAGATCATGGAGTCTGTTCCCAAATCGATGAGCGAGGAAGAAGCGAAGCAGCACGAAGAGGTTATGGTCCGAAAGCATGAGGCGCGGAGAGCTGACGAGTACGTGCGCATCGGTCGGTATTTCTTTGGGTGAAAAGGCTTGAAAGACAAATTCTGCGGATTGAATGAACCCAACCATTTCCGGCTGCCAATGCCCTTGAGAATGCATCAATTGATGCTAAGTGAAAGGGTGGCCGACACTGTAAATTCTGTAAGCACTCTGATCAGGGAGTGGTGTAGTTGGAATTTGGCCCGTTGTGCGCCCAAATGAACACTCATTTCTGGCCCAATTTCCTCCGTTCCAGGGCCGCACATTTCAGCCTCCGCGCTAAACCCCACCCGATCAACGGCTCCCGGGCATGGAAATTCGAGTGCAATTTGGAAAATGAAAACCTTAAGCAGCCCTGGAGCGCTTTGATTCCCTCGTATCCTGTCACGCCTGTACGGAGAAGATGGTTTTTACCACAAGAACAACCGTTTTCATGAAGTCCAGATCATGGCCTAATTTCGATTGAGTTTCCAGGTCGTTTGAGTTTAATGTTGATTTTCCTGTCCGTTTGAGAACCGATGACGACGTAGAGATTTGATCTTGATCTGCGCAGGGTCATGACTGCGGGATCGGATGTGATTCCTTGTTGATACAGGCAGCTGCTCAGCGGCGTGGCCGCCGGTGTGGTGTACCACATCACACTGCACATAGTAAGACCATCACTCGAAGTACGACAAGGTTGTTCGGTAAATTTCAATTCTTTTTGTAGCAAAGACACCAAGCGGTTTGAATCGCCCGGCACGAAGACGGAAGGCAGACGAAACGCGACCCTGTATGTAGCAACAAAGGAAACAGAGTCGGAACAGATCATGCAGAATTCCTTCCATTCAATCGAATGTCTTGCACATGTGGGTATTGCATATTCAAAGGTTGTTTCGCATAGAGTCGCACACAAAAACGAAGATCCGCCTGACGAACGGACGCCTCTTGGCATCAGGTCCTTTCACGGATGCGCATCGTGTATGCAGTCGGCGAGTTGTCTACCAAGTCGCTCCTTGGATATCCATTGGAGAGAGCGCTTAGTTCTTCTTTTGGCAGTGACTGTGTAGGGCAATGAAGGTCAGAAGAAATTCGAAAAAAAAATACACATTGGGAGCATGTGGTGACTTACCCAAGGATGGTGTCACCCTTGCCACGGACGCACTGTCCGCCACCGGCGAGAAGGCAGTCACCAGCGTCGAAGCAGATGGAGCCGGTGGTGGCCTGAGGGGCGGCGGAGACGGTGGTGGCAGAGCCAGCCTTGCCGCTGCAGGAGCTGTGGGAGAATAGATCATGTTAGTTCGGAGTTCTTCGTCGAACAAGCCCCAACACGATTCCGTATTGCGGATCTTGGTTGGGTTTCCGTCGACTTGACTCACCCGAGGAGACCCTTCTTGACACACTTGCCACCAGCAAGGATGCAGTCAAAGTCGTCGAAGCAGACGGAGCCCTGAGCGGCAACAAGGCCAACGAAGGCGATGAGGAGAGTCTGGATCTGCATGATGACGGTAGTGTGGTGTGGTTGTGGTTTTGGTGGTGAAGTGAATGTGCGTGGACGAAGTAAAACAATAAAAAGTGATACGTCAAGGCCGACTATATAGAAATCTCAAGATCAATTTGCCACGAGCAAGGTCAGCAAGACGCCGAGCGCGACCGTTGGGAACGAGAGTAGATGACCGAGGCACTAGATGCAGACCAGTCATCATGATTCAAGGCTGGTGATGACCATTGGGCTTTCCAGGTGTTACGTTTGAAATGCGCCAGACTAGGATGGTCATCAATGGCACGCGTTCCTGAAAGAGTATACCTTTGCGCCGCTCGGGCTTTGAACTAGTTCATGAACTCGAACGACTGTCGGTCATCCTGGGGCGCGGTGTGGGTCAAGGTGGCTTGGCTGCACGCCGCTTTCGCATCGGTAGCTTCTAACCAAGCCCGTGCCAGCGATCATATCGTTCGTCTGGACTTGGACGAAGGGCCTACCGTAAGGAAGGCGCTGTGGAGTCTCACCGTGGAGTTTGCTAGTCCCGAGGTGAACACTGCAAACAGAGGAGGCAGAGGACAATTCGACGGGTTCCTCGATCGTCTGTTTTGATCGCTAGCGTGACACTAAGACCCCACTCCCTTTCGGATAAGACACAGACCAAACCCATAGTGCATGAAAGGAGGCGATCTTCTCCGCTTTCTTCTTCGCTTCATTCGCTACATCGCTACTTGTCGACGTCAGTGTTCGTCACTTCGGGCATTCCTGTACACCCACACGGGTCTTACGTTGCTGGGCATGTTCTGGCTACGCAATCGCGTTATGCACGTTCTTCTCAGTAATCGCAGAGCTGAATTTGTTGGATCTCCGCTGCTAGGGTGATTCAGATGGGTTCAATGAAATAATTATGTTGGATCAATGGGAAATTTTGATCATGATAAGCAGGACCTTGCGGCATTCGCTGCAGCGGAAACCGGGATCGTGGGGCTTCCGAACGGCACAAAGAAAACTCAATCAGAAATTGTGCGGGGAATGCAGGAGAGTGCCTCTTCAACCCAGGACGCCGCGGCAGAGTTGTAAATAAAACAAGAAGCACTGCATGTCCTCCTTATCAGTGTGCATCCGCATGTACAGTACACATCCAGTGTATTGCCATGCGTTGTGCTTGAAGCGAGCATCTTATCAGCATCGTCGCTCGATACATCTCAAGCGATGCTTCACTCCATCTATATCGTCGAAGCACAGACTCGCCAATGTCTGAAAAGCTGCAGCCCGTCGCGGGTTGATCATTCGAGATAAGCGGCCCCGGAAACAGAACCACCGAGCACAGGATGGGGCCGTATCCAAACCTGCACTTGTCTATGTAGCATTCGTGATTACCCGAGGCGGAACGAGTTCGTGAATGTGCGACTGTAAGGTTCCTCGTTCAGCCGACACGTGATGCTTTTTAGTTCTTCTAAATGGTGCGGAGGGGGCAGAAACGGCTGCAGGAACTTCGTGGAGACCGGTTCGCCCGCTGATGGGCTGCTGCAGGTACCAAACAAACGATGTGTCAAACTTTTGCGCTGTTCCATCCCGACGCCTGGCACACTCAAGCTCACCAAGAGGCGGGGCAAGCCACTGCCCAGAACGATCGACGTGAGTGGCTTCGGATATTGTTGACTACTGTGTTCTCCTCGTTTTCAAGGGCTGCGTGAGCGCTTGAAGTGACCGTAGCATCGGTGAATACATTCCGGACAAATCCAACACCATGACGCTTTCCAGTCTTCATAGTTTTAGGTTGACAGCGCAATAGAAATGGTTGCGTCGCATCAAAACCGATAAGTCGCAGGCTTCTCCTGCAGTGGTGTGAATACCGCACTGCGTGATATACTGTTGTGTCGATTTCTGGTACCTGGATTCCGTACCGCAACATCCTCATAATCATACACGTGTTTCTGCACTTCACTGTTCGAGACCTTCCCCGGCTTTCTTGACTTTCGTCATCGTTTATCCCGAGAACGAGCACGGCTCCATCTTAAGTGCATGACGATCTATCGAAAAGCCACGATAGTGCCAAGGGATCGTCTCGTTGCGCTTCCTCTCTGTCTTGAAAGAACAGATGTGTGCTTTTGCCGTTCGCAACCTTCTCGAGCGTATTATCAACGGCGGTTCACGGGCCTGACCTAGTCACTGTTGCGCTCCGTTGCTGAAGTTTGGGATTGTTCACGCCGCATCTGCGGAACAATCTATCTCCAAGTCTTCAAAGATGCGCCGTGGGCGATGACATTTCTGGTTCAATTGCGACACGTGAGGTTTTTGCCTCGGAAATGGGTATTTACTGCCTGAGGCTTAGACATCCTTGGCGCTCTCGTCCGAAGATCACGCAAAGTCATGAGTGCGCATTGTGCGAAGAACAATTTAACATGACAGCTGTTGTCAGAGAGCTCTTGGGTATCGATGAATGGGGGATGATACTACGGTGGCATACATGGATTCACAACTATATGAGCTGTGTTGGCACTCGCGCAAATCAGGTTCGATTTGAAACAATCCGAAGAAGTGAAGAATGATACACCATGACTCATTTGCCTGCTCATATCGTCTACTTCTTCCTAGGTATGTTCTTGTCAGACCCAAACAGCAGACAATAATTCTAAGATCTGCTTGCTGCTAACCATGCAGTCACTCGACATCTGTCCGCTTCCGACCAAGTAGCCCCGAGCCATTTGGCAATTCCGTTCCAAGCCTGCTATTTGGCCAGGCTCGAGCGGATCCTCTCAGCCATCAATGTCATCTTCGTCATATCCCTTCATAACCATTTTCTTCATCAAACGATAATCCGTGATATGAGCACATCATCACATCTTCATTCCACGAGTCGGTTGCCTCTTCGAGATAATCTTCCGTCCACGGTCCGTCCGCATTTTGCGTTTCATAGGCTTTGGTCTTGGCCTGCTCAATTAGACGTATAATGGTGTACTTGAGCTGCACGCGCCAGAGTTTTTGCCCGGGTGGACTGAGCTTCTGCTCGTATGCTGAGAACAGACGTGGAAGAAAGCTGACAGCCGATAAATCGTATAGAGACGACGCAAGCTTGATTGGGCCCCGAATAGAGGCCTCTCCAGATTTGTACTGGGCCTGCGAGGCCACGACATTTGCGAGACGAGATGCTTCGGCCCAGTCTTTTACATCCAAGTTGATACTTTCTTTCTTGACGCAGTTGCTCAGCGTCGCTAATCGCTGTTTGCCGTGGGCTCTTGACGCAAGTTCCATCAACTGGACATCCTTGATGCCTGCCAAGGAGAGCTGGAACGACTCGTATAGGGCACTGGCAACCTTGCGAACATCGAAGACGACCTTGGCGATGTCTGCGTCTGCGAATATTGTCTTGAGTGACACGCCGGCAGTGTTCGAAGTGAAGAAAGCTCCAGAACCCAAGGTGTTCACGTCTAAGACGAAGGCCGCATGGTGGGACTTCATGTAGATTGTGCAGACGCTGATCCGGTCGGTCGCGCGTTCACTGCTGGACACCTCGAAGAAAATGTCTGCCGACTTTGATCCTTGACCATCTAGCTTGTCAAGCATACTCTTGACGGTAGCTGGGGTGTCCACCACCGCGATCACGAGTGCCATGATCGTTCTTCTTGCCAGGCTGGAGGTTCTCAACGCAACACGATACTGCGAATAAAATACAAGTTTGAAGAGATGTTTGCATGATATGTCCAAACTATGTAAACTGCGGATCGTTGTCCCTTTCACCGGTCCCACTTACGACGATGTGAGTGATAGCAAGCAGGAGGGGAAGATGTATTCCCGAAATAGGAAGGTATCTGAATCAAACACCGGCAGCATAATACTTTGATAAAGGATACAAGTCGTCATTCACAGATTGTTTCGGGAATTCACAAGCTGCCTCTTCAGGCCTGACGGAATATGCGTTTCCTGTTCGACCTTCTATTGAATATATATTCGAACTAGACGTGAGATGCCTCGATGGGGATCCCGACACTGAGGAATTTGGCAAGCTGTTTACACTCCCACCTAGATTATGCCGATAATTCTCAAACGCTTGAATTCAAAGGCAATACATTTTCTATTTGTCACCTCATTATCCTGGAGCTCGCGACAGTCATATATCTAGTGGTCCAAGTTGGGATTGCCATACTATACAGTTGGACCGGCGTGGGAGTTTGATTGTGCATCGTCATCTTTGCAGAGCCTCCAGCAGCTGTTGCACGCTACGCTTCTGCTCGCGGGTGAGCGGAAAGGTGTATATCAGATGATAAAATTCTGATTGTTATAAACATGACGGACATGCATTCTTGCCCGTCGATGAATGGTCGTTGTCAAGGTTGATTTCGACTGGTCAACAGTCTCATCGCTTTTCAGATGTCGGTCGAGTGGGACTTCTTCAGCTATCGGAGTGCCCGTCCGATTTGATTGATCCTTGGACCACAGGAAAGGAAAGGTGAGACGGTAAAATGGTAACCCTAATTCCCACGAGATCATGATATGGTAGTGCCTCAGGTGTCTGACTTCCCCACACGATCGTCGTCGCTTGCCTGCGGCTCTGCGGCTCTGGGACGGTGCCGAGGTGGAGAATAACGCGACTCGCATATGGAGCACTGTAGTGACCCTTTGATATCGCTCATGAATCTTGAGACACATCGACAACTTTGCATCATTACCAACATCTCGACCGCAACCTGCACTCTAGCGTTTGCATCAACGATCGCTCGGTATTGAACTGTTCCTGACTCGAACATTCGTCGAATCTCGATCTCCAAACAACATCATGTCCGGGGGTCGACCGAAGCCCGAGATCCCTGCATGGCAGCGAGCACCCGTCACACCAGCTACCGAAGATCCTGTTTCAGCGCAGCCTACAAAAAGTGAAGCTGCTCCGGAAAGCAAAGGAGAGAACGGAGGCAATCCGGCATGGCAGCAAAAGCCCACCACGCCTGCGACAGAAGACCCGGTCTATGCACAGCCAGCCGAAAGCGCCAAGTCAGAGCAGGATAGCAAAAGCGAGGGATCAACTACATGGCAGCAGAAACCGGACACGCCAGCAACTGAGGATCCAGTGTACGCGCAGCCGGCGACCGAGGCGTCCGTCGAGTCGAGAGATACCACTATCGCTGCCAGCAATACACACAAAGCTGGCGCATCACAATCTTTCAATGCAACAGACGTCCATAACTTCAGAGCTTCAGATGTTTCAAAGCAACAGCAAGCACCGCCTCTTCCAATTACCGCTGCACCGCCTCTTCCAATTACCGCTGCACCGCCTCCAATTATCACCTACCCAGAGTTCCTTGTGAATGCACACCAGCCTCCGCCACTAATTACACCAACACGTGTTGTCAACACACTTTACGCTGCAGGGAGCCTGGCTGCGCTCCTCTACGGTGGAGCCAAGTTTCTAGTCGAACCGATGGTAGCGAGTCTGTCAGAATCCCGCCATGATCTTTACACGCACAGCCAGAGCAAGGTCGACGATTTCAATGCCCGACTTTCAAAACTTGTCAGTAAGGTCCCTGATATCTCAAAAGAGCAGGAAGGTGGGCGTGCGACAGACACGGACGATCTCGACAGTGTCACCAGCGATCCGACAGAGCTTTACCACCGCGACATGGGTACCCAAACCGATGTTGTTCCTCCGAGCGCTTCACGCAAGACTACATCATCCCCGTCGGACGACTCTGCAGATTCTCTCGTTGCTCTCGCTAAACTCAGCGCCCTGAGTAACCACCTCAATTCTCTCCTCGAATCGACATCAAAAAATGCCGAGAGCGCACAAGAGCGCATCACCTCCGTCCAGAACCTGCGCACTTACCTCGATACGCTCTGCTATGCCAGTTCAGGCATCTCAACGTGGAACACCAATGGCCAAACCGACAAGGCTGGCACAAAGAACGAGGATGCAGTGGATGAACTCAAGCGTGAGATTAGAAACGTCAAGGGAGTGCTACTCAGTGCAAAAAGGTTCCCAAGTTATGCTACCACTGGTTACTATGCAGGAACTGCTAGTGCCGGAAAGTGAACCTTTCAGGGGTGGATTGGAAGAACCTCCTACATCATTCGCCAGGCCTGTGCTACCAATCACGGACTTCCTCAATCCGACGCAAAATATTTATCGACAGTCGGAGCCGCCTCCTGACACTCGCGCCACTTGCTCCAGAGCGCATTCGCTCTGATTTCAACCCGAATGACCGCCAAATGTCATTTTGAGCGTGGTAGCTGTTTGTACAGCACTTGTATAAATTATAGTCGAGGCCCTTCCAAGACACTCGCAGCATGACGAGTCTTTTGTGCTCCATTCTCTGGGACCAAGCCAAGATATTTGGCCCTCCACAGCGGTCATTCCCAGGCAAGAACAGTCGTCTCGCCAGCTTGTAGAGACAATCATGGTGGTTGATGAGCCGGACTACACGATTCTCCGCAAGTCCGCCGTCAGCCAATGAGATGAAAGAATCTGTATTTGAGAGCTGATGATTGTTCCTGCTAGGGGTAAGTCATGATATCAATATCGCAAGCGAGCACCCGAAAGGAACGCTCTGTGAATGTGGATGAGCGCCAATTACGTGTATGGATTTTATAGGGCGGAACGTGCTCTCCACGAGGGAAATGGTCAGATTTGGTGTCCTGTCCTGTAAGCGATCACTAGCGCACATCTATAAAATTTGTATTGGAAGCGTAGGTCTCTGAACGATGCGGATGCGCCGCCGGCTGATTCTCATATATGTGCTTGATCATGGAAGTAAACTGCGTCTCCCAGGATCGAGCGGTATTTGTCGCGATTTTGGGTTTGGCGGCTGGCTAAGTTCTGCCGGCCGTGTCGTGCAGACTCTTGATTTGCATCGAGTGCTTAGCAAGATCACCTGGACAGAGCAAAGCATCGGCGACAAGCCCGCTTTGCTCCTCGCCGCACGAGGTGTATTCTCTACCGATCCGCAGTACCTCGCGTTGTTCGCCGAACTCCTGACCTACATTTAGAATGTTGGCAACAGTGACATCTACCGCTGGTACCTAGGTAATGGCAGTGTGTCGCCTAGTACCGAGAACGAGGCAATAAGCACTACATCTTCACCACCTACTACCCAAGCTTAAGATGACCCTCATCTACTCCTATACCGACAAGTGTCTTCGTAAGAACAGCTTCTAACAATCCCGCGTCGTCTACGAAACCCTATAGATCTACTCCGATCATATCCGACCCTATATATAACTCTACCGTAAAGAAGGCCGACTAATTTAGATCTTGAATATCCTCGACGGCCGTACCGAGTTAGAAAACGTCCTTTTCCGCTCCGCAGAGTCCGGCCCTAAGGACAACTATCTACTCCTCCTAGACCTAAACTAGAACCGTAGTACTGTCGGATCACTATACCTCCTTACGATCGTCTAGCGTCGCGACATCTAGAGCGTAAGCGACCTAAAGAAGGCCCCGACGCTCTAGCTAAGGCGTCTCTGCGCTACGCTCGCGACGACTATGTAGAGGCTATATCCGGACGTCGAGCGGGACATAATGAAACCTATATTCATTATCAACCTACGTATTACTATTCCTATATTCATGTCGTTCATATTAACCTCGATGCTACTACGACGTAAGCCACGGGGAGGGCATTGGGGTTGGAGAGTGTCCTGTCCCAGCTGGAGAAGCTCCAGGGTGGTGATAATGAGGCGGGGATGCATCTCCTCGTGTTGACGTATGCCGTTCGCGTGGGCAGTGAGCTTCGGACGTAGATCCACTTGCCGCTGAAGGAAGGGAGGACGCCTGCTGTTGGGAGTGGACGAGAAAGGTTCATCCGCCCGGTTGGATGAGGATGCTCCGCAAACGCGGCAAGCTGTTCCAGAACTTCGACGGAGAAGCGCAATCGTGGTCTTGGTCGACACTATAGTAAGCCGCCATCTTGGACCTAGGAGATGCACAACTCAACCCTGTGTCTAACGCAGCAGCTTAGATACACGGGGTCCAGGCGCAACCTCGTGGAGACTCGTGCAAAGCGATTTCAACGTCCACCTTGGCACTTTGCTGTCGGGACGAACAGTCTCGCGGCCTTCCTGACAGGCATCCTATCGTGCTGCGATGCCCTATCGCTGCAGAAAACACCGCCCGCAATCAAGGCACGGGCAGCGAAAGCCCGAACCGCCGTTCACAACGGCGTGTCAAGGCGCACCCGACGAGAATCCGTTGGAGAATGTATGATTCATAGCCCTGTCGCCTCGCCGCCCCGCCTCTGTCATAAGGGTGTCGATGAATGACGGGGTTCAGAGCTAGATGCGGTCGGAGCGCGTTCGTCGAGGGGTGAAGAGATCAGCTGATTGCTGATAGGGATATCCTCAATGGTCAAAGCGCGGGAGCGATCACTCTGCCAGAAAAGGCGCATCATCGAGTTGCCGTCGACTTCGACGACTTCGCTATGCCGGACTTGCCAGTCCTCGGGTGGGGAGTTATTGAGAACGCGGTCCGGAGAACGCTGCAGTGCTCTTCCCTCCTCGGCCTTGATGATAGCCATAGCGTGGAAGCGTGCGCCCTCGATCGTCCAGATGCCCTCTCGGCGCGGACATGTCTCGAGGACGAGGAGGGCCCTTCGCCGGAGGTAGAAATCCTTGCATCGCGTAGCGACGCAGAATAGGACCTTGATGGCCCCTAGGCCGATGGAGAAAGCGTTAGAAGCATTTGCGGGAGACTTCGACTTGCACAGTCGAAGCTGAGCTAGCGCTTCCTCACAAACGTCCACTGTGCGTTGATACGTAGCAAGAGTAACCGCGGGGGATACCGGGAGCTCCGATAAGGCGCGAATTGCGTTAATAAAGAGCAGGCTGCGCGCCACGGCAAAGCCACAGTATGCTCGAGATTTGACGTCCCCCTGCGCCGTTTCGATGTAGTTTTCCGCCGCGGCGTCTAACGCCGATTCTTGGGCCTGGAGGGCGTCCAAGGTCGGGACAGCCGTGTCCGGGTCGCCCGCGGGCAAGTCGCATCCGGATTCTGCCGCCGGCATCCACGTATCCAGCCGGGAGACCATGTCCTCTACTAAGCTACGTTCGATGCGGACGACCTCGTCGGCGGATGGACGACACGCCCAGATGGTCTGGAGCATCTTACGGGCGGAGGTCGAATATAATTCACGCGGGCCGAAACTCATGCTCGAGGTGATGTATAACTCGATGAGCGATGAAATATGGTTCAGCATGTCGGCGGCTTCTTGCTGCATGTTTGGGTCGTGCTCCTGTTTGAGGATGTACACACAGGGCCTGAGGTGAAGTTCAAGATTGGCGATGGAGCCGTGGAGGGATTCGAGAACGATCAGAAGGAAACATGATAGCGCGTGCACGACGTCGCTCCCATTCGATTTGAAAAGTTGGTGGGATTGCGCCCTGATCGCTGCATTATATGCTATCGCTGCGGCATAGTCGGCACCATCGGGTGGTCTATCCCCGAGAGCGCGATGCTGATGACCAATCGCTGCTGCGACCGTCAATATAACAGGCACCTTGTCGCTTAGAAGTTGGAGCAGGTAGTCCCAGACGGGTGATGAGTAACTCTGTCGCATGAACGGTAAAGTGTTGTGGATAAAGTAATCGAGAGCGGTGGAATCATTCGTGGCCGAATCTTCTGCAGGAATTTTGGCATACTTCAGCGCGTCACGGCGGGTGCCTGGGCAACTGAGTATTTCGACTGTGCCGCGCACACACTCGCGATGGCCACGGCGACATCGTTGACATGTCGGAAACCCTTCATCACACTTGACTCGACGGTCTCTAGTGAGGGGCCGTTAGCATATAATTCCATCACGACTGCCGACGAAACAACGACAAGGGCCATGAGGGACCTCCCCCCAGCGGACTGACGTCCCGATTGCGCTGGATTCGGCCCAAGGTCGAGGTGGCCGGGCTTCGGAAAGGATCATTTGGGTGAAGCACGTACTTGCATGTTCTACAACCATCACGGGACTTGTGGTGGAAGACTCGCATCCGAGGTTTGTGAGCGGCCTTGCTTGGATCTCGAGGCATGGTGGACCGTTGAAGACTTGAAGATGCTCCGATTGCACGTATCCAGAGCTATATGCATCTCTTTCTCGCTCTCGCTCACAGACGCTCTTTTCGTTCGGGCCTGTCCGGACGGGCACGGTGGTCATCGACGACGATGCAATTTTCGGATGACAGGCCCTATCTTGAAGGACCAGTCGAATCTTGGGAGAGAATCCATGTGGACGGCTGTATCATCTGCGGTGCCTAGCATGATCTACGGTGGAACAGTAGTTCAAACATACACCATCATTGCTCGAAAGGAACCCCTCGCCGATCGAGATGGACAAGATCGAGGCGTGAAGAAAACGACTCAGCACGGTACGAAATCAGCCGGTCGGCCAGCCGGCCCGCCAACCAGCCGTCTAGTGTAGTGATTCAGCACCAAACTGGGGTCACCAAACTGGGGTCACCAAACTGGGGTCCGTGTCCCGAACGCGAACTCCGGGGCCGGCGTGCATACCGGGACAGCCCTACTGTCAAGGAGCAGCCTCCCCTCCTTGTTGCCGCGGTTGTCTATCGCGCGCGCACAACTCGGCCGGGAGGGTTGAACGGCTTTCGTGAAACACACGAGACGACCCCTTCCCCACGGACGCGTCTGTGTCTGGGCAGTAATAATAATACTTCGAGGGCGGAGACTCTGCGGCAACTCCCGTAGTCACGTGCGACAAGACACATGACGGGACTTATTAGTAAGCCCGTTTGCCCGCGGGCTAGCTGGGTGCATTTCGGCGCTATGGGTCCACGACCGTACCGACATGATGTGCGGGCATACATGCCTGATGTAGTCTGGCGCCCCTTGCTTCTCGAATAACAATGATCATGATGCATTATGATAACATTTTCCGGTGTGTCCCGATGTCCACCGTATAGTAGTGATATGTATCACGCATTAGTGTTGTTCACTTCAATACGACTTCGATGCGGTCCAGTCCACCGCTTTGGAAACGGCGCGGCCGGGCGATCGGTCAGGTGATCAGGACAACCTTAAAACACGTGACTGACCGGGCCAATTGCTTGACATCGAACCGGCAAGCCTGCTACCTCGTATGCTCTGCGCAGGATGAAGGATGTGTCCTGAAGAACATCGTCCATCCTGTGTTGAAGAGGATAAGTAGACACATCGTCCGACATCGGCCCTCTCACCTCAAAGTAGCCTGTCGCCCAACTCTCGGTCATTCTCTGGCATCAGGGTCGCCCAGAAATCAAGTACATACCTACTACTGTATTCCCACAACCCTTAGCCGCAAGCGACCTGAAGTGGGCGTGAGAAGGGTCTTAGCGCCAGCAGGGAATTCTCAAATGCCGAAAGTGAAGCAATACGTGCTAAGGAATTTCACTCGTACCGAGCGTCGTACCCTGCCGGGTGCAGATAGCGCGAGCAGCACGAACGCTTTGTTTGACGGCCGAGGCGGACGTCCACGAGGCTTGCATCTCGCGCGTTGGCATGCATCTTATCTTAGTCGCATTCTGCTCTGGACGACAATAATCTCCATCGCTGCTGCAGATGCCTGTGCCTGCGATCCAGGAGTCGTGCCCGCCATCCTCGCCACACCACGTTTCATCTCCAAGGCGAGAACATATGGCCGATGGGCCCATCGCACTTGCTGCTGAGGTGTATCTGCTGGTGAATGTGCTGGGGATTCGTCTGCGATGTGTATGCACCACTATTGCACAATTTTCTCACATTTCGAAATTCAGGGCCGGCCCCCGCGGATCGGTTTGTGCGCACTCGTTTAATGGTCCGAAATAAGGTTTACGTAGAACACGGCTTGGACCACCTCTTATTTAGTGCACATCATCATGGAACAGTGATATACACTGATGATACATGTGGCATGCGTAGCGCTGAACTAGACGACGTCGTTGTGCCGTCCACACCAGCACCACCCTGAACGACGTCGGAGTAGTATGTGCCCGCCCCCGGTTGGCGGGCGCACCAGCAAGGGTGACGTGGGATCATGACCTTACAGTGTTCTGCAATATGCAAATCGTTCCACGCATAATCTCACACCTGTCAAACACTTCATTGATAATTTTCGTCGCAGGGGACATTCGGCACGTACTCGGAATTTGAATATGGCTTGCCGCCCCACCGGGTTCGTTGCTTGGAGCCCTGCAGCCCATGACATCGCTTCGCCGAGGACATTTAGCAGTCATGACATGGCCTAGCATGACGCACAGGTCAGTCTGTAAGCTTTACGGAACCAGGAATCAGATTCTCAGCGAATTTCAGGATGGAAATGATATCATGATGTGGGTAGCAATCAGTGCAAGCCGTCGCCAGGGAGTCAAGCGTCACTAGCACAAACGCAACCACGGGAGTTAACATATACGAAAGCAAGTTCACGTGACAGACGTCGATCACCGACCCAGGAGCTTGGTCGGAGCTGAGCGAGCATCTGCCGACTTAACAGCACACGGCATTTGGATTTGGTATCGTATAAGCTTATCAGAATAGACTTATCAGAATGACTGCTTTACTACCGCAGCGTCTTGCCAGCGCGTATCTGGCACCGACGTCGGTTGAAAGCCTTGTCACAACGCCGGTCCCGTCTATAAAGGTGCCGGGTCTGCGTTCACCAAGAACCGTGTTCAGATCAGTCAACCGCTCCCCAAACCACCCACCACAGCGTAGCATGGGGGTCAAAATGAGTTCGAAATTCGTTGCCTTGTGCGCGCTCCTTCATGGGCTCTCCGCCGCTGAACTTGCAGTACTGCCTGCCTGTCCAACTGTCACCATCGGTGAAGACACCATCGTCGGCACGATTGAAAGAGTTTCGAACCAACCGGCTATCACCGGTGTAGCCAATGCCTTCCTCGGAGTGACCTTCGCAAGCCCCCCTGTCTGATTCGCTCCACCCGCCCCTGTTCGACCATACAGTACCATTCATGCGCAGGCTCAGCCACCGGCTTGTCTACAGCAGAAGAGCGCCCCGGACCCGAACAGCCCTCTTGGTACATTTTACCCCTGCGACCCAGTGGCACCGTTGACCACTATGTCTGAGGATTGTCTATACCTCAACATGTATGCGCCCCAGAGCGCCAGTCCGACCAACCTAAAGTCAGTAATGTTCAGGATTTACGGGGGCAATTTGGACACGGGCGGTGTATCGTTGCCCGTCTACAACGCGAGCAGCTTAGCTGTCAATCATGATATCGTCGTGGTGGCCGCCAATTATCGCCTGAACATATTCGGCTTCTCGAACTCCCCAGACATCCCTTTCAATCAGCAAAATTCGGGATTCCTTGATCAGCGATTTGCTCTGAAATGGGTAAGTCTGCATCAATGACTGCCGCGAGGTCCCATTGTCACATGGAAGCTCACTGTCTATAGGTTCATGACAATATCCGATCTTTCGGGGGCGATCCTGCAAATATTACTATTGCTGGCGAGTCGGCGGGAGGCTGGTCAGTCAAGCAATTGCTGGCGCAACCACCACAGCCCCTGCCCTTCCGTGCAGGTGAGTCGTTGAAATCAAGATAGGCACGCATCAGTCTCTGACAGTATGTCTCTTCTCAAAAGCCATCATGCAAAGTGCAGGTCAAGCTTCAGTCGGCAGCGCCGCTGTGAACTACGCCAAAGTGATGAAACATTTCGGCTGTACCGACCTCACCTGTATACGGGCCGTAAACGGCACTGCCATCCAATCCTATGTCGACGCAAACACACTTCTTTTTGGCCCAGTTGAAGACGAGACCTGTATGGGCGATAAAACACTTGCGAGCATTGTATCCGGCCAATTCGCCCGCGTTCCTATATTCATTGGTACCAATGCAAACGAGATCCGATTACTTACGGCGACTTTCGACAGGAACGTCAACTCGGAGACGAGCTTCTTTGAGAAATTTGGCATAGATCTCGATTTAGACGGCAAATTGCTTGCAAACGTCTACGGCGGAGTTCCTGGTGACTGGCCTCTGGAAGTCATGGATCAGTAAGTTAATTTTGTTCTCAATCCATCACTTTGTCTCGGGCATGATAGGCAAGGAGGACCATGTCAATTCTCGCTAACCCTTGCCGAGATTATCGAAAATTCCTCGCTCTATCCAGCTATCCGTCGATGGAAGTTTTCCCACGACATGACTGTCAAGCTGACTTGCTTCCCTCTCTAGAATTGCAACCGACTTTGTCTTCACCTGCCCCGCCCAGAGCTTATCCTCCACCATCGCCCGCGCCGGCCGCCAGCCGGTCTGGCGCTACTTCTACAAAGGCGACTTCCCCAATCTCCGCATCTTCCCACAATCCGGCGCCTATCATACCTCGGAGATTCCGTCCGTCTTCGGTACCTATGCATTACAGAACCCGCGCGGCCCGGCTACCCCGGCGCAGATCAAATTGAGCGCCGTCATGCAGCAAATCTGGGCCGGCTTCGTGCGCGACCCTTCTGCCGGCCCGGGCTGGCCGCGTTTGCAGAGTACATTGGACGGCCGTGAGCTTGGTGTCTTCAGCGGCCCTGAGTGCCCAGACGGAGTAGCGGTTGAACCTCTTGTGAAGACCAATTCCCCTTGTCTGGTCATAGATCCAATGTTGGCGGTGGCAGGACTGGCGTGGTAACGAGACCATCTGCGCGAGGAGGGTCATGGTTGCCAAATGGAAGAGGTTAAGAATAGAGAGAGGCGTTTAGACGAGAAACGATAGACTTCGTAATGCTCGCGCAATGATAGAATGAGATATGCTTTCTGACAACTCGATATGACTCCTATCATGCTCCTCGTTCGACTACGATGCAAATCGTCGACTCATCAATACGCCAGACGATCAACGAGCTCAGCTCGGTGGTTGCCACCGAACCATGTCCCCAAGCCACAGAACGGATAGAGCCAAAAGCCGTTCCGCTCATCGATGCAGTCATCTTTCGGCAATCGGTACAGCTGCACACTGCAGTATCGACGAGGCCCGGTGCTTTGGCGGGCTGTATCAACTGGCGTCAACCTTGTAAACCCCGCTGGATGCAGAACGCACCTTAAAAAAGCGACTTGGACCACACCGCAATGACATGTCGCTGTGGCCTCTCCATCGTCCTTGCCTCTCGTCACATCATCCGCCGCCGTCCATGATTTCGATGAGTCTCGCATTTGTAAGATGTATGTATCCAAGCTGCGGTCACATAAATGGCTGATAGATTCAGTCAAAGTCGTGCGTGTACCCGTGGGTAATTAAGCAGAATGCATATAATTGATTTGTAATGGTAAACGTAGTTGCCATGGTTTATGGTACAAGAAAGATCCTAACGCCTTTGCCGGGCTTATGCAACATTGGAGACACATGTACACATATTTGAAGTGCAGAGCGCCCGGGCGGCCCCAAAGTTCAGTTTCATCGGTGACAATGTCCCCGCTGGCCAGCATACAACTGCCGTTTCAGCTTCACCTGCATGTATTTGGCATAGAACTTTTCCGATCGCACTCGTCTTTTCGTTCCTTGCTACCTGATGCGACGGCTATAACCCATCCAGACGGTCTCGGTATTATACCCACCGTAGTCGCTTTGTTTAAGCATTGTCTTATACATTCGAAAGCGAAATAAACTAGAATAATGGCACTGATAGACGCGTCTAGCTTCCTGGTTCACAACTGCACCGTTCGCGCCTTGGAACGAGAGGCGTATTCCTGTTTCTCCAACATTGTCCCAAACATTTCGGCAGGCGCACGTTTCGGTGTACAAAGTCGAACGACTTCTCCACTCGTCGTAGAAGCCATGCACTTCCCTTCTAAGGCCGTTTTCAAAGCACGCTTGATCGACAGGATAACGGTCCTTGATCCCGAAGTCTCGGCTGCCAGACGGTCAGCGAATGACAAATCCTGAAGGTGAACGTGTTCAACTTTGGTTCCAATGAGTCGCTTAACCGTCGCGATGACCTATCATCCTACGATATCCTCTGTTGCATTCAAATTGTAATTCGCGTTGTGATAGGGTGTAATGTCATCCTGGGCGAGGAGAAAGGCTGCGAAGATTCCAGCCTCATTTCTATCAACGATACCGACAGGGGTATCTTCCGAAGCCATGAGCCTCAAAGTCTCCTGCTTTCCAGATTTCCGAAAGTTCTTGACCCACTCCGCAAAAGGGAAAAGGTACGTCTGCGTAAAGATATTCGGCTGCAGCGAGGTCCATTGTAGACCATGGAGCCCCGGCAATAACAATGGTAGGCAACATGATTGGGCCAAGAACTTGGAACGACGAAGACATCAGTTAGGGTTGGACCAACGCACGTTATCCATTTTGTACTTGGATGGAACATCTGTGAGAGTCATGCATTCGAAATCTCCTTATACTTTTGGCTTCTCTGTCGATCAAGCCGATTGTAGCAAGCCAGATGCTGCCGTCCTTTGAAAATATCCCGACCCGTCTTCAAAATGCCATAATGCATTAACATAGTGTCTAGGAAAATCCTGTCCGGAAACCCCGTGTGTCCGGATTCCCGGTGCCCCACATGCCACATTCTACGTCAACAACATGAAATGGACCGGCCTTCCAAGCGTGAGTTTCATCCTCTCGATAATCTTCTGGCGATACATGAACCACGCGTGGCAAAATGAGCCTCACCCGCCGCTGGTTCGCACTCGTGTCGTTGACGTTGGTCAGCCAAAGTTCCAATGACAAATACAGAAGAGTGGTCGGAAATAGCTCAATGTGGCCGGAGAAATGGTAATAGGGAACACCGGGGCTCAGCAAGGCTTTGGTCCAGATGTGCATATAAGCAAAAAAAGTAGGTCAATCAAGAGACAAAAGATCTGTCAAACAATTGATTCTTATCTCTACCGATCTATCTCACTTTTCATAATTTGTTCCCTTCTTAAACTTTCAATCACAACTAAGCATCGCCAATCATGTCTCGATATGCGGAAGCCCACGCCAATCCCCAGGGTCCCGGAGACGCAAGGCCAACTGCATTGCAGATCATTGAAGACGAAGGCGTCGGGGGCAAGCTAAGCGACAAGGTCATTGTCATCACTGGCACCTCGTCTGGCATTGGGATTGAGACAGTTCGTGCCCTCTCAGCTACTGGAGCCAGGCTTTTCCTGACTGCCCGTAATCTTGCCAAAGCGAAGGAAGCGCTGTCCGGTATCTTCGACCCGGTGCGCATGGAGCTTGTCGAGATGAATCAAGAGTCCCTGCACAGTGTCCGTCTCGCCGCTGACAGCATTTTGTCAAAAACGGATAAGATTCACATCTTAGTCAACAATGCCGGAATCATGGCTGTTCCCACTCTTCAACTTACTCAAGACGGTCACGAGCTCCACTTTGGCACCAACCATTTATCTCACTTCTTATTCTTTGAGCTGTTGAAGCCAGCACTGCTGGCGGCTGCTTCGCCAGATTTCCACAGCCGTGTTGTGGTTGTGTCGTCGACCGCTCACCTCAGGAACGGGATCAATGCCTCGGATGACTACAATTTCGAAAAGAGCGAGTATTCTCCCTGGGGAGGCTATGCAAAATCCAAAACCGCCAACATCTACATGGCCAACGAGCTGGAGCGGCGATACGGTTCACAGGGCCTTCACGGGATCAGCTTGCATCCTGGCGGAATCATGACCCCTCTCGCAAAGCATCTTCCAGCAGCCGAGTTAGTGAGCAGTGGCGATGGCGGGGAGCTCTACAAGGAATTCAAAAGCCCCGAGCAAGGAGCTGCGACCACAGTCTGGGCTGCCGTCGGAAAGCAATTGGAAGGCCGCGGCGGAATCTATCTTGCCGAGTGCGCAGAGGCTGAACCCTCAAAGGACGAGCAAAGTCAGTTTGGTTCGGGTTATGCTAAGCATGCGTTCGATCAAGAGAGTGAGGGTCGACTATGGAAAGATTCCCTCAGACTGGTCGGGTTGGCTAGCAATCATGTGGAATAGAGAAGTTTCGTCCTACTTGTAAATAGCTCGTATCTATAAAACTGTCATCTTCAACTATGAAATTCACTGCATGAGTTCTTTCTCGACATTTCACCTATGGCTCAGCTATGGTGGGAGGATAGAAGTGAGATCGATGCCAAGTATGATCTGAGGTCATAATATATAGATAAAACGGCAAGAAAAGTTCAATAGAACGGTTTTTTTCGAGAATCTGTAGACAGGTTGTACCGTCAATTATCTAGTCCTATTCTCTACCAGAGCTATCACGGTGGAGAGATTTGAGAGGACGAGTTGTAATAGTTAAATAGCATCAAAAGCAAAGCGTATCGTCGATTAGTTTAGAGATATCTTTCTAGCGGTCTTTCATTCGACAGTACGATTTACAAAACGCCTTTATATGCTTATCGTCCCGTTGAATATTTGGTACTGGATTCTTCGAAAAAAGCCACTTTAGTTCTCGTCGAAACCGAGCAAGCGCTGTCCATGTCCAGTAAACCCATTTTTTTTAAGTACTGGACATATCAAAAAGTAGTACCGGACATCTCAATGCCCGACGCCGTAGGGTACCTTGTCTTCCTTTGGGAAATTGGCATCCTCGTGTATCCCCGCGGCTTCCATGACCTCGTAGATCTTCTGCAGCGGCATGTCCCCATGGACATTCGTACCCTTGTCGTTCCCCATGCCCTCGAATGAAATGTCCGCGGCGTTGATGGCTTTGTGTCTCTGCGCCGTCGCGATCTCGCGGAGGTCGGCCTCTTTGTCGCGGTCCGCGTAGATCTTCGCGAGTTTGGCGTTCGCGATGTCCACGTCCTCCTGGAAGCCCTGCACGTGGATGTAATTGATTTTCTGCTCGGCCACGATCGAGACGTCTTCGTTCTCGACCTGGTGCTGGATGATCTCGCCGTGGTGGTGGTCCGAGACGGACATGTCGTTGTTGTCGATGGCGTGGTGGTCGATCTCGCCGTCCGGGCCGCGCTCGTCTCCCTCGTACTCGCGCATCACCCCGAGCTTGACCTTGAACAGCTGCGCGCTGCACTCGGCGTTGGTCTTCTGGCAGTAGGCGTAGACCATCAGGCTGAGGATCTTGCGGTCGCCGATGATCGGATGCCAGTCGGCCGAGCCGGGGTTCACGTCGGGCGGGTAGTCCGACAGGCACATGTCCGGGGCCGACCCCACGCGTCGGTAGCCGCCGCGGAGGATGTTGTCATACTCCGTCTGGATGACGCTATCGGGATGGCGGACACGGTGCTAGGAGATGCAGTCAGGTCAAAATTGTCGGGGAGATACGTGGGCGCGGATGACGATGAACATGGTTGTCGTGTTTCCACTCACGTTTTCGTAGAGGTATTTCGAGCCACCTTGACAATCCATATTGTCGAAGACGGTATAGTGGTAATCGTCTTCGAGTGGAAAACGATGAAGATCAGAAACAACAACATCAACCGAAATCTCTTTCCGCATCCTCGGATCCCAACAGAAGTGTACTCACAAACCACGGTCGAATTCCGATCGATCCGGAAACTCCCGTAGGAGATCTGATCGTCAAATTGGAGACACGTCCGGACATAGGGATGGATGTTGAATCCGATCGTCTTGCCGATCTCGTCGCCTTGGTTCGCGATGCATCCGCCTTCGACTTTCTCGTAGCGCTGCATGACGAAGTCGATGGTGGGCATACGTTGCCTTGCGACGTGGTAGGCATTGAGGGTAGGCAACGGCTTGGCCGGTTTGTAATGTTTTTTCACGGGCGCGGCGAGGGCGGAGGGGCTATGGATGACGTTTATGACTGCGAGGGTGAGTAGGTATTGTAGATAGTTCTTCATCGTTGCGATGCTTGGGGTGGGGTGTATCAGGTGAGTTTGCTCTTGGTGAAACAAAGAAGATGAACCGCGCGCGAGAGAAAGTGAGAGATGTGAGGGCCTCGAGAAACTTGAAGATGAGATTCAGAATGAGCGTTTCTTTCGATAAATAATAATGATAAGATGAAAACAGTAAGGCGCAATTATCAGAACAAAGAGTGGATAGAAATCAGAAATCATCCATCTGAAAGGCAATAACATACGATCTGAAGTTCCGAGTTCTGGGCGTTTCACGCTTGGTCTTGCTGCTTACACGTCATCGGTCGTTGATCGAAAAGCTTTGTCTGCGGAATGTGTCGTGGTGTTCTCCATTGAGAAAATGATTGCGAGGACTTCGGCGTGACAGTGACTGCGGGTGTGATCGCATGCAAAAATGCCCGGCACATTAGCTCGATGGCGCAGAACGCGACTATCGATTGATCGCCGAATGGGCTCCGCATTCCGTGAGAGGGCAACTCTTGCCGGATATCTGGATGTCCGGGGCAGGATGGACACGTATCTGCTTCTTTCCCTCCAGAAACGTCATAGATCGAGAGTCATTGCAGTGATAACGCACTCGTCCATTGCTAGGGCAATGTGAGGGCTGAGATCCATCAACCGTTCCGCTTGTCCACCAAAGCCCACATCTCCATCGCCCGCCTCTCGCGCTCCTTCTGACGCGCACGATACTGCCTCTGCGCATCCGAGAAATTGCCCTCGCCGCCGCCGCCGCCACCATCTGCGTCGTCGCGGAAGTCCCTTGAGAACGGCCGTTGTGCGCGGAGGACTTCCTTGGCATCGTGGGGAGAAACATGACGAGGCCGCAGATGGTCCGCGTGCTCGGCTTGGAGGGTCGTACTGACGCGCATGCCTGCTGATGTCGGCGGCCGGTGTGTCGGCGGAGATGTGGTCTGAGATGGTTTGGCTGGTATGGAATCGGGGGCTGCTGGTGTGGGATTTGTCACGAGGGCGACGAAGGAGCTTCTGGTTGGGAGCGGAGTACTCCGTGGCTCCGGTGCCTTGGACATCTTGCTTGAAGTGACATCTGCATTGTAGGCTACGTCCGGCGATGGTCCCGCAGATTGATGTTGATGTGAACTTGAGATTGATGCATCGAGTGGCGTATCCTGCCGCCGGGACGCTACATCGGGTGTCCTTTGTTGGATTGCATATGGCGGCGCACCCCCCGATATCGTTGGCAACTTGTCTCTGTCATCGCTGCCGTCCAGGCCCGGGATACTAGAAGGAGGCGTGGTGCGCGCGACACTGCTCGGAAGGCCCTCATGTCCGATTTGAAAGACAGTCCGATCGTCATTCTGCAGAAACCCCACTCGCTGCTCAGCTGTAGCTTGCGGCCGCGCACTAACCCCATCACCGTTGCTCGCCCGCTCGCTCGTCTTGACCCTCTCCCTCGCGAGCTTCAAAACTTTCTCGAAATCCCCCTTCTCCTTCCTCTTCGCGTATCGATCCTGCAATTTCGCCACGCGGCCATTCAATTTCGACATCTCGAGTAGATTCCGCGCGAGGCGTCCGATTGCGGATTTCTGTCTCGCGGCGGCAAAGGCTTCGAGGTCGGCGGAGGAGAGCATTTCGATGGCATAGTTCTTCGAGCGGGCCTCGATGCGCGAGCGGGTGATTTCTCGCGCCAGGGATGTGTATTGGTTTCGGCCGTGGCGGATGTCGCTGGCGACGCTGTCGTTGTCGCTTTGGTACGAGTGATCTTCTTGTTCTTCGACTACGAGCTGGTTCGTGCTGGGTGCATCTCCTTTCGATTCCTGTGATGGTCGGGCGACGCTGGTCTTTTGTCGCTGGCGTGAGCTGGACCAAGTCTTTCTGCGCGCACTCTTCTTTCCTGCTGGGGATGTCGGTGCCGGAGGAGACTTCGCTCGCTGGTCATCCACCTGTTCACTGAGCCTCCTCCTCTTCTTCCCCCCCTTGTCTTCAACGAGCACACTATCCGTCCTTCTCCTCCTCTTCCTGCTCGGCCCGTCAGCTTCCGCCACTGCACCTGCCTCCTTCCGACTCCGCTTTTCCTCCTTCTTGCTCCCGTACGATTCGATCCATTCCAGCGGCGTGTTCTCGTCGAGTTCATACACCGCTCCGCGGAAAGTATACGTCCCGAGAACTTTCTTCTTCGTGCGCTCGGCGGGCGCGGTCTGACTTCCACCGAGCGAGCTGGTCGCATCGATGGCGAGTTTTTGTTTTATCCGGCGCACGGCGGGGTTCTCTTCTTCTTCTCCTCTTTCGCCGTTCTTGTGGGAGGGTGAGCGCGACCCGTTGAGGTTATTATCGAGACTGGGACGATGGCGTGTCGAGACCATGGCTGCGCGTGTTCGGCGACTTTGTTGTGGGAAAGTTGAGGGAGAGATGACGGGGGCGTCGCAGCTGTCGCCTTCGGCGCTCGCTTACATCCAGGTCCGGTTTGGCATGTGTTCCCGCTCTTTGTTCCTGGCGTCGTGTCATGCACACTCACACACAGCAAATCAAGCACGGCGAACGACGCGCATTCCGGCAAATTCCCACAGTCGACCCAGCACGTGTTTGTCGCCGAACGTCGCAGAATTCCGACGAGATGGAGCGAAATCCCGTCGCACTGGTTCGAGACGACACGAAGGCAAATTCACATGTGAACAGGGAGATGGAAACGAGCATGAGGCACCAATACACGCGGCCCAACGCTATTCGTGATTATTACGGGCGCCCGCCCGCACGCGTGTTGACATCATTTCCGGCCGCCGATCGGCCGGATTTTGTGTGCCCATCAGGGTCTGGCTCGCCCAGCCGCCCGCAAGCAGCTCCGCTCCGGGGGGGGGGGGGGGGGGGGGGGGGGGGGGATTTCTCGGCTCGGCAAATGTGATTGGATGGCGATCAATCGAGCACCTGCATAGACGTGGAGATGGCATTGGGAGATGAAGACTGGGAAACGGAAGTGGCATAGCATGACATTTCAGAAAATCGCTTTCGATGACTGCTCCGGACAAAATCCAGGCTGAACAATATCCAACACACTGAAGGAGAAAGCCAAGGATGTCACTGGTCATAAACATCGTTCATCATACTCATGTCAAACACTATGGTATCAGAGAGCAAGGAAGAAAAAAAAGGAAGAAGGAGAAGAAGAAGGAGATAATCCCCGATCCAAGCCACCATCGTCTCATCCAGCATCCCATCATCCCACCCATTCCTTCCCAATTCATCGATCGATCGTGACGGTCAAGACCTCACCCTAGGATCGAATCTCCTCCAACGCCTCCCCGAAGCTGTCCCTCGAGCTGTTGACGCTGTGGCTGAAACTCATCGCGCTCTGCCGTCCGCCCTCCAAGCCGGTGGCGAAACTCCTCTGGCTCCTCGGCGTGACGAATCCGTCTCCGCTCGCATCGCCTGCGCTACTGGCCGAGATTCCGCTCATGCCGGTGGGGACTTTGGCGAGGCGGAGACGGTCCGTGGAAGGGCTGCGGGAGGGAGGGGCGGATTGTTGATCACGAGGGCGGTGGGAATTGTGGACTGCGGCGAGGGCGGCGGCGAGGGCAGGGTCGTTGGTGAGGTGGGAGGGTTGGAGGGTTTTTTCTTCTTCTTGCTCACTTTCACTTTCATCATCGTTTTCATCATTGCCATTGTCACTTCCGTCATCGGAGGAAGAGTAGGAGGACAAGGCATTCTCATCATCGGTATGAGTTTTGCCACCGAAATCGTTCTTCTTCATCATCGCGGCGAAATAAGCCTGATCGCGACTCCTCGCGCGAGGCGTCGCGTCGCCATCCTCTGCGGAGAAATCCACATCCGACGCAGGGTCCTGCTCGAGGAAAGCGTAGTCGCCGCGCGCCTTGTTCGTCGCCGCCGCCGCCGAGATAGCCGCCGCCGCGTCAGAGGGCAAAGCCGGGGGCGGAGCTTCGTCGCTGCCGCGGCGAGAACCGCCGTCCTCGCTGGTCCCGTGGACACTGACAGTGGCGAAGACGGAGCTCACGCGTTGCGCCTTGGCGCTGTGGACGCTGGCGGTCTCGGAGTAGAGGGAGGAGTCGAAGGATTTGGCGGAGTCGCTTTGCGCGGTGTCGGGGCGGGAGGAGGGCGGGGACAGGAAGGTCCCTGCGGCGGAGAGTGGGTTGGGTGGGAGGTCGAGGTCTTTGCTGAGGGATGGGTTGGTGGGTTCTGCTGTACTGGGTCTTGAGGTTGCTGGTAGTGCGTTGGCTGGCGCCGTCGACGGCAGGGCTTGGTTCGCGACTGGGTGCGAGTTTGATGTGATGGTGTCGTCCGATCGACGGGCGGCGACTGCAGCGATTCCAGCCGTTCCTATGGCAGCAGCCAAGGTGCCAGCAGCCCCAATCCCAGCTCCGGCTCTAGCATTTGAGTTTCCCTCCACTGTAGTCGTGTTTCCATACGGTGGAGGAGGCTCCGAATACCCAGGGGCCGCGACACTCTTTTCCTGCGTTGACGTCGTCGAAGAAGCAACCCGCTTTTCACCGGATCCGAATAGTCTGTCCTTGAGTCCTCGACCTCGTCCAACAGGACCGACACAATTCGCCTCACCATCGCCGCTTACATCGGAGCGCTGTTTCCGTTTGCGAAACACGCAGAAGAAGAGGAACAGTCCAAGCGCGAGAAGTAACACGACGATGATGGGAACGGCGATGGCTGCGGCGAGTTGACCACGCGAGAGACCATGGCTGGGAGAATCCGTTGTCGCATTCGATCCGTTATTCAGTCCAGCACTGGCCTCGGCTGGCGAGGAAGTCGACGTCATTGAACGTAAACTACTACTGCTGCTGCTGTTCGCATTTGCGCCAAAGAAGCCGGCCACCGACGAGGTCGTAGGTGAAGTCTGATTTGCGCCAGCACCGAAGAACCCAGCAGCGGCCGATGTAGTCGTCGTTGAAGCTGTATTTGTTGCGCGGGCAATGCTGGTCGTACTGCTCCTGATGGTGTTGCGATTGTTCGTTGCGGAAGTAGTCACGGTGGTCAGTGGAATGAAAGCGGTTCCAACACCACCGCCAGCATTCGCACCCGGTATGATCGAAGTCGTCGTCCGCTGTTGCGTCGTCGATGTGGTAGACGCAGCAGTGTTGGACTGGGTGATTCCAGGAAATGGGAAGAGGAAGAACGGATTGCCGGCCATCATGTGTACTTTGGCTGAGCAGCGCGGATCAAACCTGCAATATCAAGGCGGAGCGTAGCAAGAGAAGATGTCAGGATTCGTCCCGAATCTGCACTTCCATGACGGTGTGGAAGTCGGTCCTCGCGGTTGACACACAAGGTGTCCGTGTACCAGGACGAGGCTCAGCGACAGTGCAATTGCACAGTCTCTCTGGAGCTTTGTGCCAAGATCCCGGCGCAGGCCTGGTCAATGACGAGGCGGAATTTGAAGTGTCGTCGAGAAAAGAGACCTGTGGTCCTGCCCTTCTGAGATACGATGGGAGGATAAGTGATTGCAGGTTCCTAAAATGGGCAGCAGCCGTTGCGATTCAGTAGTCGCAAGGGCCCGAGCGTGGGTCGTCCCAGCGCCGACAATGGGTTAGATCGCGATGCAGATCTGGAACTACGATACGAGTTTGTGAAAATCTTGGCAATCCCCAGAGCCGTGACGGGTGGATATGTCGGCATGCGTTTGACTATCAACCCAGGAAGCGATCGTGCTTTCGTAGCAAAGGTGGAAGTCAACCCGGCTCTGAGATGCAGATAAGGAGAGAGGCATCGGCGGGTGGTGCCATCTCCACCGGCAGCACCAGCACCAGATAGGCGGGTCTCTTCATCCCCACAGCATGCATGGCGGGAATTCTCTCGTGATGGTGGAAGCCGGCCTAGAAGATTTGTTTGGGGGCTTGTTCGGCATGTCTCGCCTCGCCTCTCGGCTCACACGATGTCCAACAGCACAACCCCTGGCGTGCCGAGCAGGATCGGCGTGGAGAATGTCGCAGAGTGGTCAAGCGTGGTGCGTGTGTGTGTGTGTGTGGTCTCGTCGGCGGGATCTTGTTAGTGCAATGGTGGAAGAGTTCCGTGGGCTGACTAGTGCATTGGAGGAGTAGTTTCAGTGGGCTGACGGAGTGATGGTGAGTGACAAGAGAGGGAAAGAGAGGGAAAAAAGCGGAGAATGCAAGCGAGCTAGCCAGAGATGGGCGTGTCATCCATCGTCAAATCGACCCAAAGCCAAAGCCAAAGCCAAAGCCAAAGCTGGGGCTGATGACACACACATGAAATATGGGCACGATGAGACTGGTCACTGGTCACTGGGGGACGAGAATCGCCCGTCTTGGAGACTCTGATGATGACTTCCAAGGGTGGACCATATGGCGGTTTTCTGTCCCCGCACGTGGCTCCTCTCCTCCCGCCCAAATCCCCATCAATTGTGTGGGCCGATGCGACCATTTCCACCTGTGTTCCCAGGCCTGTGGCTGCCCGGGTGGCTTTTTTTTCCCTCTCGATGGTTCGCTTGTGTCTTGTTCCTGGCCCGCTTCCAAGCTTGTCCGCTGTCATTGTGCATGCCGCCTCGGATGTCGTTCGCATTGATCGATACGAGCAGAACGGGCAAAGCGTTCCCTGTCACGCCTGTCACAAAGAGAAACCTTGTCTTCTCCTCGGCGCCGGCCTCCGGTGCGGAGGAGTCTGTCGAGCAGACGGACTGCACTCTCCAAAATGTGAGGTCCGGCGGCATTGGCTGTAATGCTGTCACAGGTGTGTTCCAGACAGATTCCAGACTTTTTCCCCATCCGCCAGGGTTTTCTTATTCGCACTCCCGTCCCCATCGGAAGCTGTCTCGCCGACGGTCGACTGCCCTCCCCACCCAGGCGACGACCTCGGAACAGAGAACAATGACATGCGTGACTAATCCGTCGGAAATACGTGAGAAGCCGTCTTGATGCAAGCAAGACCGAACCGGTTCGGGGTCTTCGTCGTGACCACACACGCTCCCGAGGAGATTTCCCATCGCGCGAGTTACAGGGAAGTCCTCGTCGCACGTGAACCTCAATCGCCCTGCCTTGGCCGGCAACTCTTCGATTCTCTGTCATTACCATGCAGGCTGCCTCGCCACGGAGAAACGTTTCCGATGGAGGAGCGAGGATTCGTGTTATATGGGACTCAAGAATGTCGCGCGCACACTTTTCGCAAAGCAAATTTGTTTCGTCAAATATTATCATCTCATGATGTAATCCAAAAAAAGGCAGCGTCATTAATATTTTCATTCCCGAATCGTCCAAGCCAAGCGACATCTATGCGTGTTTCTCTGCCCCAATTGTCCTCTCGCAGCTCTTCTCGATGAAAATCACGAGAACCATCATCGCCGAGTCGTATCATAACATGCGACGCCCAACTGCCCTGTTCATGTGTGCACCACAAACCTCATCCAAACTCCCGATCATCCATGTCGTCCCTCCTTTTCTCTCATCGCCCGTGCCCTCTTCTGCCCGACCTAGCAGAAGAGTCCCTCTACTTCGAGCGGTGCACCAGGAAGATGACGACGGCGCCGAAGATGCTGAGGATGAACCCGATCCACATGAAGGCAAAGTCGGCCTGGATGCGGGTCTTCTGGGTGTTGCAGAGGTTGGCGTCGTCGCTGCCTCGGCAGAATTTGTCGTTGCCGCCGGCCTGGTTGAAGAGGACGGTGAAATTCTGTGGCGGGAGAGTCAGAAGAAATTGGTCAAAAGAGGAGAAGGGACAAGGAGAAGGAGGAAAAGGAGATGGTGGAGGAAAGCGGGCAAGGTCTGTGAGATGAGATGCGTGGTTTTGTTTGCAGGGAGCGCGGTTCGTTCGAGAGTGAATTCTTCCTTCCTTTCCTTCCCAGAAGAAGCAAAACAGCGAATCGACAAGAAAAATAACCAGGGAAAGCCCAAAAAGGGAACGAATACGAGGAAACACTTACCACTGCACCCGCAAGGTAGAAGATCGTCGCCAGCACATCAACTCCGACAGCGACAAAGGTGGCGATGGCGCTGGAAACGAACCCCGCGGCAATGCCCAGGAAAGCAGCGAGGAGGCCCCAGACCCCGACGAAGATGCCATAGCGGCTGCCGGTGGTCCACTTGTTGATGAGGTCGCAGCCGCTGACGCTCTCGAAGTCGCAGTACTCCTTGTAGGGCTGGAAGATGTCGCGGACGTAGACGGAGAGACCGATGATGACGGCGGCGCTGATGATCTGTGTGAATGCCGCAAAAGGACGGTCAGCGGTGGGATTTCACCTTCCTCGGCGGCGCCAGACTCGCTCTAAGGGTTGAGAGCTCTGCAGGCGATCGTTGCGACTTACCAGGACGGCGCGAATGCCTAGGTTGCCGAACAGTGCGATGGCCATGGCTGTTCAATCTTCACTGAGTGGTATGCAACGGTGTCTGGAGTTGTCGCGTAGATATCGGAAAGGTGATTCGTTTGGCGATGTATAATGTAGTAGAACAAAGAGAAGAGAGATTAAGATTCGAAGAGGAGGAGGAGGAGGATGAGTCGGAAGGAAGAGTCACACTACCTACGCCGACAAAGCTTGGTTATTCAATGAGGCACAGTCAAAGACGGGAAAAATAATGACGAAGGATCGACGCGATCTGAAGCGGCGCAGTTGGACATTTCTATCATATGAGGAACATCACACGCGAGTTCATCAAGCAGTAACAGTAGCAGGCAGCAGAGAGGGCGATGCTGCTGTGCCGCAAATAGCAACAATTTGGCTAGTCTGATCGTAGTAGAAACCTTGGAAGTGTAGCCAGCACCTGCAGTACATGAAATGGAACGTAATAGTGCGCCAATCGCGACAGCAGCAACACCAACAGAAACAACGACAATAACATCACCGATTCATCACACACCGACAACATTCTCTCTCTCCCACTCTCTCACTCCCCAGCCACACGACCTCTCCTACTTCCGATTCCTCCTCCTCCGCCTCCTTCTGCTCGTCACAAGAGGAGACTCAAATAAGCGCCATCAGTCTCCAGCTTGGCCGCGTCACACTGATATCACTCCCGAATGCAGCATGGGAAGCGAAATGACAGAGACGAGTACTTGTAGGTAACGCTGACAGGGCAGGAAAGGTGGAAAGCTAAACATCAGATAATAGTGCGACCTCGTGCGCGGCCCGCTCGGAAGGAACGGCACACTTTTTATGCCCATGAACTTCAACTGCGCTCCAGTCCTCTGCGATCAGATCAGATATACCTAGGTATACAACATTCGCGCCTCAGAGTCACCAGTCTCCGGACATACTACACGTCAGGTCTCGCTGGCATGTGCGGGTTTCTCCATCGTGAGCAGCATCCTGCCGTCTCATCTCCCCGAGAACCTCATCGTGAGCCACATCGACGGACCGGATATCTGCCAGAAGCGCCCATGGCATGTCCTTCCTGCGACACATGCGGCCCGTGCAGCTGACGGCATTAGCATGCAGGTGTCTTTCTAGCCGAAAGCCTATCCACCACCATCGCCCATTTGATCCCATCACCTCTGCACGATCTTCGACATCTCATCGGTTAGAAAAGCATGACAACACATATGTGGCTGATGCAGAGTCTAGACGTACATCCGAGGTGGAGACAACTCGATGGGGGAGATCTTCTCAAAAGCTTGATGATTTCATCGGTCACTGAGTCTGGAGGTATACCTGACTTGCAGCGTTTGGAATTGTGTACGTCTGCCCGTATGCTCCAGATAGGATTTCAGGTAAACTTATGCTCCCTCAGCCACAGGCAGCGTGTATAAGCTGAGAAACTATAGTTGGAATATTGCCCCTGAGATCGACCGCTTGCCTGTAGACAGCCACAGAATGTCGAAATGCGACACGAGAGACGGAGATTTCTTGGTCTTCCAGCACTGAGTTGGAAATCTCACTCGTTCTCTCTGGGATCAGGAAAGTGCGTATTATCTCTCGGCTCATGCTGGGATACTTCCCCACCGGAAGAATTAATCTCACGTTGTGATCTCCAAGCAGCTGCACGGAGTACATTGAACAACGTTTGCCGTGATGTACATACATCTCCTTCGAAAATCGAGCTCGATGTTCCTTCTCAGGCAGGACAGTCTGTCGGAACGCAACCCTAACGACCACTTCATAAATTTTCATGATTACTAAGCATTCCTATCAAACCTCCTCCACGGTCGTACTACATAGGTGAAGAATCTCGTCGCAAAAGAATCGCGGCACTCGCGATCGCTGTTGTCTGCCTCATAGGTACAAAACACCACTGTGAAAGGTCTATGCAATGAGTGTCGCGCAGGCCGCAAAAAAGACTCCTCAAGCATCGCTATCGCCACGCCACCCTGGACGTCCTGCGCAACCCATTTCTCCCAGGAATGTGGTAATGGACTTTTTTCGGTCGAGATCTGGTGCGACTTTGTCTTCATACGACTAGGGACATGCCCTTCCGGTTGTGGCAAATGTGGATGGTGACGTACCGAGACACACAAGCAGAGAATGGGCCCCTGGCATCCATGAGGCGCGGTCGCCACGTGGAGAGGGATCCCCCCGGGCGGACCGACCTTCCGACCAGCGACGACCACTTGCCTTTCCTGTGCATTTGTGCGTGCGGGCGGGTCCAATCCAGCATTTCGTTTGAGTTTCGACCGTGCGGTGAATGCGAGGAATGTGTTCTGAAAGGGGATCCACCCCCTGATGCTTCTCCATTTCACATTCCGTTTTAATGATCTTGTCATTATTTGGATTGCAGTTGTGAGAATCCGTGGCAAGTATGGATTTGCCCTCGATCGATTCTTTGCTCGGATCGCGACGGAGAGTGTATGCGATATTCAATCTCTGGCCGACATCGGTAAAGATGGGAATGGTCGATTGATGGATCGCGGCGCTGCTGAGGGAGGGCGCGATGCTCGTTCTACGTGATCTGAAGAAAATCTCAAAGACGTCTACGTCGAGACGGTCGATCGCAACCTTTGGCCATGATAATCATTCATATACGTAGACAACGGTGGCTGAGGATTCTTTCATCGAGACCAATGAATCTTCATTGCGTGGTCATACTCCACGTGGGGCTCATCGACCCTTACAGGACCACACTCCTAGATGGAAGTCCAGGCTATGCCCGGTGAAATGCGAATGTAGAGAATGCATCACCACCGTCAACAAAGCAATTCCTGTGCCGGAACTCCACGATCCCTCTGGTCGAAAGCATATCCTCTTTCTACATGACGCTCTGTGTGCAACGGGAGTTCTCGTTTCCGTCTGTGTAGGATGGAATCCCATGTGTGAATGTGTCAACAACAAAGCGATTTGTTTGCTGGAACTCCACGGTTCCTCTGAGTCGAAAGCATATTCTCTTTCTTCTCCTCGTTGAAGGATCGCTCCGCAATGGCTCCCGATCGTTTGCGCAGATGGCTTTCACAACACCATTCTCGTGGGTGTTTCTTCACACATGCAAGCAAACAGGAGATCATGCTCCTTTCACCAGCTCTCCCTCTCAAGCGAGATATAAGAGCAGAAAGAAATCATCATGGAGGCTCTTGATCATCACACACCGGTTCATCAGGAGTCTCCAACAGTCTTGAAGAGTGAACAGCCGATTTGACTCATTTCCACGAGAGACTTCACCATGTATCCCGGCAGCAGGCGTTCCTCTCGCAGCCCCTCGGTCTACGGACCACCATCGCCCATGCGAGAGTGGTCCCCGAGCGTCTTCTACGGCGGCGGCGATCCCCTCAACGGCGGCCACCACCGAGTCTCCCCCTCGCCTCCTTCCTCTCGTCGAGCCAGCGTCAGCAGCCATGGCAGTCGCCACAGCCCCACGCGAGAGTGGTCTCCAATCGTGTTTTTCGGCGGCGGCGATCCCCTCTCCGGCGGCTTCCACGGCCTCTCCCCTTCGCCGCCTGGCTCCCGCCGAAGCAGCGTCAGCAGCCATGGCAGCCACCACAGCCGTCACAGCAGCCACCACAGCGACCACGGGAGCCACCACAGCAGCCGCCACAGCAGCCGCCACAGCAGCCCGCTCCACGATGTCCCACCACCAGGTTCTCCGCACAGCCGTCGTTCCTCCCGATCCTCCTCCTCAAGCGCCTCCTCCCCGCCGGGCCTCTTCGCTGGCCCCGTGCCGGACAGCAGCAGCCTCTCGCACCGCCGCTACGCGCCGAACTTCGCCTCCTCCTTCGGCGCCTTCTCCGTGGATCCGGCCGTCCGCGATCCGCCGCCGATGACCGGGCCCCGCGGCCCCAAACGACCTTACGTTCGGACCGGCACCCGGGCCATCAGCCCCCTGCGAGCGCCCGTCAACGGGGACATCTTCGCGCCGAATGTCACGCCGGGCTCGTTTCAGCGCGCGGGCCTCAATCATCTCAACGACGGCTCGTGGAAGAGACGTCTCGATCCGACGGAGTCTGAGAGAGCGCCCCGTAGACGCCGCTAGTGGAGGCGCGCTTGAGTGGAGTTTGTTTGCTGAAAGGGGACTTGAGCTTGATATCAGGATCGGTGGTCTTGGGTTACGCTATCCTAAGATTGGGGTCTTGATGGTCGATTTGTATTGTCTTGGTTGATGATCACTGGTGCGGTTGAAGGGATGGTATTGCGCGATCGGAGAATGTTAACGAGAATTTTTTTCTTTTGTTGGGAGTTTGTTGGAATTATTTCCTTTGCGAGACCGTATTTGCGGCAGCGTGATTTTGTATAACAATGATCAATCGAAGTTTTTCATATCTGCAAAAACCTTCTCCATCGTACAGCTGATGATTTCGTCCCAAGTCGTGATATCTTAATCTCGAATGGTCTGTCCGACTTCTCTCTTCGGCTGCAGATGGAGTGGTGTGCGACGCGATAGGCAACTTGATCCATGTTCAACACACCAGCCATGTCGGCTACTCCTCTTCTCATTGACAGGTATGTCATGAACCCAGAACAACATCTGTCGTACAGGACAGCCATGATGTGCATGATGAGATGCCTTACCCAGTCTCTATTTCAATACACCCATATCAAAGCACGATTTCCCTAATCGCAACCGATGGCGCGTTCGGTATTTGTAAACAGAAGGTACGCCTGATTTCTATGAATTTACCAGGGATCCACACTGGCCTTCCTATTTGGAACCAATGAAAATTCGATCTCAGACGACGCCTTTTTTTCCGAACTGGCGAACCACATGGAAATTACCCGCGTGCGTCGAAATTTCGGCTTCTGGGTAATTTCCTTTCGAGGCTGCCTTGCTAAGCGCGATGCATGGGCGAGATGCGTACCTCCATCTGAGCTTCTTTTTCTGATGACTTCGTTATCAATACAAAAGCCGCTCGCGCCGGCTTCACGGCCAGATTTCCCAATGACAGGGCGCCACGATGGGGATCCAAAACTGTCGTACGAGAGGGTAGGGGAATATCAATTGTGCGACGTGATCTGCTCGTTTCAGAGTAGTCTCCATGCACTGTACGCCAGGGCGCTTTCTGCTGTGAGACTTGCATCGCATGGAAACGGTTATAAGAATGCCGGAAAGTAGACAACTGCAAAATGGGCATCATGGGTCGTTTTGTTGAATAATTATCAAAGCAGCTGCTTTTCTTGAAGTGGAATCCGTTTACTACGGACGGAATCGCCAGAAAGAAACGAGTCATCAATCGCTCCTGAGTCAATCTGCAAACCGTCGTCCCGAATAAACAGAGATAAAGACATCATGTGTCACGGAAAGCTTCTCCTCTGTGCTCGCCGCGGCCACACAGTCCAGAGCTGGGTCGAAAGCGTACCTTGTGGAGTAGGTGGTCATCAACGCCAACTCGTAGTGGGCACCCACCTCAGAGTTTGCCAATGGTTCTGGTGCTATCACAACAACTACCGGGATCCCAAGAAGCTCTGCCCATACTGCGAGGAGGAAGAAGATTCCGGCGACAGCAACTTACACCCGGCGCTGTGCAACCCGCCGAGAGACCGTTACAGCCCTGAATGACAGAACGGCGAAGCTGACTCACCATGCCCATGATTGCGAGTTGATCGGAGCTGGTCTTCATCCTCGTACGAATTTGAATCGATATGGCAACCAAGAGACTGGGGGGTTTTACAGATGTTTGCCGGAGCAGAAGCTTGCTAGCTCCCAAGCCAATCAGAGGCGCAATTGAACGATAGTAGCGGCTGGACTGACTACATGCGAGGCGAGCTGATGCCTTAAAAGAAAGTTCTTAACGGAAGCTTGTAAATAGTATTGGTATGAGCGGGATGGGCTTCGCGTTTGTTGTTTCTGACGGAAGGATGGGAGCGCTATAGAGTCCATGGTGCTCATGATGTTGTGCCGCGTGAATCCGATGAGTGGCTTGGAGTCCTTTTCCCGAATCCACTGCTTGAGCCTTTGATACATTGTAATTTAATTAGATGCTCATGGTGCCTAAGTATGGCTTCTCGAATTTTCGTTAATGTCGTCGAGCTGGCAATCGTTTGTCAAGGGATCAATGCTGGCTACTGCTCCAATGGTGTAGCGATTTGAGATTCATGTTGTCAGGGATCTCAACTCTTCCCAAGACCCGTGTGCGATTCGGTAATTCATTCCAATCTGGTTCGAAAACAGAACGATTAGTCAGAAGTGAGCGCTGAGCGACAGGCACACCGCACATTGTTCATGCCCAGCTCACGCGCCAGCGAAAGCCTTGTTCTGTACCATCGTGTTACTGATGAAGCCTCTCAGAGCAGCCCATCGATCAGCCTGCTGAGGAGCAGAGACTGCTGGAGTTGCTGCTGTGCGACCTGCAGATGCTGCTTGCGCATTATTGCCGCCGACCATGACAGCCAGGTTCTTTTGAAATCTCTCCATCTCCCGTCCTTCCATGGCCATTTTCTTCTTCATCGCACCAGGGCGATGCTTGAGACTTGTCATGACCATTTTGCCTTGTGCCGAAGCTGCGGTAGGCTTTCGTCTTCTGCGCTTCTTCGCCGCCGTGCCTGGTTGTGTCATTGATACATCGCCATCGACCGTCAGGGCATCCGCCTCGTCGCCAGAGATGCCTTCCCAACCCTCATCTTCGCTGTCCAATAGCTCATCGTCCTCGTCCACATCCGGTAGCGCATCCGCCAGCTCGCCAATATTGCCCTTCAATTTCTTCGTAGGACGTCTCGGTTTTGCAGAAGGTTTTTGGATTCCGCCATCGCGAACTTTTGCGAGCAGCGAATTGTGCTTAATTGTGCGCTTATCACGCTTGTTAAGACGCCATGCTGCGCTGTCATCGGCGGGATATCGGCTGTTAGACAACGAAGTCTTCGTTTTGAGAATTGACGGAAGGGATTCCGTGGCTGAGGCTGGCGGTGCGGGCTCGTATCCGTCTTCTGGAGGCGCATAGCGTCCTCGAGGATCTTTATTCGCTGCCCGAGCAGCTCGTGCTCGTATACGTGTCGGCGCCATTGTCGCAGATGTGATTTACGAAGATATTCCGCCGTGTTGGCAATGAGGTCATGTCGGTGGTGGTTCAAAAAATTTAATGGGAGCCGCAAGTGCGTTCCTGGCGCAAAAATGGGCCGAGCCGTAGCCCTCAAGCATTAAATTTCATGCCAGCATTGGCATTTCAAGCCCTTGGATTCACTATTAAATACCTCGTCATTTCATTGGGCTTCTACGAAATCATCTCAAATGGGCCATCGAGGTCTGCGCCTGCCCAAATTTCTAGCACATTACACGAAGTGATATTCTGTTACCAAAACAAGCTGCATCGGCTCGACTTTGGGCACACTGCACTTCTGCAAAGCAACCCGCGCTGCAAGTCATCGACCAGCCGAACCGATGAATCCTGCCTCTGAGCGCGGATTAACCAGAACCAGCTGAGAGAGGCCATGAGAGGAAATCCAAGTTCACGCAAACATACGTGGCATTGTCTTGCGAGTGATGCCATGATATCCCCTGAAGCCCATGTCTAATGGGGACAGGCTTTGAGACCCTCGCTCGATTTCGCCATGACGTGTGCCCTACAAGGATCCGTCATTTCGGATGGGGCAGTCCGACAACCTGATGTAAATAAGTTGGCATTCCTTTCCACCATCTCGGGGTGAAAGCCAACGAATTCCTTCTAAGTTATAAGCGAATTGAACATGAATGAGCCATCCGAGTGCCCTGTCCGATGTCACCGGTCCACGGAATTCGAATCAGTCGCGCTTCCAGAGCAGGCTCTTCCATGTTTTCATAGGGACTTCCTCCTCGACATTGCCCTTAGCTCGCAGCCCTTGTGTCGCTATTGTTGGCATGGCCGCCGCTGAGCTGTCTACGCTCGATTTGGTGATTGCAATGGGCATCGAGTTCGACAAGGCAGGTACTGTCTCGGCCGTTGCGGTGATTTCAGCTCTGGCGTTTGTCTTCTCGACCCCGAGCCTCCATGTCACGGCTGCTGTCGCGATCCCGATAGCCACCACAACCAAGGCGCCCGCTGAACGTAGCTCAGCTCGGTATTTGTTGCGTTCAGCTTCCCACGCAGCTTCACGGATCGACCCAACCTCCGTCCGGCGCAAAAGCTTTCCTCTCGTGCGTGCCAGCACTGCCTGGGATCGTCGAATGGACCTCGAATGGGACGACAGCAGCGCTTGTCCGAGTGCAAGCGCCCGACCCGAAAAGGCAGATGCCGCTTTTCGATATCTGCGAGACTCCACTGCTTGGGCCACACTGTTCTTCACTGAGCTTTCCGAGACAGCCTGTGGCCCCGGTACATATGGATCCACCTCACTCGATTGAATCAGCTTCAGTGAAGGACTGTGTTCGACCCGATTCAAGCGCGAAATTTTGTTAAAGTGCTGCGTTTCACGACTGTTCGACAAGGCTTGTAACGCGAAGAGAATACTGGCTCGTTGGTGTGATGTGTTGTGGAGTCCGCGAGTCGCTGCGCACCTACATGTTGGGGCGACTGTAGCAGCCCTCGAGGACGCGTGGGTTAGTACTCTGGTCGCCATGGAAATGCAGGGGGCCCGAACACCGCACGCCTTTGCCTCTATTCAGCAGTGTCGGCTGTAACTGCTAGCATAAATGGAGGAAGAATTGTCTTCAGAATCGTCGCATCATCATTCTGGACGATCTATCATGCAGGCGGATCGCGTCTTATCGTGGCGTGACGCGGGGTAGACTTGTGACAACGATAAGCCGCCTCATAGAACGCCAGAAACACGGCTCATTCATTAAATGTCTACTATATCGCGGAAGATACATTTACAGTAGTATACAATTGCGAAGACCATCCAAATATGGTAGGCGCCATTATTAAGACATCTGCAAGCATGAGCAAAGCAAGCATGAGCAGCAAATACAAGCTCTCTGAGCGAACAAATCCGTGCACAGTGAATACACCTGGTTGCATGTGTCGGTCAAATCGGACAGGGCACTCCGATGGACTCCGATAGCCTCACCAAAACAATATGTCATTCGAATCTATCCCCGCGAAAATCAAAATCCTAACTGTCAATGGCACTGTCCATCGTGATGTTCTCGTCTAGCGCGTCTCATAAAACTCGACAATCGAGGGCACTACCCATCGTGTTGTCCTCGTCCGGTGCGGCTTGTGATGGATGACAGCACGTCAGCAGGCATAACTTTGATCTTTTGGAGGCATTTTCACCAAAGAAAAAAGCTCCACGACAGCCACCAACGGGAAAGCGCTGTTCTGACATCTAAAATGCATCACTACGCGAAGAGGATTGACTCTCGTACTACGGGATATGATAATTCCAAGGTTGTAGTTGATATGATATATATACAGTTGACATATTCACGGGTACATATAGGGCTCGCTTGGCACTTCGGCCCGCACAACTGCGATCCAGCTTGGGGGACTCTCTTCACCGTCCCATCACCCTGGCTCGAGATGGTGACGTCCGAACATCGTTTTGCTGTGCGCCAGGCTGCTCGCGCCAATGTTCAATGCCTCCGGCAATCTTCGCAATGGTGTAATCAAGCTGCAAGTGTCGATCTGGACAGCGCCCAAGTTGATTCAAGCCTCACGGGCGACCGCGCAGCCACCGCCTGTCGTTGCATTTGTCTTCGAAGCCGCGTAGAGTCAGATGCAGTGCGAGCGTCCGTGTGATGCTCCCCACGGCCATCTTTTCAGAGTCCATCTCGGTGAGAATTTTACTGATCTACGGGCAGATGGCTGCGAGATCTTCGCAGTCGCTTGCTGTGATGTTTGTCGAAATAAAACTACACGACTCCTCGCTATCGCTCTTTGAGGATGACCCTGGCTGAAAACGAGAGTAATGAGAGGGCAAGCTGATTTCGCTCTGAATAGAGGCTCACGCTTGAAAAGACTTGTATTTACATCATCGCGAAGAAATTGCGTGTCCAGACAAGAATCAAAAAGATATTTCAGCAGTGGTCTATATGAGATAAAAGGAACGTATAAAAGAGCCTGTTCCCACGAGCACGTCTGTTCGTGAGACAGTAATTTCCGTATGAGCTCGCGAAATTCGAGGCCCGATGCAGGACAACAAGTGTACCGCTCATCACTATCGGTACAAGAAGCTACATTGCTATGACCCTGAGGATACATCGGTGCCCTGGCTCGAACGACACATGATCCAGTGGGCACATGCGGAAAGACAAGGGGCGAGGCAACACTATTCACAGAACGGAACGCTGCTCAGCATCATCTGCGCACAGGCTGCTGCGGACGTGTCAGCGTGGCCGACCAAGATCTTCCGGCTTGTTCAATGTGAGCTTGTTCGGGCCGCAATGCAGACTTCGGGCTCTTTTGTTTGTTCCTGCGGGTTCTTCCACCCTAGTAAATCAAGCTCATGGTAGGTACGGGTCGCAAGTCGATCAAGTCCCGTCTCCCATGAATTCATCCACAAGTACCGCCGGTGTGGCAAACCACGCGTTGAAGGACCCACGTATTCTTCCACATTCGTGTAAAATACGCCACAGTGCTGCGAAGCGCTGAGCTGGATTTGCTCCAGGTACATCCTTGCAGCTTCCACACCAACCTCATGTCAAGATGCTAGGTCAATGAGCTACCACGTCGACTGGCGATGCCTGCCATCGCCGGGGGTACTGTCGAGGTGTGACTGCAGGCATTGCTCCATCGAGCACATTTGCGACATTCAAAGTCCCACCCACTCATCTTCGAGCAACATGCGCTGGCCGAACGGAAGGACGATGAGCACAAATATCGACCGAGCCACTCAACAAACAGCATACAAATGGACTCGACTGATTGTTCTGGTTAATCTTGATCCCCGCATCCTACCCAATTGCAAATATGAACTCCTGTGGTCGACGTGCAGACTCTTCGGATGATGAGACTCCACGACCGGCACGACGTTTGTCTCTACCAGGAGCCAAGTTCATTGCAGAGCTACCCAAGAAGTCCAAGGAAGATCTCAAGAATGTGGAATATGATTTTGAACTCAAGAGCGAAGAAGTAAAGGCATGGGAACTTCGCGGATCTCCAAGAGTCATGCCACATCTCATGGCTGGACTTCCCGACGCGGAGGTGATTATGATGTCCCCTGGTCAGATGGCACCCCCGGACGTGCTATACTATCAGCACTGGGCGGTCAAGATCCGCGAGCACGAAGCAGAACGACTTCGCCGTCAGGCCGTGCGTGCGCATCAAAACCATCAAGCGATGATTGCACGCATACAGACACAAGCCCGAGAACGTGTGGGTGTTGCTGAATTTGAACTCGCACAGTACCTGGAAGCGGAGCGAGCGAGAATCGCACAGATCAACGCTCAACGGCTGGTCATGATGCAGGAAGCTCGCAATAAGTCAATTTCTCGGGTTGGCATGGATGAAGATGCAGCCCAGGTACGTAACAAGCAGCGCATCAATGCCGCAAGTTCACATGGGCAGCGATACTATACGACTCAATCATACCAACCAGGCGGCTCGGCCGGTTCATCACGATACAATTCCGGGAAGCCAAGTCTGAAGAGCAAAGCCTCCTCCGAGGCGCCACATGGCGGACACGGCGATAATATCGGACGTGCACGATGATGATCGTCGCTTGAAATAGCAGTGTTCGCTAAACCCAATTGTTTTATTCGACAGAGCTCGATTCAATCTCCTGCCCTTTTCCGTTCACACTTTTTTCTTCACTGTATTCACGATGACGACGGTCTGAGATGCGACAGACCCATCCAGCTCAAGATGATCTCGCTCTATAAAGCTGGCTCAACCATAAGTCGTAATGTACTTGCTCTTGCCGGTTTATCAAGCAGGACAATGTAAATTGATGCTTTTCGTGCACTCTGCAAGATCATGGATACGTTCTGGAAGTACTAAAAGTCCCGCCCAATCTACGGACCTGACTCCGATGTTTGTGCGACGATGAGGACCGATATGTCATCCGACCTACCTTCGATAAACCTGAAGGCGTGCACCTCCAGCGCACATTCGCGAAAGCCAATCGCGTGTTGGAAAATGGGATGGACAAAACGATACCTCCACGTCAGCATTCATGTTGCACGGCAGAGGGGCTGACCATCGATGATTCGATATTGCTTTGTGCTGTCATGTACCACATCGGTATCCCTGACGGGATCACACTGAGCGCTCCGCAGAGAAGGGCAATGCCGGGGTGCTTTCTTGTCGAATGGTGAAATATGTGGGAGCAAATTCTCATATCGAGGATAAAATGCTCGCCACTCATTTACTCCCGCATATGCTCAAACAATCTACAGCGAAAATGGAGTCGGATAAGCAGCTGATGACGACTCCGGTCAATCGAAAGAAGGAGGAACAGGGCTCGCCTGATCCATCCGACGTAAGCACCGAAACCAGCTGTTCCAGTCCTGAGCCATCTCCTTTCCGTCTTCCACCAGCCTGGGCCAATTCGCCATTCTTCGCGATGCTTCGCCAGCCAATGAAGCCCTCTATCCAGCCGAAGCGCTTGGCTGCGAAGCCACAAGCGCGGGTACAGATCTTCGGCGACTTAGTGCTCATCGACGGCGAATACGAGGAGATTCTCTTGCCACCTTCTGTTATGGTCTCCAGAGAAGACTATGAGCGACAAAGCCGAGCGTACCTGGAACAACAATGGAGGATGTTCCCAGAACGAAGGGCGCGGCTCGCACCATACCCAGGTACTGTCAGACAGCGTGTACGACCGGAGCTAAAGAGTGAACATACATCAAGCGAGCCTTCAATCAACCCAGGTGATGAAACGCCGACTCAGGCGATCGGGTCTTCCACACTGAATGCTTCGCATACTGAGCTCGAATCTGATGAACACAGTCCGTCGGCTTCGTTGGCGGTCATTGGAAATCAAACCCTGCAAAGCACTGGCACTTTCCCACAGGCTGTTGAAGAAGATGCAGATCCCACAGAATAGCCTCCACTTGTCGAGCAATCTGTTGCATCAAATTGCGCTTATAAAAGGTGCCACAAATCAATTTCGCCAACTCCCCGAGCAAATGGAGCCGGTGCAACGAGCAAAATGCGAAGAAAATGTCTCCAGAAGCTTGCTCTGTCATGTTGGGGATGTTCTGTGCCCGGAGAGGTATCGTTGCACAGATTGTGCCGCCCGCCATTCGATAGTCTGTGTTCCTGTACCACAGCGTTGCGATGTCATGCACGCTCAGTATTCCTGTTTTGGCATTGTGCTCCGAGGAACTACGAAGCGCACTCCGTTGTGCAAATGGAGCGATGGCATGATGAACGATGATCACGCTCGTCGCGACGTTGCTTATCAATGAAGCACTGGTCCCTGAATACATTTACGTTCTACTCTGCTTCGCCTTAGCGTTGTCACAATTATCAACCTTGAACTCCATGATTTGAGCAACGTCATCGTGCTTAGGTACGATGTCGATTCTACATTCTCGCGACAATTTGAAACCCAACGAGGCGTGCATTGCTCTGTCCGAACTATTGCAAGATTTTGAGCAGACCAAAAAGGCCAAGATTCTTCACGAGGAAGAATCACATACAATCGGAAACCAAAGCGATCAAGTTGACTCCTCCGACCAGCTATGCGGTCATGACAGCGAAGTCAAGAATCCCCGAAGCAGAGCCAATTCGGCAAATGCATGGAGTATCGTCAGATCTCCGCTGAGACAGGTTACTTTCGCCCATGAAGTGTCCGACGATGCCACATCCGAGGTGGATCACGATGCCAGGAGATCGAAGCTCGGCTATCGGTGCTCGCTCAGCTTCCGACCGATAACTCGCTCTAGACGCAAATCAAAGCGCATCGCGGGGTCCGCGGGAGAAACGAGTGAAGATGAGTCCGAGATTGGTGTGTCCCAGAGGAAGCTTTCGCTTTTCAGGAAGAACGAGCACTTTTCTCGGAGCGCCTTGTCGGTATCGTCGCTTGCGGCTACTTCTGAAGAAGGAAGATTATCAACAACACCTAAGAACCCACCTAAGTCACAGCTCAAGGGTCGTTCGAAATCGAGCCCACACATGCCATCGATGGTATCGCCGCCCGGGCTCCGTTCGCTGCCTCTTCATGAATCAGCCCTTGCAAGCGACTTTGCATTCCTAGCAGACCGCCAGACGATAGCTGTTCGGAACGTGCGATCAATTTCCATTGCAAGCATCCGAGAACGTAGGTTAGCAAAAGCCGCGAGGATTCCTCCTCAGCTCCCGCCTGTCGAAATTACACCTTTTAACATAGATGTTGTTTTCCCGAACATTTTAGTGGGTGAAGAGACGGAAGATCCCAGAGGCTCTCAGCCGAGCGACGAGCTGGAAGGTACGAGGAGCACCATGTTCTACGATTTGCCCGGCTCTTGGAGCAATAGAAATCGACGCAACTCGGCACGCAAACCACCCCCATTCGGGCTCCCATTATCGCCGAGACTACCACAAGAGAGGAGAGGAAGTCTGTCCGACATTGATCAAAATTCAAAGACGGACTCGAGATACGGTGAGATTTTCCCCAGCAGCTTCCCGAAATCTTCTCAAAGCTCCCTGTATGGCAGTGTATTGTCCACTGCCAACAATTCGAGCGTTAAAGGAAGTACAGCGGAGCAAGACAACGGCGCATTCTCCGCAGTCAGCTTGCAGTCCTCTTGCTCACCACATAGCAATCTTACTACGCATGGGCCACGGCGCTCTCATACATCCAATGAGGTTCACTCAAAACCGATCTGCCGGACATCTGACCAGCATTGCGCACAATCTCATCTAACAACCGCACGATCATCGGAATTGATCGGAGGGCAATCATATCTCGATCTGAACGTCATCAAGAGCCGTGACAGTCGTTCGTCATCGTTGAGCTCTGAGTCGGGAATTCTGCACATGCGCACTCACAGGAGGGATCCGCCACCGTCAGTAGAGTCTCGAGATAGGGACTCACCTGTGGATGCGTTCAGATTGAAGCGCTTGAAACGAGTCGTTCAAAAAGGGAGACAGGGCACACCGTCTTTTGTTCCTGATTGGACGTTCCCGACTGCATCTCACGATGATAAGAATTACAAAGCGGTGCCGGATGGTTCTGGTTCACATGATCATTGCCTCAACAAGCCAAACGCAGTACCTCGATTCGTATCAAGGGGCATCTCTTTGGTCTCTGATACGGACGAGCCGGCCGCCAAAGAGCGTGTCACGTCGGCCATATGGTTTGGGCAAAGCAAAGAACATTGCCACAACGGCGTCCTTGTCACCGATCAAGGGCTATTTGTGAAGAGCAATCGAATTCAATCAAATGACGAGCAGTTAATGTTCACAGTGAGAGCACCGAGTCCCCCTTTCCAATACGAAAACTGGCAATCCTCAAGCACGTCTTCAAGGACAGATGACGAAGATGATACAAACGCCTGGCCCACAGCCTCCTGGAGGAAAGGCGATGACGAATCTTTGTGGGCCAACACAGATCCTTCAAGTTTCACGACGGTGTCTGGTGAGCAGAGATCGATGAACGACTATATGCTTCAAGAAATGCTGGATGAAATTCGAGCCGGCGATTTGTCAATGATGAGGAAATCAGGCGAAAGTCTACGCTCAGCGCCATTGTTATACGGGTCTACGGTTCCGGACGTTGGCGATGATGAGCCGCCTATTGCAATGGATGAGCTAGATCATTATCGGCGATCGCTGGATCGAAGAGTACTCGTCCTCCTGGAGCAAGATAGACTCCAGAATTCACAGGACAGCCATTCACGCGAATCTCTCGGATCCAACAGTGATTCGAAGTCACAATTCTCGATCCCAGGAAAGTACAATCATCCATCCTATCTCCAGCTGAATGGACTCGTCAGTCAACCCGTCATGACCACAGAAACGTGATGGCGTGTGAGAGAAAAGCCTTCGTTCCGCGTTACTGCTACCTGGATAGCGCTGGTCATTTGGGAGACAACAAATTCTGTACCACATCGTCACGCTTTGTAGTGACGAAATATGTTTGTTCATTGGCGCGAGTACTTGCGTGTTGCGTTCAATCATCATCATCTCATCTGACTATACTTTGCCCGGACGTCACTGGCCGCGGAATCGAATGAAGCCGAAGGAGTAGTTAATTCTCGACTTTGCGATGATATTAATGCCAATAGCGGTGAATCCATTGTATATTATTACGAGACAAGGTAAATCAACTATTAATCATGATCGATCGGTGTCAGTTCCATCTAAACATGGTTTAATATTCGATCTGCTCCGTATCTGCTCGTGAAAGCATCATCTTCCTCTACAAAACCTAACTTGCCTTTGATCCTCAATCCGTCATAGGTATCAGTCAAATCAGAATGAGCACCCCGAAGAACAATCTGATGCTTCGTTCCTACGCCAACGAATATGGTCCTTACCAAAATTTATGTCTTTAAAGGTCGAGTACAATGCTGACTCGTTCTCGTTCGGCCGTCGAAGTTCCCTGTCCGCTTTGACCGATCCATGTATTCAATGGTTGGGTCTCGCTCTTCGAGAACGTATGGTGCTTCGTGATGGGAGACAATTTGCATTCCTCCTTCTGTTTGCTGCTGTGCGACCTTCGGGCTGCAGTTGTCGGGATCCCTGTGCCTTGTCTCCCGAAATTTCTTACGCTGCTATCGCAGACGCTTCATGCAGGAAAGGTCATGTACCTTGTGATGAAGAGCCAGCAAATTGTACATTCATGTCGCTTGAGTAGATTCGATGCAGCTTTATCCAATCGAGTCGGTATCTCAGTAAATCGACACAACGAGCGTCGAGTGTGTCTCTATTCACCGCGGCTTCCATTCTCTGCATATTTTGATATTCTCTGGGTCAATGCAGGTCTTGCTCGTCTCTCATGTCTAGTGATGGACATCTCGACCCATCAGGCATCATCTAACGATAACTCAACAGCGCAATTAACGTCACAGGCGTCACTCATGGCGAACCCGAAGATTGTCCAGGAAAGTGATTACGTGCAATTCAAACGCTTCCTCGACCATGATGTCTTCATGGACCGATGGACCGCGAGCGAACAAGATCGTTACGTATCAGGGCCATTGTTTCAATGGGACTGGGGTGAGCCAGGAGATCATCGCGATCGGTGAGTCCGTGACAAGAATCTTGCTGAATCAATCCATCGCTGACGTCCTCGCAGGTTCTGGGCGACGCGGATGCAGCTAACGTGGCAAGCGAATGCGGACGCGAAGTGTCCTCCATTGCCGCCTCCTGTGGGTTCCAATTGTGATGACATTTGGGCAAGACTGCATGTCTCAGCCCGTGCAAACGACGAGCGTGCTCGCTATGCGATCAATCGTATCACTGCTGCAAGCAGCTCGATCGCTGCCAAAGGCGAATTCGAGGGTATGACCCGAGGCAGCTATATCCTGAGTCAAGCCTCACAACTAGGACGAGCGCATTTCCGTCACACTGCTTCAGCTCCTTCTTACCATCATTTCGGATCAACGCAACGGTCTGTCTTCCAGAAATTTGCCGAAATGCAAATATATGCGCAGTATGTTTTTGCCTTACGTCGAATCGATCCCGTCACCAATGCTATCGCCGCCAAGAAGGAGAAGCAGATGGGAGGTGCTTCCACCGAGCAGTCCAAACTGTGGCAAAAGGGCGAATGCGCATATAATCGCGCCATTTATGGCGAGCAGATGGGATGGATAACAATTGCGCCCTCACCAACTCCGTGGGCGGTACTCCCAGGGCTTCCTCGGAGGGGCTCTCGTACGTCGCCATTTTCCACTGCGTCTCTGTTGCTTCCGATACCTGGTCTCGTGCCCGGATTTATACCACCACCAGGCTGGCGCCTCTCCTACGAGCAATTCTCCGGTCTGCAGGCTCACGGTACGATAGCCAGCGACGAAGTCTGGAGCGGAATGATGCCATTGCCCGCCATGCTGAACCCTGCTCTTAGTGGCATAGGCTTTGCGCAAGTGCCTGTGGGAGATCTGATCAGCGGGCATGCCACGATGTTCGGCAATGAACGCCTAAGTTTCTTGCATGTGCCGGCAGACGGAGAGCAATCGACACAATCAGATGCACAGGAATTGCACAACGGCAGCTTCCGAGCAGTCAATCGTACGAACGGACGCATGAAACAGTCGGTGTTGTCTGCTTCCGAGATTAATAGTAGGAGTCGAGTATCTCGTAGGAAGACCGAAGTCGCGAAGAGCAGTGGCTCTGGAGAGAGCAGCTAGTGGCTAATGGATCATCCATGCAAGGGGCGGAGAATGCGATGACGATTGCGTGGAGGACAAGGCAATTTGGTGTAATATTTGAAGGAATTGGTTTCAGCAACCGTGATCTAGCAACACCACATTGTACGAAGTAATGAGATGATACCTTTAGCGCCCGTGTTCTCTCGTCCAGCTACGACAATTATTCGAATGAAAAAGCGGCCGGGATCAGCATAACAAAGCTGTTGAGCTTGCTTTCCGGCTCATAATTTACTAGTATCATGCACAAGTGATTCAAAGTTCTCATTCCATACATATCGTAACCTCATTCCTATCCTAAACGCATCATATAAGCAAGGTGTATATGGCGCACCTAAACGACGTTTCCACCCATTTATCTCCCATCATGATCATCAATACTCAAGTCATACACCATTTGATATCCAAGCGAAGTCCACAATCGCTTACAACAGCAGAGCACCGGCAACGACTCCCAGAACTCCAGCAGCGCTGCCCATCACACCAGCATAGTTAGTCGGCTTAGCAGCCGCGCCGGAGGAGATGTCAGTGGCTGCTTGCGCGACGCGGATACCGTAAGTCGAAAGAGTCTCAACCACGCCATTGGTGTTGGTAGAAGTATAGACGCCGGTGGAAGTGGTCGAGGCGGTGCAAGAGGTCCAGGAAGTCCACGGGGCCGCAGTCGACCAGGAAGACTCGGTCCAACCTGAGAGTATTGATGTCAGCATGATACGAGGACGAGGCATAGATACGGCGAAGAATGCTGCAAATCCTGAAAGCAGGGAACGAAACGAGGAAAGACCGAGACTTACCAGGCCATGTGCTAGGAGGGCAAGCGCCGGTTCCCCACCAGCTCGTCCATGCGCCAGTAGTCCAGTCGCCGTTGCTGTTCCACGGGCCCTGACCCCAGCCATTGGCGCCGCCGAAGGGACCGTGGCCGCCAGCACCGCCGTGCCAGCCGCCAGGGCCGCCGTGGACAGCAGGGTCGGTAATACCAGGGCCCCAGGCGCCGGTACCAGTAGCGGTCCACAAGCTCGACCAGCTAGATGCGTAGGAGGACAGACCAGTGGGCAATGGGTGGGCGGAAGTTACTGAGGCCCATTGACTGCTGGCGGTGGGCCATGCGGTCAGGCTTGCGGCGGAGGTCCAGGATTGAAATTCGGAGTAGGCCGACGAGTCTGCTGTTGGCCAAGGTCCGGCGGGAGCATTGGCAGGGCGCTGTGGAGAAGCGGCAGCCAAAGTGGCGATGGCAAGAGAGGCGATAATAGAGGTCTTCATCTTGTTGGTTGAGGACGTGCGAAGTTGAGTGTTTGATGATGATCTTGTTTAGTGTGTTTGATGGTTGCTGAGTGTGGTGGAGATGAGGATGAAGAGAAACTTTAGATCGAGCTACGGATCGCCCTACATATATATGTTCAAGGTTACAGCAAATGCTCTCCCCAGCGACGAATATCAAGATGGCGCGGATGGAGGTCAGACGAGAATGCGCTTCCTTCTTGCGATGCTGATCATCAGCATAGTCTGGGAATTACCTGATGCCCGCGCCATGGTTATGACGAGGGTTGTGGCAAGGCTGGCACAACGGTCAGTCACTCGGTGATGCTCCGGGACCTGATATCGCACGCAGTCATCACCATGCACCGCATCGTACTGCGAGAGAGAGGAAGAACGCGCGGCGCCGCTTGCTCCTGTCGTTACACCGAATCCGGATCAATGCTGGGTCGCCATCATTCTTGACAATGAACAAGGCTGGGCCCAATCTTTCGGAGCCGACGTTTAGCATTCCCGACAGCTCGTCCGGCGGATCGATGTCAGGAACTCTAGGAACCAACCCCTCGACTTTCCGGCACTGGACAGTAGCGTATAGTGATCATCACCTAAGGGGCCAAGAATCCATGGTTCGAACACATGTAGGCTCTGGCAACCGTGAAACGGCTACACACCTGCTGATCATTCGAAGATGTGATGATGATGTAAGGTAAAGGATGTCGTGTCTTTTGTGTGCTAAATTTAAGCCTTTTGTTGGGCGATCGCTGGGGATCGTTGAAGGCGGAGTTCGGCTCCCCGCTGGTTGCGCTTGTTTGCCCCTGTGGGCTGCACCGAAAGGGGCGGGATTTTGCCCTTGAATGCAACGGCTGTCTCCCGAGACTCCCGCCACATCTCCATATCAACCTGGCATCACTTTCCGATTGCACAACAGTAACAACATGGCTATCCCGCCGTTGCTTACATCTCGGTCAGCTCTCGGTCAGCAGACCTGGAGAACGTTCGCAACGTCTTTGTGGCAGCACACGTGATGCGATGAGATCGGCTCTTCGGTGAGATTGCAATTCAGAAGTATCGACCTTGCGTCATGCCTAGAGGCTGAAGTTGAGATGAATTCTTTGTCTTTGCCAGCACATTACCATTATGCAAGGTCTTGTCGCGTCTGAGACAAGTCCTGTATGTTGCGTGTGCATGCTGCACATGCTGGCCTCTATACCATTGTTGTGCAGCTTTCCTGCCAAGCATGGCTGACGACAATCACGACGCGCAAGCGGTTCCATTGTACACATGGTCAAGTAGACAGAGACATGCATCGGAATGAGCCTTTATAGCATTTGCAAATGCTCGGAGTGTGCTACTGCGAGTGTTGTGCAGCAGTGAACGCATGCCCCCGCCGAAGCTCCTGGCTCTGGTACGATCTCGTAAAATCGACATCTGGACCCCAGTGTTCGAATCGATGGCCGTTGACAAGAATGCGCCACATATGAGCACGCATATGCGAGACTCTTGCAAGGTCTCATTCCCTTGCCTGCAATGATCGCTTGGGCTACAAAGGCCGGAATCGCGACACGTCATCGACGCTACAAGTAAAGTAGTCGCTCGTCAGGTGTCCTCAACTCGATATCTCTACGTTGTTGATTTGCCTCATATTATCCGGATCACACTGGCGGCCTTAAGCGGTGATAATTTCAGCGATCGGTGTCGAGTAGAGTATTCTGACAGGCCGCGAAGCAAGATAACAGCACCGATACATTTTGTTTTCATTGAATTTCCATTCGAATGGAAACGTGATGGACGTGAGATTCTTACGGAGGGCTTCATTCCATGGATCTGTGCTACAGCCTGAGTTCCATGGGTAACATCCTTCATGACAACTTGCTAGAGTCTTCCACTCCACTCGATCACCTTTTCTAACCAACGTCCACAGGCACACACAGATATCGCCAGCACTATTCCTCAATCGCGATGGCGCTCTCTGCGCTTCGACTCGGCGTAGAATTTGCTTCGAATGGATTGTTCGGCGACAAGACCCTCAGCATTTGGCTGTGAAAAGTGTCTGGTCTCTATGTGGTGTTCCTCGAGAAGTTGCACTCCACGGCTCGGCATACGAACATGGGTGGATGATGTAACACGAGTCCGCTGCTGCGAATCGACTTGTCCTTGGGACGCGTACTCTCGATAAGGTTCGTCCATGTATCGCGAATCGCGTCGTGGCACCGCAAGACCTCTTTGCGAAGACGAGTATCCTGTATAGACAGATGTCGCATCGGAATATACCGAAGAAGCACGAAGGTGTCGCGAACGATCAGACTCGGAGGCCGATTCAGGCTCTCGCCGCTATCAGAGCATCAGTATTGGGTCACGGAGTAGCGCGCGAGCATTGCGCAAAGCTTCATGGATTCGACGATGACCATAGCACTTACATGTTGCATCGCGCGACGTCGGAGCATTTCCTTCCCACCGTCGTCCCATCCTCGTACGCGTTCACTGTTCGTGCTCCGACCATCGTCATGCGCGTCGTTGTACGGTCGAGGGGGAGGATAAGAAGGGAAGTCTCCATGCCTCACAACTTGGCGATCATTGTTGCTGTAATTTGGAGGAGGAATCTGATACTTCACGAGCTCCCGACTGGACGTCTCTTGTTGATGGGAACCGCCTCTCGAATCTTGCCTGCTTCCATGAGCTCTGTTATGGCGGCTTGAGCCATGATGAGAACTTGTGCGTCGATCAGACATCTTTACTGAACCTGACTCTGACTGTTCGGGTGTGAAAGGAGGACTGAACTCCTCCCAGTTGGAGCATCAAGCCGATATTTATGCAACGCGAAGTCGAAGTCACTCGGTACGCCATCTGTCAACAAACAAGTCGATCGTTCTTTCGCCTCATTACTCCATTCGTGCTGCTGCAGGCATACGAAACTTTCACCTGGCCTATCAGAGCAGCATGAACCCATGTCCGTGATAGTCTGGAGATGCGCACAGTCCTCGAAAGGGATGATTATTTGCTCAATAGCCAGAGCAGCAGCTGTTGTTTGGTTCGCAAGGCATCGAGTTGAGGTGTCGAACCCTTTGCCGAACGACCACAAGCTGACGCGGCCTGAATCATTCTTGTCGCAGCAGTCATCGCTGAGCGTTGATACCTGATGTGGCGCTCTTTAGCTTCCTGTATATGCATAGTTCTCATCACATGCATGTCTCAGGATGCTTGATGAGAGACGCTTTCAGGCGCCGGCGCCTAAAATCGATCGTCAATCGACTGTATCTTAAGAACACACTCGAGCAGGCAGGGAGCAGCGCATGATAGAAAACATTTCTTCAAGACGATGCTGTCTGATCTCGAAATGAGTACGGCTTGAGTATTGACTTTAAAAACCCGTCAATGACACGCAGAGTCTCCCGGGTCATGCAAGAATCACTAGCTCTCAAAACGCACCGCTGCTCTCAGCCGGTCGCAAGACGTTCTTCTATGAGACAACACCATCGGGCACACCCTGAATGTGGTACATCCATGTTTGCGCCGATGTCCCGCTTGCTTGACCAGGTCCCTCTGCGCAAAATTTTGTCATTCGAAAAGCATCCTGGGCGAAAGTATTTTCAATCGGCTGTTGACACAATGGGAGCACATCTCCTCTGTATAGGCAGTCTGTCGCACCGTCATGAGCGCGTCTAGAAAGGGATTATGGGTTGGACACTCGCAACTCGTACAACAGAGTTGCAACATTCAATATATTCCATCATCCCTCGTGCAATTCTTGGCGCTTCTGCGGACCTGCATGTCCTCGTCAAGTCCCTGGCACGATGGTATGCAAAATGGAGTGTGAATCGAGTTTCTGTAATACACCTGCTGATTCGCCCACTTTCGTGGGAGTCACGTTGGACAGACAAGTTGGCATGCTTGCATCTTCTGGATGAGTCATTGAGTGAGCAAAGCGACTTGCATTGTGAGGAGGGAACAGAACAAACAGTTTTCCAGCACTATGCTGTGCGGATTCGTGGTCTACAGAGCTTCTTCACAATGCGATTGGAGCTGAAGCTTCAAAGCACTATGTTTGTGTAACCTCAGGTTATGCGTTGGGATCTTTGTGCATCCTCTATGATAATTATTGGCTTGCATCCGCACGATAGTGTATACCTTGCTTCGCGACGTTGGCACTCCTTTCATCACACCGGCATTCTTCTTCTGCGTCAACATTGAAGCCATTACACCAATTTGGGGCCCATGTTTGCTGCAATTCCACAACCCGCAGAAGCATATTGAAACAATATGCGAGGCAGACATGTGCGCAATCCTGTTCATTTCACGCGTTCCACCGTGTAGTACTTGTGCAATTCAGAGGATCAACGCAAGCCTTGCCAGCAAGCACACATCACGACGACTTGTCCACATGATAACAACGTCGGCGGCAGCAAGCTTTGGCAGACCAGACACATCTTAGAAAGAAGAAAGACTTGGTTCCGTTTCGGCATAGTCCGCACGTGTATCAATACTAGCTCGACGAGGAAGGTTGTTCAACGACAGCTCATCACCAGCCACCATCCAAGTGCAACATTCGGACCGCGCCATGGTCCAAGTTTCCAATTTTTCTTTGTGTACAACGAACACACACATCCCCAGTCGTACCCGCAGTGGAGATTCACACAATGTGCAATGTGATGCGCAACAATTCACGGTCGCGAAATTGCGACCGTGTTCACCCTCGTGGGTTTCGGGATCGATTGGTGATACCGCATCTATAGATGCCCGATGCCCGATGCCCAAACGGCCTTCTTACAAATTCCGCTGATTATTTTCATCGATTCCTGAATTACAATGATCATGTCGTGGTTCTCAACAATCATGTCGATCACAGACCCCATGGAACTCCTTCCGCTAGACTTGGATGATCTCCAAGAAAGAGCACAACAAATCATCAGAAAATTTACTGCGGCCGAAGATCGACCGGTGACGGTGTGGCTAAGCGAAGATGAAAACTACAGTACATCGAAAGTCGTCACGTCTAGCTTGCTCAGCTCGCAGGAGAAAGATGTATCAGAACGAAACACCTCGGCATCACAGCTACCAACAAAGTCGATCGTCGGTCGGCCTGGACTTCGAGATGGCATCATTTGGGAGAACCAATCGTACGGGAAGGAGCACGCATGCATCTTCAGCGTGATTTGCGACTCATCTCGAGATTTATACTCAATACAAACTCACAACCACGACTTCGATGACCTACCAGCTTACCATCTCAAGCCATCGCTTAGTACACGCTCACCGAAAGGAAATGATGTGATACAGGCGAATGGTCTCCTGCTTCCAGACAGAGCTGGAAGCAAGAGCGTTGAGCAATCACCAAGTGCAATTCGTAGAACAAGTCATGCGCTCGGCCGCTCCAAATCTTTGAAGTTGCGGACAGGCAACTCAGCCTCCAAGGCCCAACCGGACGATTTGAGCGATGAGCGACAATCATCGCCACTAGTGGTTCTATCACAGCAAGGTGTGCATCCAGCTTTCCGAGTGAAGCCTGACGATCGTGTGCGAATCGAAAATCGCGGCGGCGACATGTTCCTTGTCCATGAGCGTAATGGGTCAGTGCCGCGTCGGAGCAATTCTCGTAGTTCAACACGTAGAGAGCAGCAGCCGCAACTGTCTCTCGATACCAAAGCACCAGCAGCCGAAGAGAAGGACACGCTGAGCCCGATTCTAGGCTGTAAGATTCCCGGTATCGACATGTTCGGCCCGGTGCTGGGCGCTCCAGAGGATGGGGTCTCGTCCGCACCACACCACCACATTCCACTTCGGGTTGAAAAGACACAACGATCCGAAAGGTCGGACACTCCAAGTCCGGCCAGGCGACCCTCAATCCTATTTCCAACGGCGTCCACAGATGCTCTCGAGAATTCGTCTCACTACACGTACGGGAAGCCATCGAAACCCAGCAGCAACACCATGTTCGAAAGTCCTCGCACTGCTCCTCAACCAGCGAAGCTTACATTGTTCGACCAAGACTCGCGCGCCACGCCATCTCTCTCGCCAGTGCAACGGCGGGACTCGCATCAAGGCACACACTACATCGCATCATCTCCGCAATGTTACGAAGACTCCGCATCCGAAGTCGAACCGTCCTACACGCCACCAAAATCAATCCGGTCCCCGCCACCGGCCCGGAGACCCCGCTCATCCAGCTCCACCGGTCGCTACGAGGCACTGTCAACCATCATCGAAAGTCGCTATGAACATTCCAGCGCCTTTCAGGTCCCGTCTGGAGCAGAGAGCTTGCAGCAGCGCCCGGCGCTGGTCAAGTCATATACCTTACCGCTCGCTCGCGCAGTCTCACGCCCAGATGGGAGCGGTGTCGTCGTGGAAAGTCCGACTGGAGAACGGGGATTTGGTGATCGGAGGCGGAGGTCGTTGTTACAAGGCTCATCGAGAAGGGGTGGGGTCGTTTTTGATGGTGGTTATGAGTCGTTTCTTTAGCGGGAAGGTTTTGTTTTCAGCCGGGGCTGTATTGGGGTTTCTGTCTATGCATCTCCCCGTCCCCCTCTCTTTCTCTATCCTCAAGATGTCCTTTTCCTGCAAGGGATTATGGACGTCGTGTGTTTGCTAAATGATTTTCTCAACTCTTCATTCAGCAGTGCACATTCCTGGAGTATCTAATGATGAAGCTTTTACACTCTCGCGGGATAGAATGTGCGCAATCTGTCGTGACGGCCTTTGCGAAGTGTGAGTGAGGTGCCTAAGTGATCAGGCGGCTTAGGGTTTTGTTGGAAGAGATAACTCAAACCCTAAATTTGCATCTGTCGGCGAAAAAGAGATGCGCTCGATTTTCCTGGAATCATACAGAATGAGAGGCATCATGACGAATTCTGAAATTCCGACAGGTTGTTGAGTTCGAAATTGTACAATACCCAAAAGAAAGAGCTTGGCGTATGAATGTTGGGTGTTTCGTGGCACGCGCATTCCTGCACTTAAGGCCTAGGCCTCGTTCGTCTGACCCAAGGGCTGTGAACATATTGCATTCAATTTTCTGAATGCAAACATCAATCCTTTGTCTCGACAAGATGCAGCTCCTCTCTTGCCGACTCTGGAACATTTACAATTATCTACATGGGTATACCGGAAACGACCAAATCGACCATGGCATTCCGAAGGCCAGAAAACTAGACGAGCGAGTTACTCATCGGAGTGGCAGCTATCAGAGTTTGGTCATCGGAGTGCCCAGTCCGATTGACGAATCTCCAGCGCCACCTGGGCATGCTGGAGAACTTCTCTGAGGAACAACAAGTGAGACCTTGTACTGTCCAAATCAGCAATGTCTTGATATTCTTCGCGGAGGGGAGGAAAAGTATATGGGAAGCTAGAAAAACGTGCCTTTTTCCATTTTCCATATCTGGGTTAGTGCCGCCGTTCCTTCGCACGCCATGCTTTTCTCGCTCGGCGGATCTGCATGCGTTGTCGCTCGTGCTGGCTTGGTGATGAATGTCCATGACACTTTCATCGTCTTTTCGAAGGAATGGTTGGAATTGTTCCATTCCGTTTGTCGTCCCATCTCATCGCGCGGAGAGAGAATGTGTTAATGCTACACAGGTTGATAATGGCATGCGAGACCGCGGACAGAATGCAGAGATGCCTGCACAGGCGCCGAGCGGAGGATTTTGGTGGCGGCGGTGTGGCTGCTCGACCGCTTTCCATCCCGTTTCTTTCACGCTCGTGTCAATGGCTGACACGAGTCTCTTCCCGCTTCCGTTGTTCCTGACCAGAGCTTTGAAACTTCCAAGTGAAGCAGCTTGAATTCATATACCTGTCTCGCCTTGGTGCGGTTGTATGGAAGGAAATTGTAACCTTGCATTGTCGGAGTGAATTCAGCCTTGCGCACCTGTCCTGACGTGGCGGTTCCAGCGTCAATCCTTGCGTGGTCGAGAACTCCTCGTGAGAAGAAGACAAGAGCGCCGTGAGTGCTGCGCTGTATTGGCTTACCAACTCCACGACTCAATCTCTCCTTGCCCAAGACCCATTCATCAGCATCACCGCCGAATGCAATCATGACTTCGAACAAATCAACGCCCGTGAGCACTCAGCACGACATCACTGCCGATCACCTCGAGGCTGACACGAGCGTCCTCGCTGCCGGATCGCAACCTTCCATCAGCATCGCCGAAGAAGCTCGTCTTCGCCGTAAGATCGATTGACATATTGTCCCATCTGTAGCGCTTCTCTACCTCTTCTGCTTCATCGACCGCGCCAACATCGGCAATGCCAAAATCGCCCACCTTGACACTGACCTCCATCTCCGAGGCTACGACTACAATGCCATCCTCTCCGTATTCTTCATCTCTTACATCCTGTTCGAAATCCCATCCAACCTCGTGTGCAAAATTACGGGTCCGAAAATCTGGCTGCCGATTCTGACGCTGGGGTTTGGAGTGTGTACGATCACCATGGCCTTTGTCACGACCCGGGACCAGATCATGGGTGTGCGGTTCTTGTTGGGTGTGTTCGAAGCAGGCATGCTCCCTGGAGTGGCATACTACCTGAGTCGTTGGTATCGGCGACATGAACTTTCCTTTCGCCTTGCCCTTTATATTGTCGCATCTCCTCTTGCGGGCGCCACGGGCGGTCTACTTGCTTCGGCGATTTTCACCATCGATCGGATCGGCACTGTAACGAGTTGGCGAATGCTGTTTCTTGTCGAAGGCATCATCACCTGCGGTCTTGCGTTGATTGGATTCTTTACCATCACGGATAATCCGGAGAGCGCGAGTTGGCTCTCGCCGGCTGAAAAGGCACTCGCACGCGAACGAGTACTGTCGGAGAGAATTGGAAGCTCTGACGTCTTGGAGAAACTTCACTTGAAGAAAGTCTGGCGAGGGATGATGAATCCCGTCGTACTCCTCACGGGTTTTATCTTCTCACTTGACAATGTGACAGTATGTTTAACCTTCGCGAGAACCTGCACACCGAAAGTCAAGATTGCTGATAGTGAATTCCCAACAGGTCGCCGGTCTCGCCTTCTTTCTCCCAACCATCGTCTCCACAATCTACCCTCAAGCCACCGTAATCGAAAAGCAACTCTACACCGTCCCGCCTTACATTGCCGGTGCAATCTTCACCGTCCTGATCCCCTATCTCAGCACTCGCTTCAACACCCGCGTTCCCATAATGATCAGCTCCGCACCCTTCATGATGTTCGGCTACATCCTATTTCTCGCCTCGACTAATCCCCAAGTCCGCTACGCCGCAACCTTCTTCGTCACATCCAGCGCCTTCGCCTTCGGCGCGCTCTGTCCCGCGCATGCAGCCGCCAACGTCGATTCAGATTCAGCTCGTGCAAGCGCAATCGGGCTAGTGGTCATGTTGGGGTCCTGTGGTGCACTCATCAGCACTTGGAGTTTCCTCCCCTGGGACGCTCCGAACTATTTCATCGGCAATGGTCTGAACCTCGCGACGACCACGGCGATTTTCATATCGGGTGTTTGTATGTTGCTGTGGATGAGGTCCGACAATCGCAGGAGGGATCGCGTCGAAGCTGAGGAGATGATGAAGCTATCTGATGAGGAGAAACTTTCGCTGGAATGCCTGGAATGGCGGCATCCGCAATGGAGGTGGAGAATATGATTTGATTTACGGCGTTTACGAAATGTGACGAACGTGCTGATAACGAAATGACGGCCACGCTTACGCTTTTCGTTCCTCCCATCCTTGGTTAGGAGAAGTCACGGCGGATGTAAAGTTATGCAATTTGTGTACGCTCATCTACTTCAAGGCCCAACAGAAGCTAGAATCTCTTCAAATGTTGAAACGCGAAAATGACAATCCTCGATTCTGCGAAAGCGACGACCGGCCATCGTTTAAGACGCCGGCGGTTCGTTCGCATCTGACATGCTGGCGCTTCGACGTCGTAACGCTGACAATGTGCAAATTATGGCAGCGACGGCTCTCCGCCTTCCTAATAATAATCCATGCAATCTGCTGGCATAATTTCATGGTTCTTTCGGGAAATGTCTGCATCAGGCAGGTGGTTCGCATTTGAAAAAGGCAGTGAAATTACCAAGTAGTGGCGCGGTGAGTCGACTTTGTGCTACATCAAACAGCCCTGGTCATGTCTCTACTTTCTTCGCCTTCTCACGGACAACGCATAATCAGTTTATTCCGACGGTCATGTCAGATGATATATATAACATGACATGTCGACATTATTCAAGAACACGCGACGTCCATCCGTCGCCCAATCTAAGCGTGCCAGCTCACAGCTCCACAGGGGCGGCCTCCTAAACCTTTCGACATCATCTCCGCCGTGCCTGGGATATGGGCCGTCATTATCAGGTACCGGAAATGGGTGTTGGCATGTATACGCGAGGATGTGGTGTCCCGAGCGACGGTACCCGAAGGCGACGTACCCAAGCAATTCTCACACAAGGAAATCTTTACTCAGGGGTTCGAACACTGGCTGGACATGACGTCCCAGCCGTGGCCTCGCGAGGAGCCGAGAAATAATATTCTGAATATTTCCTTTTTGGATATCGGCCGATATGGAATGTTCGGAAAGGTCTACCACTTTCCATCGGCATATTGACGAGGCGGATATATTAATGATCTCGTTCCTCTGAGAGTCCTGCTGTTATGCTCTGACTTCTCCAAGAACATTCTCTCTTCATTGTAAGATACTGCTCTGTGACGAATCTCTTATCTACAGGACAAGATCTTCCCTAGAAGATCATCCTCCTTATTCGAAGACTCTTCGCTCTACCAAGCACACCTGTCTCGGTGAAAGGATTGCCAACCTATACAACAAGAGCCATGTACGAAGTACGATTCGTCGGCATCAGGCAATACCTGGATCGCCTTCCACCGCCCGAGAATCGCGATTATAAATCTCTCAAACTTGCCCTTACCATGGACTATATCGGAGCAAATCTCCAGCTGGTAAGGGAGAATAAGAAACGAGACGACTACTTCGCGCCGGAGACTGTCTTAAGAATGCGCAACTTGATGCATATTAAAGACAGCTCTGCTTCGCAGTATCCCTCCAAGGAGTCATTGGCATTGATTTACGACATGCTGAAACCTGACCACATTACTCCGCCCCCCAAGAAGCCTGATCAGCAGCTTCCGCCTGTCGAAGCCGTCCCCATTTCAACCGTGATGCTAGGCAAGAGGAAACGAGCAGGATCAGATGCGGACTACACTCCCGAAGACAAGCGCGCTCGAACCATCACATCTCTGACCGAACCTCGAGTCCTGGACAAGGTTATCTCCTCATTATGCTCCCAAGACGACGTAACCTCAACCGTAAATATCTCAAGACTCCCTGGTCAAATGGCCTCACAAGTCCCCCGACCAGCTACAGATCTCGGCGCGGCCCTCCGCAGAATCTGGCAGGACCGCCCCATCGTACCTCTCGCACCTCTCGACATCCCGAACTATGTGCTCTCAACGATCCTCCCAGAGGAATCTGTGGATGAAGACGTAAAGCCCCCACGGGGCTCACATGAAGATGCCGAGCTTGATGACGAAGGGTCGTCCGAGCAGGAGCTCACTATCAGCGAGGAGTACTGGTTGTCTCCGGAAGAAGATGTCAAGGTGCCGCCATCATCGCCTTCTGCAATTAGCGATGATGCTGATAATTGCCTGTCATACCCGGAGATGGAAAGTCGTGCAGCGGCAGAAGTTGAAGTGCATTTCATCGCGTACCCAGATGATGCAGAAGTTTGGTTCACGCCTGAAATGTGCTTCGACTCGTGATTTTGAAGTCTTCCAAGAGCTCCCGACCAGGTCCTCTTATAACACTTCCGGGAAGGAAGGAAGGGCAGGGGCTTAGTGTTTCCCTTGCCCTGAGGCCCGCTCGTGACAAAGGCGACCGAAGTCCACTTCATTACACGATCGTCGGCAGCGCCAGGATTCTACATCGTAACGATATTTCGCCAGTGCTTATCGCGGGCCTCGTCTCGAGGCACTTCTGCGGAAGGGTCAGCCCATTCCCCAGCCCCGCAACTCTGGCTCGCAACAGGCAGCCGAACTTCCTCCAACCTGTCAGGATCATCCCCAAGGCTGAACATTGGAGAGATCTTGGCGAAGCGCCTTCTCTGTCTCGCAGCAAGTGGACCGAGATTCTTTCACTTGCAAGGATTATCGCAAGGGCTGATCGTCCTCTAAAGCTTTGCGAAGAGTGTTTCTATAGCACGGCATCACAGAAGCGTAAAGTTTGGAATCATTATTCCTGATCTGGAGAGGAATTCAATACAGAAGCGTCGTATCCTAACAACTCCCGATGAGGTTCTATTGGGCAGATGATCTACAGCATGTTTCGCAGTCGCGAAGATGAATTCAAAGTCAGACCGCGGATGATGTTTGAGCGCATGATGCACAGGGGCAAATTTAACGGGGCTTTAAAAATCCAAAGCTGGGAGCCGTCTGATCGATCCACGTGGTTGAGAGTGCACACACATTCACGGCGTCGAGCAACCGCGGCGGAGTACGCGTGCCATGTGCCTGGTGTTGTGCCGTGGTTGTGGATCTGTTGCAGTGTGGAAAAGGGAGTTTGAGCTTGTCTGATGGGAGAGCTGGTTTGAAGCCATTCTTCAGGTCAGAGGAATAGCAAGGCGTGATTGTGCAATGAAATCAAGAATAGTTAAATAAACCTTAGAGATATTTATGATAAATTATAAAACCCACAAGTCGCAAGAAAACTCATAGTGAAGAGATTAGTGTTGTAATATCTGGTGTATACGCCCGTCCATAGAAGGTCTAGTAAAGACTCTACCTCCCATTAAACGTCCACAGATCGACCTGGCAACATCTTAGCATCCTCAGTGCAATCCTCGCCATCCTCATCCTCGCCAATAGCGAAATAGGACTGCGTGTCCTTCAACCTTCGATTCTCCCGGTACTGGAGATATTGGAGAACAACTCCCAGAATCGCAACAAACGAGGCCAACACCACAGCAAAAACACCAGCCACCCTGCGATATGGACTATCATGATGATTCTTATCTCCACTGTGCATCAACTCCGCCGCATCATGAATGGTTCCCCCGATGTCCTTCATCGGTAGAGCGATATCCATGTCTTCGAGGTATGGCCCGAACGGGTCGTTATGGAGTGGCCAGTAGACTTCATGGCGGCCATCGGCGGGTTGCCCGTGGAAGGTCAAGCGCCATTGGATTAGTTCCATAGAGTGTGTGATGCTGGCGCCTGAGCGGCGTGATACCTCCAGGCGCCATTTTCCAATGGGATTATCGCCCCAATGTGCGACACTCATGAAGGTCATGTCGAGGGTTTCGTCAGAAGCTTGGTTGGTTGCATTCCGAGCGTATGGTGTAAAGTGACTGATCATTCCTGAGGGGCTTTCTAGTTGGAGGAGGAGCTCCTCATGTTGATGCGCGGCGGCTTTGAATCGTAACGACAGTACGACATGCTCGATGACATTGACATCATAGAAGGTGGTGTCGATCTGAATGAGCTCATGTTCCGAGACGACGACGTTGCCGCCATGCGGGATCTCCAGACCAACATGCAGCCATGGAGTATGCTGGGAGGCCAGAATACCGACCGTCTTCCATCGTCTTGCGGCGTTGATGAAGGCGGGTACGTCGAGCTTGCCGTATCCAGCACGATGGCTGAAATGTTTGCCCATCTCTTTGTTGGTCTGCCAATCGCGGATGTTGGGGTCATCTAACTTTGTCGACGCGACCACCGTGAGCCATTGGATGTCGCGTGCACCTAGCTTTGGGTTGACCTCGAGAGCGAGCGCGTATACACCAGCAATCAGGGAGCTCGGTGTAGATGGTCGGAGGTTACAGTCGTGGCTATCCCCAGCGGTAGCATGTGCACCGAAGCCGTAGCTGACGATCATCCTCGCGGCATCGATATTCTCAATGACTGGGCTGTCATGCTGGTTGATACCGCCCACGCTGACAGCATGTATGCTGTCGTGAAAGCCGCCGTGGGCATTGTTGTCAGCGTTGAATACGTATATGCTTCCAAGTCCGGATCTGCCTCTTTGGGCACCGTTCGCAAGGGCACGACGGACATATACTCCGAGACCAGTCTCGGGTTGATATTCCGGATCAGGCAGAATCCAAGAACAAGCGTAGATATGATTCAGGTCCATCTCATGATTCAAGGCTTGAGCAAGCTCAAGGTCGGGAGCGATGTGCGTATGGGACTTCCCATGCATTTTGGTTGAGATGACCTTCAGACCCGTTACCTTGCTTCCATAAGCCAAACCCACGGGGCAACCGCCGCTGCCATCACCGGAGATCTCGAGCGCGCTCCATGTTCCGCCATAAGCACCAGCATCAGGCATCGGGTCTGGACCTGCTGTAACAAAGTTCTTGCTTCCGTAAGGTTCGTATGAGGAGCGAAGACCCGGATAAAGCATGTCGATGCCGTCGCCCACGATGCAGACAGTACTCTTCCGTCCGGTAATGCCTTGTTCCCAGACGCTTTTGAGGTTCATCGCGTGCTCCTGTGCGGAATGCCTGATTGTCTTGGCATCAAAGCTGGGTATATCTCTTCGCGAGATTGTAGAAGTTGCTGTAGTCCGAAAACTGCTTGTAATAAGCAGCATGATGACTGCAGAGGCCATCATATTGCTGGCCAGATGTGCTTTCTTTGACTAATTGGAAGTCGTTGCGTCTTGCTGCACGATTGCTGTGAGAGGATTGATACCCTGTTAATGTCGAAGAGACTAAGATGCTCTCTCAATGGAAGACAGGCTATTGAAGATCAGAAGATTGCAAAGGCTTCTGACGTGAATAGAATGCGCTCATGGTGGATCGCGGCCGGTCACTGATCGGTCACCGCGGGCTGATCTCCAATGGGAGCACCTTGGCTTCACCGGTGGCAGAAAGATGGTGCGACATAACTCTGCCAGAGCCTCGGCGCCACGTAGATTGTGATTTTTTTACCAGGCAAACACCAAAGGACGCATGAACGAGCCAGGAATCATGATCACAGCAATCTGGTCGTGCGTCTCTAACGAAATCCTGCGACTTGAAGATCGCCCTTAAATCGCCCACGACGCCCATAACACAGCCGGCCACCATCCTGGCTTAGGACCACGTTTTCGTGCATAATCTTGAGGAATTTTCGTGATTGCTTGATATTTGGCGCAAAATGCTTCCAGGGACACCGAACGCAAGAAGCATTCAGCTTGCAGCGATCGGTCAAATTGGACGGGGCACCCCGAAGACTAGCACGATGCTGAATTTATGAGATGACGCCGGCAATCCCATCTATCGGAGAGTGTGCTGAAGGTCATATTCCGTATCAATTAAAGCATCAAGATCTCTCACACATCCGCGCCAGCGCCTTTTGTCGCCGACATTCCTTAAGCGGCCCGAGATATAGAAGCCTCGGAATTGAGAGTTCCAACAACACAAAATCAAATTCCACCAATGCGAATACCGATTTGACGTCAATCGGGCAAAGGTCTAAGGACGCCGAACCTACTCGGCGATAATATATTCAAGAGATATGCTCCTCAGGTGGGCATTAAACGGCGCCATTAAATGTCGTGGAAACCATCTATTCCGCTCACTTGATTGATCTCATCAAATGCGTTCGAGACCGAGTCTCGCGCTCGCGCTGGTATCCGCAATCCTCAAAGCAACTGTTAACGCTCACGGCTGGCTATCGCAAATCACCATCGAAGGACAGACCTTTCCGGGCTGCGAGCCGGTGAGTAAATTTCTTTGCAAACAGGCACCGATCGAAGCGCTGACACCCACGCGGTCGTGGTCAATTGCCGACAACGGAGAAGAGCTGCTAGATCGTACAGCAAGCTGGTGTGCATATAACCAGCACAATGACTTCCTCGATTCAAGCGCCGCACAAAATCGTGCCATGATCTGCCACAATGGAGCATCCCCTGGCGCAAAGATCCTCGACATCAAAGCTGGAGCCGAGATAACCTTTGGCTGGTTGGACAGATTCTTTCACCATCCAGGTCCGATTGTCACATACATGGCCAGATGTCCAGGCAGCTGTGCTGATGTCAGCGCCCATGAGCTCAAGTTCTTCAAGATCCAAGAACATGCATTGATCCCGAGAAATGCTGTCACAATTCCGCTTGGTCCATGGGCCACCGAGAAGTTGACCGAGCAAAGTGGCCGCTGGGCCCTGACTATTCCTAGTAATATCGCGCCGGGCGAGTACGTCATTAGACATGAAGTCATCGCGCTGCACCATGCTTTTGTGGAAGGTGACGCACAGCATTATCCAATGGTGAGACTGAGAGGGCCGAGAGCTACAACGCTACGTATCGCAAATGCTGAACGTAGCCACAGTGTGTGAATCTCCGCGTCTCAAGCACGGAATCTGTCGATCCCTGCGCCAAGGGTGCTGATTGTAGACGCGGGACGGAGCTGTATCGATCGAACGATCCTGGAATCTACCTCGACATTTTCGATCCACAAATCACGGACTATGTAATCCCGGGACCACCCATCTGGCCAGGGTTAGATGTCCCCGTCGTTTCCAGCAATCTCGCACCTGTTCAAGTTGCTATCGCATCGGACATCGCTGATCCTTATGCTTCTTGTGGTGGACATGGCTGGGTCGGTCCGACTAGATGTGCCTCTGGGTACACGTGCCAGTTCGTCAGCATTTACTACTCGCAGTGCTTTCCTAGTTAGAGTACATGAGCTTTTATTTCGGGGCAGCATTATACGAGCATTGGTCAAGCAGGAAGGGGCATTGCCTCATCATGTGTCATCATTCGCTAGTGAGTAACAAGGCTTTACACAATTTTGAGAAGGGAACGTTTGGCCTACGCTTATCTGTAGCTGCGGAAACTTGAGTTGAATTACCAGTCTGTTTATTCATTTCATCTTTGGACCTTTGAATATATGACGCTGAGATGAATGCCAATTTACTACGCATGTAGTCATTGTGACCACGATTACTACTCTGGTAACACATAGAAGTCGGGTCAGCTGAGAGATTCAATTCGAATATGGGGCGGACACGAGAACAACAATTCCAAGAAGAGTCGGAGCTTGTCACTTACCCAACCCAATTGAAATTGCTCCAGCTAACTGGCCGCGTCGTCGGTAGACATGCAAGGACGACAAGTATGGTCACCCAGATGCAGCTTGTTACATTGATCAGGTAGCCATAGCGCCCCAGATTGAACGGGCGAGGGGAAAGCTTATCTCGCCCGCGCCAGGCGAGGATTCCCTGTGGTATCACATAGGAAGCCATCATGAAGACAATGTTGGCGCCCACCATGGACGCGAAGGCATCTGGCGAGCCCAAGAACATGATACCATAGATCTGCAATGGTGGAAGAGTTCGGTCAGCATTTTATAGAATTAGGTCATCGTCTTGTTTTCCTTTGTTTGAAATGTTGGATCGGGTACATACCGTAGTCACGATCGCAGAAAGCAAGATGGAGTTCACTGGTACCTGCCAATACGGATCGACGTGTTGCCACCAGCCCGATAGTGGATAGCAGTCATCACGTGCATCTGCCCAAAGCTGGCGGCTAGAGCCTGTAATGTTTGCCACCGCACATCCAAACAGACATATTGCAAACATGGACAGAAGGGTGAGAGTAACGAATTTCGATCCAGTGGCCTGAATGCAAATCTCGATAAGAGCGAAGCCGCTGGGCGGATGCACCACTGTCTCGATATCTTGAATCACAAACATGCATGCGGCGCCGAAGGGCCAAGCTTTTGCGGATTATGTTAGCTCTTTGATCTTCCCATGCAAGCAAAGTACTCACCCGTGGCTAGGCCGATCAAAACTGGATAGATCTAGATTCCAATGTCAATACAAGAGCCTTCCCGAGCGAGAAGTTCCGTCCCCTTACTATGACCTTCGGGGCGTTGATGCTGGGCGAGGGCACCTCCTCAGCGAGGTGAGCTCCGGCGTCGGTGCCCATGAACCCGTACGTTTTGTTGAGTAGACATAACGCCATCAACATGTACCCATCGTACAGAGGTGGCCACAAGCAAGTCCGGCTTGCTTGACTTGCTTGACTTGATCCAAATGCGGTTAGTCACCAAGTCAAGTCGGCCAGGTTTTTATGAGTAATCAAGTCAAGCCGTAGATTGAGACTTGCTTGACTTGCTTGACATAGGTCTTGGCATAGATCTAGATTGTACATGTCGCGTACACTATGGCGAGAGTCACTCATCCGTATAGATTAGGGTCTCAGCGTGACCCTCCAGCTGCAACCCAAACCCTTATTTTCCCCTGCGGATACTGCCGGCGTCCAGACAG